ACGACAAAAAATCGTTTGGGGTGGGTTTTATGAGTTTCGTTTTGAAAATAATTATTGAGTGCACGTAGAGAATGCCTACTGAAGTAGTTACTTCCGGGTGCCGGAGATAGATAATATCAAATATTATTATCTATCTTCGGCACCCAGAAACGAATTTGTTTTACCTGCAGAAAAGGTATGTGGGCGGGGCTGACAAATACTACAAGTTTCGTTTTACTAAAATGTATTGTCTACGTATGCATCTACGCAAGAACGCATCACCAGCCAATAATCAGGACATGTCTCAGAAGTATGGAATGTTTTCATTCCCTTCTTTTCGTTTTGTAAAAACAATCGGTAACCCTGTACGGCCGCTTAGGATCTGCGTCGATGGAGCAGCAGTTAAAGCTAATGCATGGCTAGCGGCTATCCATTGTATGAATCACCATCTGGAGCTGGCCGCAAAAGACGCCGTCTCTAATACCTTCATGGACGACGTCAGCACAAGGCTGATGAATCTATACTATGCGTAAGAGAGCAGTCTCCGAAGCGCTCGAGAGAGAGAGTACAGAGAAATGGCGGAGGAGATGGAGGAGGCCGTGCGAAAGCCAGAGAAGGCATGTGGGTCCAAACCCTCATATCCTTCGTTATAGCGTAATTGCTCGCCATCTGCCAGCCAGGTCGTCTGACAAATCGTCATTGAGGCCAACTGACACGGTGAAGTTGGGTGCACACTTGAAGAAGTTGACAAGCTTCAAGTTCGTTCTTCACCTGTTGTTCTTCGATAGTCTAATCAACCGGCTTGGAGCTCTGTGCCGTTGCTTGCTAGGCTCAGCCGCTGACCTTCAATTCGCATCAGCCAAATTGAAGGCGTTCTGAACCACTCTGCAGAGCTTACGAGAAGACGATACCGCGGCAGCTGTAACGGAGCTGGCCAAGTTTGTGCCGGCAGCTGCTGATCCAGACCACCGTGTGGTGTGCTCAGAGGCGTAAAGCTGAACCGTGAAACGTACGGGTATGCCGTGCTGCACGCATTCAACCATGGTCGGCCAAGCAGGATACTGACAGGCTTGACAACTGTGTGGCTGGCTAACCGCAAAACCGCTGCGGTTGAAACGAAAATGACAAAAGTAGAGAGCGAGCTGAAGGAGCTCCGTTCCGCAAACAAGAAATTATCAAGTGAAGTGGCGTTTGAGGATCTGGAGAAGGAAGATGCCATGAAGGACACTTTCTCTCTTGGATAGCCGCTCCTGGCCTGTGGATAGTGCTGACCTTGACGAGTTTGGTGCTGCTGACCTCACGGCAGCGGTTGTGAAGTTCAAACCGCTGCTGGAAAACAACAAAGTGTCGATCAGCTCAGTCAGCAGCAGGTGGGTAGCATTCAAGGCCTACTTGAAAGAGTCTCTTCGGCACTTGGATAACGTCTGGCAGCTGCTCCTCACACACCACCGGCCCGGGAGAGATTCGCAAACCTCTGCCATGTGATCGAGCTGCTGGTGGTGGTGGTGTTTCCAGGCAGCAATGCGAAAGTGGAGCGTGGCTTCAGCACCATGCGGAGGATCTAGACCGACTGGTGGTCTCGGCTTTCAGAGCAGGCGATGGACCACGTTTTGCGGAGCAGCATAGACGATCGTGTTGCCTTCTCTGAATTTGACATGCACAGCACCTGCTGTACCCTAGGTTTCGAATTCAGTTCTGCATGGCTTTCAACCTGGACCACCGGCATATGCATGCACGCCTGTGTTGAGGTTAAACAAAATTATTATTGACAACCAAGAATCACCTGGCTTGAATAGCAGCCCAGCACTTCAATACACTCTTATTATCCATGGACGAGATTTAACACTGGACGAACTCCCTTTCTTGAGTGTATTGAAAAGCTGAACAATCGAGTGAATCGACATTAGTCCGGCATACGTATATATACACTGACGTCACTTCATAGGTAGAAAACTGACTGGGGACGGATCAACAGTAGTTTACGGTAAGCCCAGCTATCCAAACATGACTCCCCAATCTTGGCCCCGGCCACTGACAAAAAGCAACACATTGAGGTTACTCACCGGTCCAACGATCTCCTCACGGCCGACTCCCTGCTCTGCATCATCCTGGCCGGATGACGCTAGCAGCGGCGAGCCGCCAGTCTGCTGAGATTGGGCTCGGGCACTACGAGTACCAACGCTACTGCTGCTACTGCTGTTGCTATACAGTAACGCACAGGCGCGGTCGTCACGTTCAAGCCTGCCACTGCCGTCTTCCTCGTCGTCGTCAACGTCGTCAACATCCATATCATCGTCGTCCTCGTCGTCTGACAAGTCGTCGGTTAAGTCATCGTCGCTCAGGTCCTCGCCGTGATTGTCAACGTCGTCGTCGAGAGCCGGCTCGTCTTCCTCTTCCTCTTCTTCGATGTAGTCGTCTTGCATACAGCCAGGCGCGGTAGCAGATTGCATAGCGGTATCCTCCAGCACCTCGGCATTCGCCGCCACAGCGTGGTCGATATTGTACACGACTTGGGACAGGCCGGAGAGATCCGCCGGCGGCTGGCTACTCTCTAACACGACATCCAACTCGGGGTCCTGGAAGGCGCCGTTCGACACCTCCGCTTCGCCAGCGATGTCGATGCGATTGCCCATGAACACCTGCCCGGTCTCCCAGACACTGTCGAATCCGTTCTCCTCTCCGTTAATACCCGGTATCGAGCCGGAGGCTAGCGAGGCGGATAGCGAGTCACCCGCTAGGTCGGCAGTGCACGTCAGCGTCGTTCTGGCCGCTCCCACCGACTCCGCGGCGGCGCTCAGGGTCGACGATGCCGACGAAGACAGCAGCGGAATGTCGTGGTGAAGCTGATAGCTCTGCAGCGAGCCGTACGAAGACAAGGCACGCTCCAACGGCCGGGCCACGGACAGGCGCCGGGAATCCGGCTCCATCTCCGTGCTAGAGGCGCTTGTCGGCGATCCTGCACGGAAAACAGTGCACCACCGTCAACATCCACATGCACATGCATACCAACAACAACAACAACAACAACAACAACAACAACAGCAGCAGCAGCAGCAGCAGCAGCAGCAGCAGCAGCATCAACAACAACAACAACAGCAGCAGCAGCAGCAGCAGCATCAACAACAGAAGCAGCAGCAGCAGCATCAACAACAACAACAACAACAACAACAACAACAGCAGCAGCAGCAGCAGCAGCAGCAGCAGCAGCAGCATCAACAACAGAAGCAGCAGCAGCAGCAGCAACAACAACAACAACAAATCGTGAGATACAGATTTCAAACAACAACAAAAGACCCACACATGCAACAACAAAACCAAGAACTATTATTACAAACGCTCAGTGCCTTTGCATACTATGCTCATGTACAACACAACCAACTTGAGCATACGCTGCGTATGCGCTGTTGCTATCTGGCAGCGCAGGATCGCATAAAAGCAAAAATGTAACCTTCTACACCCATCCGAGTTCTCCTGAAAACGTTTGTGCTACCTTTTAGGTTTTCGCCACATGATGACATGACAACTTTACAGGAACTCAGCAAACAAGCGGTTTTCTATGTAGTGTGCAAGGGCCCTTATATATGTACACCGGTAGCTGGTGTGCCACTTAGCATACACACACACACACACGTGAATGTGACAGTGCGCCAGCCAGCGCTACATGATCGCCATACGGAACAGCCATGTTGGTCCCAACTCCACACAAACCCTGCATCTACGGGTCACATATTCACCATACGGAACAGCCATGTTGGTCCCAACTCCACACAAACCCTGCATCTATGGGTCACATGATGTCACCCATGTCGGTTCTACTGTCCACACTCCATGATCACTTTCTGCACAAATTTACTCACACGACAACGATGTAAAACCTCTCTATACTTGCGAGTGTGCCAATGTACAAAGTTACCAGCATTCTAAGTCTAAGCGCTGTTTAAGGCACTCCGATTTCGCCCGCAGCCTTTTGAGAGCAGTACCGACGCCACACAGCAACCTGAAAGTGGGTAACTTCCAAGAAGGAGACACGCATTCTCGCGACCAGGGGCAAGACGTGACGATGGGCGCATGCGGCAATGAGGACAATTTTCAGTCGCCAAAATGTCCTCTTCATGCACAAATCAGATTTGTTAATCCAGCGTCAGCCTTAGTCCAGCAGACCTTCCGAAGCACAAATGGTGCCGGGTTTCAAAGGAACTACTGTATACTGCAGGTCAACAAATATTCAGCAAATATTTACTTTACTTTCGGCTATTTTCAGCCGGGGCATTTCCAGCAGAAAAGTTGTTGCGGCCGAAATTCTGGTTTGCAAGGTTCAGTGTGACAGTGTATACAGGCAGCAGCAGTACAGGCCGAAATTTAAATGCGGCCGAAACGTGTTTTAGCCCTGGGAAGCCGAAATTTATATGCGCCAAAAAAATTGTAGACTTACAGTACGCAAACCGGTGATTGGATATGTCATACCTGCCGACCATCACGATTTGCCCGGGACCGTCCTGATATCGAGGGTGGTAATAGGCACCCGGAAGTGCATTTGTCGCTTGCCTCGCAGCTACATTTGTATACATTGTCATACCTAGGTTCTGTATGTCATCGTCCCGATCTTAGGTTTGCAATGGTTGGCAGATAGCAGGGGCGTTGGAAGGTATTTTACAGTGGTACGGTCAGCCACCTCAACTACAAGTACTTACTTGTGGGGTTGGGGTGGCTCCTCTGAAATATTTTTGAAATTTGGAGCCCAAATCAGTGCATTAGGGTACTACATGAGGGGGTGTAGTACCTCAACTCGAACTTTCCAAATACGGTCTCTTCGCTGCACACGTCACTTCGAAATAAAGAACTCGCCAAATTGTCGGGCATGGCCTATCTTCAGGGTGACACCGTTCAAATCAGTGCCTTTTTATTATTACTTCACAGTCTCCATGTACCAGGGGCAAAGAGTGGTACGGTCAAAGATGTAGTGACCGGAGCGTGTCCCCCAGGGTACAGTCGTCCCTCTCTAATCCAGCACAATTTTCAGTCGCCAAAATGTCCTCTTCATGCACGTTCTAGCAGAAAATCAGATTGGCTAATCCAGCAGATTTTCCGTGGCACAAATGGTGCCGGATTATAGAGGGACCACTGTAAAGTAAAGTTTGCACGTCCGCGTTACCACCGGCTATACAATTGCGTTGAGAAACACAACCAGCTTAGGAAGTTTCGGGACCACTGTATGATAATTATATGTTTATATGTATATACGTTCGGCAGTCCACTTACCGGATGAAGCCACGGGGCCCGAACGTACTATAGGATTAATTTCTGGGAACATGTTGTACCTGGCTCCAGAACGCGAACTACTACCACCGGCACAATTACTGGCAATGTGGGTCCTGCCCCCGAGCGTTGCCATCCCCTAGCAGCTAGTCACACAGGAGAAAGAAAGACAACGAATACATAGAATAACAAAAACGACCTCACAGCGTAGGTGTGTGTGTGTGTGTGTGTGTGTGTGTGTGTGTGTGTGTGTGTGTGTGTGTGTGTGCAAAGCCGTCACAGCCGGGGCGGCTGAGGCCGCCCCACTTTTTTGGCCGTTTTTTTTAAGCACACTGCAACAAAGCGCGACATGTTCGCAGCTCAGTGCAGACGTGGCAAATCCTTGTCCCCGAACGTGGTTTGTTGCAGAATCAAAAGGTCTTTCATTGTAGTTATACTGAAATGGCACCAAATGCCTGGAAATGCTTGCAATTGGCTTCAATTTTTGAAATTTATCCCCGGGGGAGGGTAATGTTTGTCCCCGATCATAGCGTCTTCTTGGTTTGTTGCAGAATCAAAAAGTCTTTCATTGTAGTTACACTGAAATGGCACCAAATGCCCGGAAATGTTTGCAATTGGCTTCAATTTTGGAATTTTTCCTGGGGGAGGGCCCCCGCACCCCTTCCATGGCCGCCCCACCTCCAAAGTCGGTGCGACGGACCTGGTGTGTGTGTGTGCGCATGCGTGGGTGGGGGTGGGTGTGCGATGGAGATAGAGAGACAGAGAAACAGACAGAGAAACAGACAGACAGAGAGACAGAGACATAGACAGATAGATAGATAGATAGATAGATAGATAGATAGAGAGAGACACACACACACACATACACACACACACACACACACACACACACACACACACACACACACACACACACACACACACACACACACACACACACACACATAGAGAGGCAGACAGAGACAGAGAGACAGACACAGAGACACAGACACAGAGACACAGACACAGAGACACAGACACAGAGAGACAGGTAGAGAGAGACAAAGAGACAGAGACACAGAGAGATACAGACAGAGAGAAAGAGAGATACAGAAGCACAGAGAGAAAGAGTGTAGCACCATACAACAACAAGCTTGATATGCCCCAGAGTTCAAGACAAGTGCAGGAAAGATGACATTGACGTACCAACGACTCTTCCAGGACAGGGTGGAAACCTGACAGGTGATGGTGCCTGATCCAAAGACCAACACGTACTAGAGAACAACTTCGGAAAGATGGCTCAGACGTTGTGGACGATGAAGAACAGTGCATCTAACACTTTCACTGCTGATTTCTGTCACACTAGAAAAAAGTTCTTGAAATTGCTGACAGCTAGGTTAAATTGATGACGTCCAACGCTAAGCAGGGGTCCTTTACTTTGGAGCTTCAAGGAGCCGGCCAATAATGACTCTATAGCACTCATAAGAGCTCTTTTTTTTTTAATCCAATACAACCACGGACACCCACGACGAACGATCGACCTTCTGATTGACAAAGACGACGTCGCAAACTGCAATGTTTTACGAGATACATGTAGTCGATGCTGTTCTGTGCTCATCAAGTCATCATGCAGACCACTATCCAGGTCAAGCATGAGAGTGAAGTCACAGCATGCATCTGCGGCATGCTAGCCCAAACGGCAAACCCAAACCAACATAATCCATTCGCCACGAAAATCTCGAGTAGACGTAAAAAACATTCAGGTCGTCGCCATTTTATTTTTGCGTTTTATTTAGTTTTACGAAGCATATCTCGATATCGAATGCAAATGAGAAAACCTTGCCTAAATCCGCGAAGAAACCGATAGTTCTGGAAGATTCGCAAGGGAAAGCTGTGCAAAAACCAATCAAGGCAAATACCGGTGCACGTGTAACATCCAAAAAAGAAAGACACGCGAAGCTGCCGTCGACGGCGAAGTGGAAAGAAACTTTTCCTGCATCTTTCGGGGCCCGTTTCCTCTCCACTGCTGGAGGTCGGTGGTGTGCAATGTAACTCTTCTGGGCAAGAATTCTTTGCTGAGGATCAAGCCAGGATCGTAAAGGCCCAATATTTTCAACTGACAGGTACGTGAATTTTTCAGAACGAAATCCTACCAGTTTGTACCGTGACCATGTTCATGAACTTTGATCGAGTGAGCAATGGCGGACCTAACGACACCATGCGAGAGGAGAAGTCATGGGCAGTCACTCTGTCAACTCAAACTTTACATAAGCGGGTGAAGAAAGGCCATTGGAGAATCCGAAAAGAGTCGACCAGATGTTGCCTCCGCCTCGGGGATGACTGCAGTTTTTGTGAAATCACCGGTCGGGCACGAGGTAGTTTTGCCCTTGTGCCTTGGCGTAGGGCTCGCGCTTGGAGCTCTCTTTCCCAGACTCGTCTTCTTCCCATGCTCGTTCCCTGTCGTTTTTGTGCCGCATTGATGAGTACCTGTATGTACATGACTGTATAGGATGGTAGTGAGAAGGATTGCAAAAGTATTATTATTGTTGTATGTGAGGCATCGTGCATTGGTTATCAGTACGACTTCCATGTCGGGCACTTTTATCGATACAAGATGAATTTTTCGCGATAGCCAGCTAGAATTGCCCTTTGACTGCGTAGCGTCCTTAGATATCGCGTGTGTTTACCACTCTGAATGCCATGGTCTACGGCTCGACTGTCGCTCTACTGTCGACTTTGTTCGTGTTCAAAATAATTATTATTCATCCGACCTCGAAAGAAACATCAGGGAGAGTGAGAGAGTTTCAGATCACTGAAATAGAAATTTTCGTTTTGGAGCTTTCTTTTGGCTATAATTAATTACTTTCATTCGGCATTCCAAGTGACCAAAGATAGGCGAATGCAGTGTAGATCTACCCGGCTTTGCATAATTATAGTACACGTGATTGCACTCTAAAGGCCGATTCATACTTCATCTCGCGTACGGGAAAGTCATCTCGTGACCGTCGCGATGGCTTTCCCGTACGCGAAATAGTTGAGCTCAGATCAACTTTTTCGCAACGCAACGCGTTTCCCGTACGCGAAGTATGAATCGGCCTTAATGGCCCGTCCGTAAATACATGTATTTACCTGTCCCCACAGGATACCGCGATTCCGCGGACGCGGAATTTTCCGCGTTATTGGTTATCATCCGCGTTTTCGTGAGATTACGCATAAATCCCGCGTTATTCAGGAGAATGTACAAGAAAATAGTGCATGCTGTTGAAAATGCACTACAAAGTCGTATGGGTTCATGAGTTTGTACGACAAAGTTGTATTCTTGCATGAGACTGCACGCTAAAGTTGTACCAGTGACAAATAACTCGTGCATAAATTGATAATGGCCGCATTAACCCGCGTATTTGCCGCATAATCCCGCATATTTGACGCATAATGGCCTGTTTTCGCCCGCATGATTATGCGCATAATTTTAGGATTTTGTCCGCGTTATTCTGTGGGGACAGATTTACTTAGAGACGTCTAACAGGCGTTTCTAAAAAAATACATTTCGGAGTGCATGAATACCGCGTCACTGCAGAGTAGACGGGGACACATAACTGTTCGCTATAAAGGATCAATTTGGTATGGGTTCAAACAGGGACATGGACATACAACCTGTTGGAATTTTCATTTCTGCGCGTTTCCGTACGCATGACGCAAAACGAACAAAGTCGCATGAGCCAAAATGGCAAGGCGACCGACACTGTTCATGTCCATGTACTATAGTATGTAATTTACGTCGTCCAGCATAGCAAGCTGCGCTTATTTCGGAGAGGGGGGTCCGAGTACGGAACGAACAATGTTTATTTCAGGGCGATAAAAAAACTCTTCCGACGGTGATTTGCCCATACAGTGTGCTGGCCTTCTTACGCTTTCGTATGGACATGTGTGTGCATGTATGTGTGTGTGTGGATGTGTGTGTGCATGTTGGTGTGTACATGGACATGCGTTCCTAATTCTACACGCACTGTGCAGAGTTGCGGTCGTGACAATGAGTGACTGGCTATTGCACGCCCATGCGGCTGCCACTGCTGACCAAGAGGTGGCGGCTGCAGCAGCAGCAGCAGCAGTTGCCGAAGTCAATCAGGCTGCAGAGGCGCTGACCGTTTTGCCACATGGACTGATGGATGGTATGTGTTGTCACTGGTGATGTTTTGCGTGTGTGTGTGTGTGCGTGCGTGTGTGTGTGTGTGTGTGTGTGTGTGTGTGTGTGTGTGTGTGTGTGTGTGTGTGTGTGTGTACTCTCTCTCTCTCTCTCTCTCTCTCTCTCTCTCTCTCTCTCTCTCTCTCTCTCTCTCTCTCTCTCTCTCTCTCTCTCTCTCTCTCTCTCTCTCTCTCTCTCTCTCTCTCTCTCTCTCTCTCTCTCTCTCTCTCTCTCTCTCTCTCTCTCTCTCTCTCTCTCTCTCTCTCTCTCTCTCTCTCTCTCTCTCTCTCTCTCTCTCTCTCTCTCTCTCTCTCTCTCTCTCTCTCTCTCTCTTTCGCACACACACTCTCTCCTCGCTCTCCTCATGCACCAAGGATTCTGAGTTGTGAAGATGCTATAGCTACAGTTGAGAAGTAGTTGTCACACATATGCCATGATCTACAGCAGTAGAAGAGTGAAGATGTGCATTCCACTCTTCCCCTGTACTAGAAGGTTCGTGCCTAGATGATGGCCCTCAGACAGCACACCATATCAAACTTTGGCGACTCTGAAGCCATTACCACACTTGTGCACATGTGTCTGTACTGCCATCGATCTTTTCTACAGCTGCAGTGCAGTGAAGTATTTGTTGAATCATCATTCTCATTTCCTGATCAGCCCGAGTTTGCAACAACCAGATCCTCAAGTACAAAAAAAATAGTACAGTGAGGGAGTTGAAAATGAAAAAAATTCAAGTTTGAAGGTAAAATATCACCACCGTCTTTCCCTCAAACCTGTGAATATAAAATCAGTTAAAATCACTAAAATTTCTCATTTCTTGTGTTGTGTCTTGTGTGTTTGCACGCAGGCGGTCACAATGCCATGCAGCCGCCTGAAGCCGGTGCCATCATCGAGACGGCCACAGTCGAGGACCACGCCGTGCAGGAGGGCGCCCTAGAGCAGGTGATCACGACGTCGACGGACGACCCCGTTGCCAATGAAGCGCTTCAGCAGGCGCTCAACGTTGCCGTGGCCATGGTGGTGTGCGTCAGCCAGGAAGGTGGGGACTCATTGTACAGGTCTTCCTTGGGGCTTGGTCAGACTGCAAAAAAATTCCCACTGCATGACGTGAAAAAAATCATTCAGGATTGACGTGACTGCAGTAGAGTAAAACCTGTGACTAACGGCCACGCGTTGGGGCCAGAGAAAGCGGTCTTTAGTGGCAGGTGGTCCTTAGTTAGAGGTTTGCATCGCACAACCATATGCCGGTATGAATGTGAGACCATCCGTGCCTGGCGAAGTGGTCTGTAGTACCAGGGTGGTCGCTAGTCACGGTGGTCTGTAGTACCAGGCTGGTCGCTAGTCACGGTGGTCTTTAGTTACAGGTTTTACTGTGCTTAGTCGCGATCAGACTACAAAAAGTGAGCGAATGAGTCAGAGCGCACCCCCAACCCGTTCAGTACAATCCTTGCCACCATTCCTTTGAGATTTCTTCTTGTCAGTGGATGCTCAGCACTTTGATCTCGAGATGACAACCCAGTGAGTATCAGCGGCCAATCCATGGTGTATCCGTGTCAAGCTACCGTTTAGAGCGGCAACGCTAAGCCCAGTCTTGCTTTTCACCAGCAGTTTCAACCCTGACTTTGCCGCTGTGGTGACAATTTACTGGCACTATGGAGATTCGGATTATAATCGCAGGATTATTTCGTTGTTGCTGCAGTCTGACCCGTCCCTGTTGCTAAGTGACAGTACTAGAACACCGGTAATGGCACATGCTGCTCGTGCTATATATGCTATTGTAGTTGCAGAGCATGCCTTTACTGTGCTTCTGTGTGTGGGTACGGGTCTGGGCAAGAGTACATAACCCCCCAGAGTGTGCAACTCCACTATGGGTGCTGTCCCGACAGAATTTCAAGTTGACGTCATTTTGATGATGCAATGCGCACTGTACACGGATTATCAGACGAATCCGGAACCTGTGGTTGACCGAAGCCGATCGATCCTGTACAAATTATTGCAAAGAAAAACGTGTGATGCGTTGACACCCGTACACATGTTGTAAATCACTGCTGCAAGGAGCATTGCGTCATAAATAATGACGTCAACTTGAAATTCTGTCGGGACAACAGGGTATGTGGGAGTTGCACACTCTGGGGGGTTATGTACTCTTGGTCTGGGTATGTGAGTGTGTGCGTGTATAGTGGCATTGTGTGCATGTGTGTGTGTGTCACTGTCCTTTTTTTCTTTTTCTTTTTTTACTATGTTCACATACCCAGTTCGAAAGGAATAATGAATGACAATGGTACAGAGACTAGGACAAATGTGTACTGCACGCCTATTTCTCTTGTGTGTGCACTATCTCTCTCTTGTGTGTGTGTGTGTGTGTGTGTGTGTGTGTGTGTGTGTGTGTGTGTGTGTGTGTGTGTGTGTGTGTGTGTGTGTGTGTGTGTGTGTGTGCACTATCTCTCTTGTGTGTGCACTGTGCGCTGGCCAGGTGCGTCATCCGTCATGTGTGCAAGCGACGGCGCCGAAGCCAAGCCGACTACGGTTGGCGAGCCACAGTTCGTGTGTGAAACTTGCGGGCAGCGCTTCTTACGCAAGAGCCACCTGTCACGCCACCGCCTGATCCACAGCGGCGAGCGGCCGTTCCAGTGCGACATGTGTGACAAGAGCTTCCGCCAGAGCAGCCACCTGTCGTCGCACAGGAACACGCACACCGGTGCTCGGCCGTACGTCTGTGGACAGTGCGACAAGGCGTTCGCCTCGTCTTCGGCACTCGGGCGACATCGACACACTCACACAGGTGAGAGATCATGACGACCTCAATTATATTCTCAAGCTTCCATTGAGAATAAAAAATAATCATCTTTTCATGAATGACTGTAGTCGAAATTTGGTTTAGCCTTGTGCTACATATTTTTTTTAAATGCAACAACCTCGTTAGACGGTCTTTGCAGTAAAGGACCATGTGTCATTATTAGAGACCAGGTCAACTTGGGTATCGTGCATTTTTTTAACATCATACACAGGGTCACGGTCACGGACTGGATACGTCATGTGTGTGTCTGTGCGTGTGTGTGTGTCTGTGCGTGTGTGTGTGTGTGTGTGTGTGTCATTACTGCTGCTGCTGTCGCTACTGCTGCGTTTTGTGCCCAGACCCATCAACCAAACCGCATGTGTGCGAGTGTGGCAAGGCATTTCGACGACTCAGTCATCTGGTCGGCCATCGGTACACACACACGGGTGAACGTCCGTACCAGTGTTCCGAGTGTGATCGAGCATTTGCTGATTCCTCCGGGCTCAGGCGACACAGAAGGCGACATGCACAGGGCACCGTTGGTCCAGGTACACCTCCTTTTCTCAGCTCTTGTTTATAGAGTGGCATGTCCTGTTCCTCTTTCTGCTTCACAGCTTGTTTTTGTTTTTTAGCCTTCTGTTGCTGTGTGTTCTGTGCTCTCTCTCTCTCTCTCTCTCTCTCTCTCTCTCTCTCTTTCTCTCTCTCTCTCCTGTAGTGGTACACGCTCTTCATTTTTCCGTATGTGTGCTGTGTTTTTGTGCTTGTGTATATGTAGACGGTGCTCGGCGGGCGCCCATCCTGCCGGTCGCGCCACGCACTCGCTCCGGCACTCGCCGGCTGCGTGGCACAGAGCTGGAGGACGGCGAGCTGCTGCCGTTTGACGAGAACGCCCTGACCGAGATGGCCCGAGAAGAGGCAGAACTGGAGGAAGGCGGAACGGCCGTCACCCTCATCACCGACGATCTGCTGAGCGGCTCTGGGGATCTGCTGGATGAAGATGAGACCATGGACTGTAGCGACAGGGAGGAGGAGATGCTAGCACAGGAGCTTGCCAACGAGAACATGGCGGCCGCCAACGTCCGTAGGGCGCTGGGCACTGACCTGAAGCCTATCGTCACGTCGGCGTTGGACTCTCCGCACCACGTCTCCAGCATCCCCAGTATGAGTGATGCAGCAGCTGTCGGCGGTGGTGTTGGTGTGGAAAACGGTGATTGCGACAGCGACGACATCATCGTCAGCGTGGACCCGCAGTCTCTGGGCGTGCCGCACAGCACGATACGAATCACGGAGGAAGCGCTGTGCCCCGAGCAGCAGGGTGCCACCACGGTCACAACCACGTCATCCACTAGCAACACGCTCGACCTGGACATAACCGGTGCGTCACTGGACGCTAGCTCACTGGTCTTGGGCTCCTCAGCAGTGTCCATGGATAGCATGGATGGCGTGGCAGCGGAGCTTAGTGCCGTCAGCAGTTCCGCCTTGTCTCTGGCAGCGGACGGCAGCGGTCTTTCTCTAGCCACGAGTACAGCGGCAGCGAGTCTGGACGTATCCATGGTCGACCTTGTTACGGACACTATTGACGATCTGGTGTGCACGTGTTGCAACGAGGCATTCACCAAGATGAGCGATCTGGTCAAGCACGCCAAGGTCTTGCATGTAGGCAGGGACGACAAACCATTCAGGTAGGACGCGGACGCTTTTCCCGGACCAGTGGATGGGTGTGTGTGTGTGTGTGGGTGTGCGTGTGTGTGTGCGTGCTTGATTGTGTGTGTGCATACGTGTGTGCGTGTGTTGAAAGGACTATACATGTAACTGTTGTATGTGACATTGTCGGATGCCAGGTGGCAACACTGTGTCCAGGCTTGCCACACCTTTCCATACCCATTATAGCTGTGCTTGCGCCGTTGGCATTTGGCAATCTTCCTCATCACCGATAACTTATATATATTGTGTGTGTGCGTGTGTGTCATTTTGCTTCCCCGTGCATGCACAGATGTTCCCAGTGCCTGAAGTGCTTTGCACGCCTCGGTCACCTACGCCGCCACCAAAAGTCTCACATGCCCAGCGTGCGGCCTTTCGCCTGCGAGGTCTGCTCCAAATACTTCCGACTGTTCTCGCACCTGAACGCTCACCGTTATGCTTGCCACTTGCAGGCTGGTAAGACGTACAAGTGTAGCATTTGCAAGAAGGTCTTTATGGATGAGAGCAGCCTCTGTAAACACAACGACAGGCACATTGTCGATGCGCAAGAGGCGGCGGCAGCTGCAGCGGCGGCTGCTGCTGCATCTGCAGGTATGTTTCTTGTGTGTGTGTGTGTGTGTGTGTGTGTGTGTGTGTGTGTGTGTGTGTGTGTGTGTGTGTGTGTGTGTGTGTGTGTGTGTGTGTGTGTGTGTGTGTGTAGCATTGACATTATGTTCACTAATGTGCTGATTGGCTTTGTGACGCTTTGTGAAGTGTCCACCTCAACTGTCTTGTCCTGGTCTCCTGTTCTCATTTACAGACAGCAAGATCCTGACCAACGGGCTGACGGGTGAGCAGGCAGAGGCTCTGTCGGCTGCTGTGGCCGATAGCTCTGGTATCACCATGTCGACGGCATCGGCTGTTCTGGGTCATGATGGTGGTAGTTCGTTACAGCCTCCGTCGCCTGGTATGTTATGCACGTGTGGGTGCAGGGGTGTATGTGCGTGCACAGGCCACGTCTCTTTCTCTCTCTATCTCTATCTATCTATCTATCTTTCAGACTTCCCACAAGTGCCTGAATGCGATGCAATGTGTCTGTGTGCTGCCCTGCCCATGCCTTGTTTATGAAGTCACTAAAAGATGTCAGACTCCGTGTAGACTTTTCATTTTCTACACTCTTTTTGTCCTTGTTCTTATTCTTTCTCTCACTCACTCTCTCTCTCTTTCTCCCTCTCCCTCTCTCCCTCTCCCTTTTTCTCTCTCCCTCTCTCCCTCTCCCTGTGTTCCTGTGTCCCTATGCAGTGCTCGCACGTCTAATGAGCGGCACTAGTTCGGAGCAGGAACAGGCCGCCGTGCAGCTGCTTTCCTCCATCATCAACACCACCGCCGTGTCCTCGTCGGGCGTCATGACAACAGCATCGCTACGCGCCAACGTGGCCGCCAGCATGCCACATCTGCTGCCCATTGTGCACCAATCCGCCGGCGGCGTCAGCGGCGGCGGGGACCTGACGTTCGTCACGCCCGATCCCAGCGTCCTGGTCACGCCGGTGGCCGGGGTGGACGGCTGCCATGACGACATCGACGTATCTGGCATGGCCGCCGTCACTCTTCCCCAGTCTGTTGGCATTGAGCTGGGCACGACGGACGCGCTCGCCGAGATTGTGCACTCGGATCATCTGCGGACGATCGGCGAGGAGCGCATCATCCACGTTGACCATCTCGGTGGCATGAGCACGCATCAACACCTGGGACATCTCTCGCCCGACGGTGCAGCTGAAGAGGTGATTATCACTGTGACTGATACATGAGCAGGACACACGCATGCATCCTGGGCCAGAATACTAGTACGCTGTGCTGTCAACCGTTTACTTTCCTCGGCAATCGGCCTTTGATTGCTTCTGTGTTGACGTCGAGATCCTGCAAGAGGCTTTCACCACTCTCACTGGCTGATTCCACGTCAGCTGCAACCTCTCACACGGTTAACAGTATGCTGTTCGCAGCTAATCCGTCTGTGGCCGTGGCCCTATTGGCGCTCCTTGTGTCGGAGCATTGAAGAAGAGAAACAAAAGAAGAAAATTGAGGCGTTGACATTCGCGTGTTAAGCATCTCCCCCCGGGCCAGGGTGTGTGGTCTTTCATGACGGGAGTGCTTCCAAACCGCCCCGCCCCCGTATCCACTCACAAGTCCAGTTCCACCTCCGCATCCGCTCACGAGTCCCGTATCCGTGTCCCGGTTGCTGTAACCATCCTCTGACGGTTTCTCCACAACAGCTGCCTACATAGCTTCTCTTCACCGCGTGCTGTCGCAGGTGGATTGCGAAGCAGTGCATCGCTCTGAGCGTGGTGGGCGGATACATTGTGACGTATTGCATCACTCGGTGATGCGGTTTGCGGACTGTGACACATGACTTTGTCGCCTCTCTCCGTGGCAGGCGGCACAACCTTGCAGCCATCAGTCAGCGTAGGATATGAGCATAAAATGAGTTTTTGGCCAGTGCTCACTGTCATGGTCGTTTATCAATGGTGTCCTTGAGCTGTGGTGATGAACCATGGCTGTGCTGTACGTTTGTTAAAGCCAGCGATGGTGCGCGTGTGTGTACGTGCCTTCTTGTCATCCGAAGCCACTCAACCGCTCACCGAACTGCGTGTGCCTGAAGGTGGAACGTTAGTCTTCGCCGTGCACCTACACACGTCCTAGCTGCTATCCTTTCCGATTCTAGCCTCTACCACGCTGCTTTAGTGTGGTGCCGAGCCACCTGGTTGTGGCTATGGCTTCTCTCTCAGTACGTGTAGATACGCGCGGGGAGAATTCGACTATCTAGTCCGTTCTCAGTACTTTGTATCCTTCAGATGATTTTTGTATTCCAGCTCTGGGTTTGTAGTCGGAATCTATACAAACATTTTGTTTAGTGCTGAGCCATCCTGGTACAGTTAGAGGTATGTAACCTTTTTCTGCCAGTAGATGAAAATGCCAGGAGAATTCAACTGGGTGGTCTGTTCTTAGTACTTTGTAACATTCAGATGATTGTTGTATTCCTGCTCTGGCTGTGTGACCACAGTTTGTACAGAATTTTCTTTTTGGTGTGGAGCCATCTTTGTACAGCTGCAAGCCTTCTCTCCCACTAGATGAACAGCCGGGAGAATCCGTCTGGTTGGTCTCGAGTATTCTTAAAGTGCATTGTGTCCTTCAGATGATTTTTGTATTCCCGCCCTGGGTTTGTGACCACAGTTTGTACAGAACCTTTGCTCGGTGCTGAGCCACCCTTGTACAGCAAGCGTTGTACGCTTGTAGCCTTTTCTCCTAGTAGATGAACAGGCCAGGAGAATCCTTCAGATGATATCTTATTCCCGCTTTGGGCTTGTACTAAGTTGTAGTCGGAGTTTGTACAGAACTGTTGTTTGGTGCTGAGCTACCGTTGTACAGTGACAGGCACGTGGCTGTCAGGCTCCTAGTAGATATGCATGCCGGGAGAAGCCGACTCGGTGGTTCGTTCTTATTACCGTTTGTATCCTTCAGATGATTTCGTATTCCCGCTCTGGGTTTGTGACCAGAATTTGTACAGAACTACAGTAGTGATCATGTAGCGACAGTTCGTTCATTGCCGTATGTTTGGACTCAGCCGCCCAGTTGCCCTGTTGCTGCTGCCATTCTCGCGTCTCCTTGCAGTGTTTGTTTGGTGGCTGACTCGTGCATGGTTTCTCAGGTGCTTTTGTCCTGTAACCGTCCATGCCTTCTTATCTCGTGTTGTTGCTTCTAAGACTTAGGCGCGCTGTGTTCTCGTCAATGCCCTCTTGTTTTTGTTTCTTTTTTGTTTCGGTTATGTTGTGTGCCTTGCTTGGCAAACTGTTGCGTAGTTCAGTGTAAATAGCAACATGTACCCAGTCGCGAATGGACGATTACCCGCTGGGGCACACCTTCGTGCAAACAAAACTCCTTTGTGCTGGCTGAACATGACCTTGTAGCCTACTGTCTTGTTTCTTCTTCTTTTTTAATTTCCTTGAGACTAGTGGATCCACTCGGAGGCCTCCGGAATGAGGAGTGTCGCTGAGAACCGTTACTGTACTCGTACCTGTCTTTCTTTTTCTTTTTTTTAATTTCCTGGAGACTAATGGAAAGGCCTCCAGAACTTTTGAAGAGATGGAGTGTCGCTGAGAACCGGTGTGTGATTCGTGAGTCTTTCGGCTTTCTTATCACTGCCCTCCTCATGGTGCAGGCATGTGCGTATGTGTGGGTTGGTGGGTGAGTGTGAGTGCATGTGTGTGAGACAGTCTCATTCAGGTCTTATCGTTGCTATAAGAGAAAATCTGTAAGTGCATTAGCAGATTTGCTTGCTCCTCTTGCGACGGGCGTATGCATGGTACATGGTGTGTGTGCGCGTGTGCATGCTTCACGTCTGAGAATAATGTTTAGTTTGTGTTGTTCCCATTGGATGTGGAGATTCGTTATCCATTTTTAATTAAAAAGTCGTCAGACACCCTGAACTCTGTCCAGCATTTTACTCCCTATCTGCTTTGTAACATTGCGTAAGGATATGGAGGGGGGGGGGGCACCTTTCCCTTTTTTATTATTATAATTTGAGGATTTCCCAAAGACATACCAGTAGTCTAAATTGAGGGGAGTTCCATTATAATGGGAGGCCGTATACATGTAGGGTGGAGGTAGCAACCAGGAAGTGGATGGCTAATCAAAACAGCATACAATATAGTTCAAGACAATACATACCGTACATGTACATAGCAGACTCAGCGGTGGACGTTCAGGTTGGTTGTAACTCTGAGTTTCATGCCGCTAGGCAATCATCAGACAACTGATACTCGGGTTACACAACAGTATGCTTACAAACACATAGGGCCACAACTACACAAGCATAAACAAATTTAGCGCTAAATCTGGACTGGTGTGAGGTATGGGGAGAAAGCTGGCGCGGGCCAAGGCGCGACATGTCGACTGTGGAAGTGGCGGGCAACAGGCAGGTGTGAGCATGAAAGCGCGGAAAGAGGCGATGGGGAGGCAGTGTATACAGCAGATTGGTGGAGGTGCCAGGAGGATGGCGGGCAATGGGCCAGTGAGATCGCTACAAGTAGGGGGTCGTTTGGTGACGGGCAGGCGTGAGCAGAGTGGCATCGCCAACAACAGGCCAAGGGATTGTGTTATAATAATGGGTGCTCAGGCAAAGTGCAGTACAGTACTTGGTCAGTTCATTTGATAGATGTGAAATTTGCGAGGCGGAACTTATTCTCATGCCTGCATTTCGAGACCATCTCAGACCGCTTGTTGAGTAGGAGCTTCTCGGGTGTAGTCAGGATGTGGAATTTTTCCGCGGTACATAGATTGCATTTTTTTACTCACATCTGTATGATCGGCTCTTCTCCCGCACCATCCATGTAATGGGCTTTCCCTCGCTCTTCAGCTCCCATACGTGTTTTCCGAGCTCCGTGCTGTTTTTGTATTTTTCATGACGCATGGAGGTCGGGTGGTTGGCGTGACGGGCTTTGAAAGGTGTGATAGGCCGATGTAAATCTTGCTGGTAGATTCTGCAGTGGCCTCATACACAATCTCTTTCGTCTGGCACTCTCCGTCTCCGCGCAGCGGGCAGGATTCCTTGATTCTACAGTTGCATGCCTTGGTTTGTTCTGGCTCTCGCAGGTTGCTCTTGTTGTGGCTGCTGATGACCGCTCCCATGTTGGACATGGAACTGTAGCTCACTTTCAGAGTGTTACGGTTGAAAATCTTCCCGAGCTTGTATGTTTTCGGGAAGTGCCTGGAGACAAGGCTCAGGAACCTACCAGCGACGTTTGTGCTAACGTTTTTGGAGTACTGTAGGGAGGGTTGAACCATAATAATGACCTTCCGGCTGCGATTCTTCCTGCCCCTGTGCTCATGTGCCTCGGGCTGAAAGCTCAGCACTTCGGTGTATCCACTGGCCTTTAATGCGGTCTGGTACACGGGGGCTGCATGGTTGAATGCCTCCGCGTCGCTCGATATAGCGGAAAGGCGCTTGTTGACAGCAGCAGGGATGTTGTTGGTGATCCCAGGCGGGTGGTTGGACTGCTTGCTGACGTAGAGCGGGTTGTCATTTGGCTTTCGGAAGGGTTGAAATTTCCCGGTGTCCAGGTTCATGGTGACATCCAGGAAATCCACCACCTTCAAGTTCGCTTCGATGGTAATTTTTAGGTCGAAGCGCTTGAAGATTTCCGTCAGCTTTTTTCTGAGGCGGTCTGCAGCCTGTAGGCTGGTGTCCTTGAGGGCGGCCAGTCCATCGTCTCTGTAGAGGCCGATAGCGGATCTATCGACGAGGCTTGAGAGCTGGTTGAGAAGAAAGGCGCCCACAAGTTCGCACGTCTCGGCGCCATCGATACTTCCCCGCCATTGTTACGTCAAACATGTCGCCCGTGTCCTTCATCCAGGGGCGGCCATCGTGGAATAGGAGCGATTTCCGGGCGTGAAAGATGATGTCCATTTCACGCGGCTCGATCGTGGTGAATTGCTCCGCGAACGATAAGGCCTGACGGAGGAGCTGCTCACCAATTGACGGGTAGAATTCTACCACGTCAAAGCATAGGAACGTGTGGCGCTGTTTGTCGGGTATCTCCTTGAACCAATCGATCACTGATATGTTGCTCCTCCATAGGTTCACGGCCGTTTGGCGACGCACAGCAGCCACGATCTTCTCCAGCTTCCGCGCTTTCATGCTCACACCTGCCTGTTGCCCGCCACCCTCCTGGCACTTCCACTGTCGCGCCTTGGCCCGCGCCAGCTTTCTCCCCATACCTCACACCAGATTTAGCGCTAAATTTGTTTATGCTTGTGGCCCTATGTGTTTATAAGCATACTGTTGAGTAGACCCGAGTATCAGTTGTCTGATGATTGCCTAGCGGCATGAAACTCAGAGTTACAACCAATCTGAACGTCCTCCGCTGAGTCTGCTATGTACTAAGCTCTGTCTCTGACATTGAGCATTCTCTGCAGCTCGGGGATCAACGGATTTGTACTGTACATGTACATGTATGTAGTATGGGCTATGCGGAATGTTCCTGTACTCAATAATACCTTCGCGCGGCCCTTCTGGAAAGTTCTTTGGAATTGAGTTGGCCAGAGATGGACACGGTCCGTATGGAGGTAACAGGCGCCACCGCCCTCTTGATCATATCGGCCACATACCGCCGCTAACACCAAGAGCATCATAACAGGGGGTCATGTTCCGTCTTGATACATGTAAGACCAAGAGTACAATAATAGAAAAGCTGACAGGATCGCTTTTCTAAATTATAACCCCTGGGGGGGGGGGTTATAATACTCTCGATACTACTCTTATAGCTCTTGGTACTGTGGTCATCCTCATAATTTGTCACTCCTCACACGTGCAGGGTGACGTACATGGGCATAGTTTCCTGCTACGCAAGTCTCCCGGTGATAGAGCGAAGGTCCGAGGACAACTCGTCCTATGTTTGCACTCCACCATTGAGGAATTATTTTGTCTATTCTACAAGTACTATTCACCGGAGGTAATACAGAACAACAACCTTTTAAGTAGTGACAAACAACACAACCGGCAGCAGCCTTGATTGCCCCTTGTTGTTCTCTGTTACCATGGTTACTGTAGGATACTAAATCATAGACAGACTACAATCATACATGTACACACTGGAGAGGTTGCTGGAGAGGTTAGCAGCTTGTGATTGGATTTCTCACCTGCCATTTTCTTGGAACTTTGAACTTGACCCCTGGTACTGTGTTGCTGGAGAATTGTAACTTATCATTCTCACACTCTGCCCGTAATCTTGCGCCCATGTTTTGTAGTATAAATCGGACCATCTCCACCTGATATCATCCTATTCAATATCACCTTCTCTGATGAGCCTTGTCAAGGCGAAACAGCTGTCAGGAGGAATTTCAGTATCTACCTGCAACCCTTCCTTGTATGGCTGTTGGTGTGTGTAATGGCTACCGAGGGTAGCAGTGAGTCGGCTGTGAGAGCGCATGGAAGAGAGGAGAGGAAGAGTTCTTTACATGTACACACCGGTACATACAGTACATGTCATAGCAGTGAAACCTCTCAAGACGGGTTTAGCCAACCGCGCAAGGCATGCAACTACTTCAGCCGTGTCCCTTTTTTCGGGTGGTCTCCTTATCCAGGGCCGTTTAAGTGGCTCAGTATGCCATGGTCTGATTGTATTGGCCTTCTGGGACAGGTGGTCGCCTTGACAGGGCTTACTGTATAAACCAGGACAGCGTAGCTAGTAAATCTACCGCGTCGACCGCTTAGCTACCTCTCAGAAAAATACGACACGCTACTAAAATTTCACCAGTTGTATTCTTCGGGGTGCTGAGTCGAATGGTCTTGGTCCGAGAAAGCTGAGACGCTCCCTTCCTACTTGAATCCCAATCGAACTCGCGCACTTCCACCGAAACTGGGTGACTGCGCCCTACTAGATGGGGATTTGTATGCAAAATGTCACTAAAAGCGTCATTTCGTTCTTATAAAAGCACGGATGACCGCGATTGGCCCATATGTTGTAGTCTTTTGGACGCTGAGTCGACTGGTTTTGGTCCGAAAAGGCTGCGATGCAGCGTTCCTCCTTTATTCCCAATCGAACATGGTTGAACAAGTGGTCACGTGCTCCTGCGTACACCAGTCAGCTGGTTACCGTGCCTGCAGGGTACAACTAACTAACTACTTACTAGCCTGTTTGACCTTTTTTGGGTGCAGTCCTGTCACTCGAGTTGAACCTTGGTGTGAAAGTTGTCGCCTGCTGGCGTGGTGACCAGGTGATTTGGGCACCCAGGAGCACGTGACCACTTGTTGAACCATGTTCGATTGGGAATAAAGGAGGAACGCTGCATCGCAGCCTTTTCGGACCAAAACCAGTCGACTCAGCGTCCAAAAGACTACAACATATCGGCCAATCGCGGTCATCCGTGCTTTTATAAGAACGAAATGGCGCTTTTAGTGACATTTTGCATACAATTCCCCATCTAGTAGGGCGCAGTCACCCAGTTTCGGTGGAAGTGCGCGAGTTCGATTGGGATTCAAGTAGGAAGGGAGCGTCTCAGCTTCCTCGGACCACGACCATTCGACTCAGCACCCCGAAGACTACAACTGGTGGAATTTTAATTTTTGCCTTAACTTCCCCTTTAAAATACCGGTAGGTGACAAAATGCATGCAGGTGTCAGCACAACAGAACGCATTGATAACCATCGATCGTTTCTACACCGCACTACAAGTTGTAGTAATTGCTTCAAGCTTCATTGGTATAGCGTTGTAGTAGGACTACGGTCATGTAGGTACAGTAGTTTGACTTGGTGTGGTTCACGCTCTTCTAGACGCTCTACCACCACCCATTGTACACTCGTCAAGGGTCTAACAAGCCACTTGCTAACGCAGAGTGCGAAGCACTTGAGCGACTGCGATAGCGATAGATCCTCTCCGCTTTTCAAAACCTTTCAAGACTCCCGAAGAGTGGACAAGTCCCGGCCCGGGCGATACACATGCACAGCATGCAGCACGGCTATTCTGAACTAATGTTACTTGACGAAAGTAAGTTGTCTGTACGCACATATATATATAAATTATCGTTGTTCACACGTTGATCTACGTAGACCATACATGGTAGGTGTGGACCGGGACTGCACCCTGGTGGACAGTAGATCTACATGGCGAGATACACAATGTTCATCGATCGTCGAATAAGTAGTTGGTTGAAAGGGCGGTTGGAGTGTTGCAAAACATCGCAATAGAACAGTGCTGTGTCCTTGTGCTGACTGTTGTAGCTCTCGAGATATCTCACTCTCACTTCTCAGGTCATTTATGATGCTGCCACCTGTTTGCACCTTGAAAGCAGCGGGGAACGCACGTGCAAAGGCAAAGGACTCGCCCTTCTGGTGAGTCTGTCTGACGCTACTTCAGTGCTTGTCGCTAGCCACCAGTAGATCTACGTACCAGCCGCACACGAAACAATACAATGCAGAGCGCATGATGTTGCGACGTGGATGGACCGGAATGCTAGATCTAGAAGGTCCGGCCGAAGTTCCGGAGATAGCTCCGCACATGGTTCGACACTGCTGCGTTCCTGAAAATTAATGAGTCGCTCTATCGCTACTGACGCTAGCATGTCCACCCAGTCACAGTGTTGAGATCGGCTGTGGGTTCGTGCGGCGTTTGCCAACGATGTTTGACTTTGAGGTCGAAGCCAAGATGCAGGGTGCGGGCAGTTGTGGCTGATTTTTGTTGTTATGGAGTAACCACCGGTGCACCCAGGGAAAGCAGTGCCAGCTCTAGAGAGCGCGCACATGCGGGACGGAATTTCGTTCATAGCCGTTCGGATCAGTGCCCTTGTTTGGCGTCATTCGAACGCCAGACGTGCCGGTCGGTTCGGAGAAAAGAAGGAGACGACCTACGGCACGGGTACGAGCTTGCATGGCGTTATCAATGGAGGCGACGGCGGTGGCGGCGCGGACAAGCGGATACGCCATGACTGTGACAGGCGGCACGGAGCTGGAACGACGCTCGTCATTAGCATGCGCGTCCGGCCTTCAACGCGCTGCTGCTGTGACCTCGTTGGTGCGTTCGTCGCTGGTGACCCTGTGTAGCCAGGCTGAGCGAGTGTTGACAAGGTTTGGCGATTTACCATTCGCAGTGCGGAATGTTGCCACCAGCGTCGTGCGAACGTCGTCGTCAGGTGAACGCGGTGTTGTTAGCTGTGCATGTGACGAGCGGCTGGCACGTGGACCCGTCGCTAGTAGTGATGGGTGGCACCGTGCAGTTCAAGGCGATGAGCAGAGCGAGGGTAGATCTAAAATTTCAAGGACGGTTGACAAGGGTCCGCCCAATCTTGCGAACTGCTCGTCGACATGTAGCGGCCACAACAATGTGTCGAATGTGCAAGCTCGGCATAATACAGCTGTGCCTGGCCTACTAAAGTTCTCACCACAGGCCATACACAATGGCGATGAAGGCACCAGTAAACAGCGGACAAGATCTGCACATTCATCGCCTCACAGGCATAGCCATAGAGCTCATACCCACCTGCAGCAGCAGCAGGGAGTGAACAAACTGGGCCTACTCGTCCTTGTCGTTCTTCTCCAGTCGACATTGCCCAGTAGCAGGGGCCAGCCAGGTGGCTTGTTCGGCGGTGGTGGACACGCCTTGCACGGGGAGAACGACGGGGTGACGGCGTCGAAACAGGACTGTTCGAGGCTGTGCCGACGGTACCTGCGCGAGGCGGACAGTTACCTGGACGTGGACCAGCTGGACCCGGCGCAGCAGAGCGAGCGCTGCGACGCCATGTACCGCCTCATACAGTGCCTGGGCACGGTGGACTTCACGGCGAGCCGCACCGGGCACGTGGACCCGGCGCATGGCAACTGCGATCTGAACTTCGAGATGCTGCTGGCGCAGAACTGGGCACTGGACATGCTGCGCACGACGTGTGCCGGTGCAATACCGCCGGCCGAGGACGCGTGCAACGTGTCCAAGACGTGTCCGAGCACGCGGCAGGGCGGCGGCGGCGCCGCGGACAAACGCCGTCAGCTGCCGGCCGCCGTGTGTGCCGCTCGTGCCCTGCACGTGTGCCAGCTGTTCGGCGATCGTCACCTGATCCGCACGGACGGCGTGCTGGAAACGTGCCTGTTGCCGGGACGATGGCCGCTGGTGCAGTTCGACCGGGTCGGCGTGTACACGGCTAACACGCCGTATTTGGACAAGCCGCGTCTGAACCAGCTGTACCCGATGATCAACGAAACCAGCAACTTGCAGATGGTAAGTACATGTAATTTACTTTCCGAAGTATAAGGCTATGATCGTTTGGTCGGATCCGGATCCAGATCCTAATCTCAGATCCGTCGGATCCTTCAGAATCAACTGATCACTTTTTTTAGACCTTGGCTGTTGCCATGTTGACGAAGTAAAAGATGGCGCTGACAGGTCACCCAAAAAGGCGAAAGTCTTACTGATCGCGCGCACGCGCGTCGTACGAAAAGTCAACGAGAGCCGACTAGTCGTACGACAATGAGTACAAAAATGATTTTTACCCGCCAAATACCCACAGAGTTTACATTTGGATCCGATGGATCCAGTCAACCCTGCTCCCAGGGCAGGGTTACTCGGATCCGAATACGAAGGATCTGGGTCCGGATTCGACCAAACGATCACTGCAAATCCAGTGGATCCGACGGATCCGGATCTGGATCCGACTAAACAATCACAGCCTAATAATAAAAGCCACACCAAGATTTTTGTCAAGAAATACAGACATCTACCTTATTTATCACCGCTAATTTGATCATCATAGCATAAGCCCGGCCGAACCGGCTATTTTTTTGGTGAGTTACTCGTGTTTAACTCTTTCACCACTGTCGACGTATATATACGTCATGGCGTGTGCACTTGCCCCACTGACGACGTATATATATATACGTCCTCAGTGTACGTCGCGTTTGTACTGATGCCTGAACGTCAGCGGGGCCTGGAACTGTTCTTCAGTGGGCTGAAGGACCTGATCAACATGTACGCAGCGTATACAGCCAGTCCGCACAGCAGAACAGCCGCGAGCATTAGGCCCAGACAGATCCTGCCGGCAATTCTTTCGGCAAAATATCGAAGAATTGAAAGAGCGGAAATTGCCAGCAAAATCGGAGCAAAATATCGAGATGTTGGGTAAAATCGATGCCTGATACTTGGATTTCCTTGTTTCTTACCCGTTCAGCAGGACACACTGCCCAGGACGAGATCATGTCACCGAAATGTCACTGGGATTCACTGTGGATCGACATGATTTTAGAAGAACTCAGCGATACGTGCGTGGAAACCCGTGTTGAGAAACCGACCCTGCGATTTTTATGAAATGTTGTACGGGATTGTATACGGGAAGTGGATAAAATACACGTTTTTCCAGAACAAAATATCGAGTTTCTTGTGCCAGGCTTGGCAAAATATCGAAGATTTCGCAGCAACATTTTCCGGCCAAAATATCGATGTGTCTGGGCCTAGCGAGTACCGTAAAATCCCGCCAGAGCGCCCCTACCTCCTCGACGCTTCGGGTGGGGAGGGGTGGATGGGCGAGTCCTACTTGCCGCATTCAGTACTGTACATGAAAAAGTACTCACCTTACGAAAACTGTTCATGTTCGTGCATCTTGTACACGGACCAAAGGTCAAGAGCCAGGAGTCGTACAGATCCGTCAAAACTCAGGGTGTGTGTACGGTGATCCCTGGTCAAGAGGGTGGGCACTGTTGCGTACATTTCCAATGGGGTCGAGCACGCGTCTGCAGTACAGTACGGCATCATAGACTGTGACAGAGTCATACGAGGATACAATCAATCACGTCCCTGACAAGAAGTCAGGGAGGAGCAGATGGGAGAGACGGTGCGCTCTGGCGGGATTTTACGGTACATGTGTCACCCAGTGCTATGATTTTATTCATGAGGTTGGAATTCTCTGGCTGGTACCGTACCTGGCATTGCTGGGGAGGAAGTTAACGGCAACCTACCTCAAATTTACCCAATACTGGCAATGTGCTGTTTGCCACAAAATAAGTACCACTGACATGGCTGTCGCCGAAAATTCATGAAAATTAATGCTATAATATCACCGGCGCTAAAATTACATGTTTTTAATCATGACGTTGATCCCGTGCATTGGGCATGAGTTATGTGCCTATTGCCTGCTATCTTACGTTTTTTTCTTTTCTTCTCTGCCCGCTCTGTCGGTCTTCTGGCACATGTGAATACGTGGACTTACTGTTGACGTAAACGCGGACGTGCGTATAATAATATTAATAATGACGTTGATGGTCAGCAATCACACCAACAAGCACAGCAAGCTGGTGTGTTTGTCGGTAATCTACCAGAGTCTACAAATGTTTGGCCCATTCGAATTTCGGCCTCCCAGGGCTAAAATCCTTTTCGGCCTCATCAAATGTTCGGCCTGTACTACTGTGACCTGTACAACACTGTCACACTCAACCTTGCAAAATTAAATTTCGGCGGCAACAAATTTTCGGCCAAACATGACCAGGCCGAAAATAACCGAAAATAAATATGCGCCGCATATCATGTTGACCTACAGTACTAGAGAAATGAAAGGTGGGTGTGTGACGACAATTTCAAGATATACTAGTATTTCTCAGTCTCACGGCGTGCTGTTGCCATCCATCCATGGCTGTTGTCTGTGCACAGGTGGAGATATCCCTGACTCTGGACGACTACACCACCGTACGCTACACGGCTTCGGCCAGCAGCCTGTACCTGGTACCTCTGTTTGTACTAGCGGATGGTGAGACTCACGTCAGCGAAGTGCGCCTGGACGGAAGAAGGGCTGATGGTGATGGTGGTGAAAATGACGATCAACGGGTGGCGCGCATCTGGGCAGACGGCGAGAACCACCTGCGCACCGTGGAGATCACGTTGCCGTGGTTATGCACCGTGATCGTCCTGCGCCTTTTCAGCCACAGCCTGACGGTGAGCATCGCCATGCCAACGGACCAGCGCGACGTTCTCCGTCGCCACGGCTTCCAGCTGTGTCGGCAGGGGTGCGCGCCGAAAGGAGCCGGCCTGGTGGCACGCTACGAGTGGACCGGCAGCAAGTGCTCTAGCAACGGCGAGGGCGGTGGCCTGCGTGAGAGCTTTAGCAAGGCCGAGCGGCAGCTCAACTTGACGGCTTCAACGCAGGCGCAGCACGAGTGCATGAACATACTGCAGAAGCTCGGGCCGTCCATCTACCTCTCGGCATGCCGATGGGACGTTGCGCTGCGTGCGTCACGGCCCAGAGACGTGCGACGGCAGTTCTCCTGCGGCGCCGAGTTTGCAGCGCATGACGCCGAGTGTCTGCCCGCGATCGCCACGGGAGGTGCTCCGCCGAACAAGTGCAAGAACGTCATCGTTTCACCACCGGCAGCAGCCACGACTGCGCCGGCAACCAGCCCAGACCCCGGTAAAACACCGCCACCGCCGACATCCTACACGACGGAACGCTCTACGAGACGGAATGAAGAAGCTGCAGGTCATGTTTTGAAAACGGTGCCCGCGCTGGAAAATTCAGTGTCGGCTCGCATCTCCCCTCCAGAATTCGTTGTTCTCACCATGTTGGGCATGTTATTGCTGGCGACGGGCTGTGTATAACGAGATGTTGTGTGCGTGCGTGATCAATAGTCTCCACTCGGCGGCTGTCCAGATGCCAAGTACGCTTTGCTCTCCGGCTTGATTCCGATACTGTCATCATATTCCCTGTGACGTATGCCAGCTCGGAGTGTGTGTGTGTGTGCGTGCGCGCGCGTGTGTGTGTGTGTGCGTGTTCGCGTGCGTGTACCATGGACATGCTCCAGCCGTTCAGGACCGACCGGTCATCGCTGGACTCTGTTGAACACTCCACTGAATGCCCGTGGACCATGCAATGCGTACAATTAACGCCCCAGAACTGCCGCCAAGATATGCTCTGCGTTGCAGATCGTACTCACAGCATGTGGTGCATGCGTAAGGACTCCAGCCTCGGTGCCTTGCATCGCCACATGTATACTACTTGCTCGTGCAGTCTCGATCAGGGAAGCCTTGGCTTTGTGACATGCACTGTGTGGACACACAGTACCGTGCCGACCTGTACAACACTGGCCTACCATCGGCCAATGACGCCGGGAAAACACCGAGACTCACGGCACCGCATTGGTCAGACTGCAGCAAGGTGGATGTGTTGGTTTAGCTATTAGCTTACTTAATCCCCGGCTGCAAGTGGCATTATCGCCGATTACAAGTACACGTAGCTTTATCCCCGGATGCAGGTGTGCAATGTTGACCTGTAGGTTTCAGTCTGTTTCGTGAACTTGTCAAGCAATGTTGTGAACGATTCATCCATTTTTTAAACTATTCCGTGTTCCAAATTTTCGATTTCGGACCGCTTTCAAACATTCTGAGTTTCCACTACTTTAACTAATCCGTATTTCAAAGTGTTGATTAGGACTAGGACCGCTTTCAAACAGTCTCAGTTTGCTGCGGTTGGTCATATTGTGCATACCTTTCACACCCGGCGCCATGGCCATGTTTACACTGTTAAAGTTGCTGAATTTCTTTGAGACTGAGCCCCCAACCTCCGCTCTTAATTTATCCAACCCGTAGTTCCCACCTGCACACTTGAAGTTGAATACGTGACCGTCGACTCTTTGCCCTGGCAATATTGACCAATTTATGCCGCTGTACAACTGAGCCGCCTATGCAGGAAAGTCCGTGGCAACCGTGATGCTCCATAAACGGTTTTTCAGTTTAGCGACTTCCTGTGCATGTGTGTGTGTGTGTGTGTGTTTGTGTGTGTGTGTGTGGTGTGTGTGTGTGCGCGCATGTGTGTGTGTGTGTGTGTGCGAGTGTGTGTGTGTGTGTGTGTGTGTGTGTGTGTGTGTGTGTGCATGTGCATGTGTGCGAACAGAATTGTGCTGATAACATCCGATGGTTATGTTTGGTATGGTTTGGAAAATTCCCAGGAACCGCCGGAATTCTGACAAGAATGCGATTTGACTGTACGCGCACGCACAGTACGATTTTTGTATTCCTTCTGGCACTACCGTGACAAAAGAGCTGGGTCATTTTTCTGATGTGTGGGTATCCTCTTTGAACTTTCCACGGGAAAGTTTATGAGTGGCATACTGGCAGTCAGGTCTATAATAATTATAGTCTGTTGAATCACCTGCAGAAATTTAGCTCTGTTGGATTCTTTTCTTTTCTTCTTTTCGACCCAAGTTTTTAATTCTGCCCCAAATCAGAAAAGCATGCTTTCAAAACTGCGGCCTTTCTGAATCTTGCTTGTCTAGATCGCTGTAAGCACACCCGGCTTAGGGTGTGTTCAGACTACCGATAAAAAGTGACCGATTGGGAAAGTTTCCAAGGTGATTTGATCACGTGACGTTACCGGCAGAAAAGTTTTACTGCCGCGGCTGCTGCGGCCGTAAAACCTTTCCGTCAGTAAAAATAGTGTTCAGGCTGGGAAAAAGGGAAAATCCCATCTCAGTGCCGCGGTGAGAGCTGCAGAACTTACATAACCATGATAACGGTTGCGTTTGTTTATCGGTAGTGTGAATGTCCTTCGAGCTTCACGGTTAAATAATCACCATTCGAATATTCACGGTTTGATGGGATTTACGGTAGTCTGGACGCGCTCTGAACGCGCCAGCGGATAATGCTGGCAGACTCAGTTGAAACTGGCAGAATTTGGTACTTTCTGTGGTAAGTTACCATGGTTACGTCATCATGCACACGTACATGTACACGTACGTGATGATGCGTGCGCCCAGATCCCCCCCCCCCTTATTGCCGCTCGTGCTCCGCGGGGAGCCGCCATACCAGGCTAGCTACGGTCGGTGCACTGTACTGGGAGATCTACATGCCAAACATTACATGGGGTATGGCGTAGATCTACTGTCGTACTGATCTCTTCGATCGACTCTTGTCAGTCTTGACCAGGGAGTCCTAAAAATTAATACGACTCCCTGGTTTGGTCTTGACTCTTTGATCTTGACATGACTTGAGTCTTGTGCTGGAACACGTGAACTCAGCCACAAGTAGTTTAGAGTTGTGTGGCCGCAGGGAGTCGTCAAATACCGGTATTTGACGACTCCCTAGCTGGCCCTGTAGCTGTGTGCATGTGGCCGAGTTCACGTGTTCCAGTTTTGGCAAAAAATATTATTATAAAAAGACTGCGTGAACATGCATTATGCGCATGCATGGTACATGGTGGCTACGTCATAAGTACAGCGTACACGCGCCGCCCATTACATGTATACCAAGGTATACAGTGTGTGAACGTTGAACGTGCTTGAACCATGGCATGTGCATGTGATGATTGTGTACAACATTGAACGAGAGGTCGGCCTTCCCCAGTTTGGCAAACAACAGTCTACTGTACTGATCCTCGCTGGCGCATTTGCAGTCCTCTTTCAGGCTTGCTCGGTGCAGCTTCATGGAGTGAGCATTTTTGAAGTTCCTTCAGTTCACGAAGCATTTTTGTCGCTGTTTTATGGGACTATCTGGCTGTTTCTGATCATTGGAGTCGTCACCCAATGTTATAAACCATCTATTTGTAATGGACGGGAAACGAGGAAAACGTCCTGGGAATTTGAAGAAGCCAACACCGATTACATTGGATATCAGTTCGTGAGTAGATTCATTGTTGTGGTCTTGATTTTTGATTTGTTTTTTATTGGTTTTTCATGAGCAAGCCAATCTTCTCCTGGACTTTTTGTAGAACTGATTCGGATGTGACACCGGTTGACGGAGCTGCAAGGCCACCTGTTGTGACCGATGGCGATCAGGATCCCAGTGTTCTCACTGAGGAGAATATGCGTCCAGAGGAGTTTGAGAGAATATGTGACCTTGGCGCAGGTAATGGCGGTGAGGTGATCAAGGTACGCTTTCGGCCCACGGGAATGATCATGGCAAGGAAGGTAAGTCCACTGTAGCCCACAATGTTTCAGCTCGCGCTTTATTTATCACTGGAGTGCATGTCAGTTCCGCGCAGGTACCTGTTGGGTACGCATTTTCATATAAAATTGCGAGGTGTTTGATTTGATTTCGTTTTGGTGCATCTGGTGTGGTTGACAAAGGTCTGGCGATGCATTTGGCGAACCGGTTGTTTATACTTTATTTTGTGTGGGCGGCGATTCCTGCTGTGCCTTTGATGATGTGTTTTTGTCAGCCAACAGTTCCTGGCATGTACGATCATGCGCCCCTGTGTGGTGGTGTTGTGTCACCTTTCATCATTGTGGCAGCAAATGTTGTCATTTATGATTTTGTGCAATGTTGTGATTGATTCCATTTGCAGCTTATTCACTTGGAAGTGAAGCCGAGTATACGAAAACAGATCGTGTCCGAGCTGAAAGTCCTCACAAAGTGCAACTCTCCATACATCGTTGGTTATTACGGTTCCTTCTACGCAGAGGGAGAAATCAATATCTGTATGGAACATATGGTAAGAGTCCCTCTGGCATCAATCAGAACTATTGATTCGTTGTTTGCCAAAGAATTCTGACCTTCCGCTCCGGTGCGTGGGGTGCCTTGTCGGCCCACGGAGAAAAGTACACATTTCGTGCAAGCTGCTGTGGTGCCGTACCACGGCCAATACACATTTCGTGCACGACCTGCTGTGGTGCCGTACCACGGCCAATACACATTTCGTGCACGAGCTGCTGTGGTGCTGTACCACGAAAAGTATTTCAGAGTACATGTGTGTGTGCACGTGCACTGACGGTATTTCAGAGTACATGTGTGTGTGCACGTGCACCGGCGGTATTTCAGAGTACATGTGTGTGCACGTGCACCGACGGTATTTCAGAGTACATGTGTGTGTGCACGTGCACCGACGGTATTTCAGAGTACATGTGTATGTGTGTGCACGTGCACCGACGGTATTTCAGAGTACATGTGTGTGTGCACGTGCACCGACGGTATTTCAGAGTACAAGTGTGTGTGCACGTGCACCGACGGTTTTTCAGAGTACATGTGTGTGTGTGTGTGCACGTGCACCGATGGTGTCTTGGCATTATAGCGGAGAGCTCTGATTTCTTTGCCAACTGCGGCTACTGTGTGGCTATGCATGTTCGTATTGCTTGAAAGCATGGGCCTGTATCTTGTGGTGGTGTCTTGGCCCACGGTTTACGTGGGGTTGCAGAAAGGTTAGTCTGCTGGCTCACTCTGACACCGGCCATGAATTTTTTTAGGCACGATATAGGACAGGTGCGACAAAAATACTCCCTTGGATGGGAGCAAGGCTTCTCCCATTAAACATTTATATCAGGGCAAGTATTTCACGGCACACACACACGGGAGCCAGCCAGACTTACGTATCCGCATGCATGGGAACGCTACCACTCTCGAGAACCTAGGCATAGTTGACGCTCCTGGAGCGGTGGGCGTGCGTTAACCAGGCCTGCCGGAGTGTCCGAAATCGACGAACATTCGTATTGCGCTTGAGATCGGATGTGATGAAAATCAAGATGATGACAGGTTCAGTTCCTTCATCAGCTGCTGCTTACAACTTCTAGTACATACTTGGGAATGCGTGAAGGCCTGCTGGCAAGGGCAGGTTTTTCAACCATTAAGTTTATGTCTCAGGATGAGAACGTTATTTTGCTTGGATTCCTTACATACTACTGCAAATCCAGAAATATTCGAACGAGGAAGATGTTGTACTTTCCGTTTCCAGAGCTATTGTGGACGACGTATTTGTGCAGAAAGCACGAGTCCCACCAGTATATGGGGCTCGCGCTTATTTCACCCACATTCTAATTTCAGCGGTAGTCCCAATTAGTATTTACGAAATGTTATGCACGTACAGTCTGGATGTAGGGCTGGCACTTTTCTGTGAGTAGAAAGCTGACCGGCCAACCCGGGTGGGGGAGGGGAGGGGGGGGGGGGGAGGGGGCAGTATAAAAGGAGACAGTGTTCCATATAGAAGCCAACGCAATTTTTAGGATTTCAAATGTCTGAAGTATCAAATTAGGACACTTCCGTGAACAATCCGAGTAATCTAGCGAAGGTGATTTTTGGCCGGCCTGTCGGAATGATCTGTAATGATCTGTTTCCGAAAAATGGGAACATGTGACTACCCTGTGGATGTGTCATGTAATTGTGTATAATAATTGCTTTATGTATTATGTGTGTGTTGTGCGCCAGGATGGTGGTTCATTGGATCTGATCATGAAGCGTGCAGGTCGCATACCAGAGGATATCCTCGGCAAGATTACGTGCAATGTACGTACACATACGCGCGCGTGTGTTTGTGTGTAGTGTGTGTGTTTGGTGTCAGCCTAAGCCTTGTTTTATCCTGCGCTCTGCGCGGTCTTGCTCAGTATGTTGTGTGATTGCTGTCTGGTTTGCCCCCCCCCCCCCCCCTCTCTCACACACACACACCTCTGAATCATCTGACATCGGTAGATACCAGCCGTAGGGTTTTAGAATCTTAGCCATAGGGTTTACGCTGTACTTATTTCCGGGTCAGAGCTCAGGATATGCCCGCCCGCCCCCCCCCCCCCCCAATTTCGGGTACGGTTGACGGTAGTCAGGAAATTCGTGCACTATGGTGCATATGGACTTGTACGTATCTTGTTTGTGTGGAATATGGCGCCTACGCTGACCATCTGTATGAAATGTTACTGTCAGTGCAGCAGTGAGCAAACCAATCAGCTGTATCGGCAGTGTGCATCATGCAGCCTTTCCTTTGTCTTTTTTCTTGCTGCATATCATCTAGCCATGATATCAGGCATTTATTTCTTGGCTTTCCACTATAGAACTGTTGCTGTTCCTCTGCGTGCATGTGTCTGTTAACGTGGTGTGGGTGTGTTTGTGTGTGAACGTGATGTGGGCGTGTGTTGTGTGTGGTGTTGTGTGTACAGGTTCTAGATGGATTGCTGTACCTTCGTGAGACGCACAAGATCATGCATAGAGGTAGGGGTCAACGTGCCAGTGCGTCCTTGCCTCTCTTGTGCCATTACCGCAACCGTACTGCCTGCCGTACTGGTCTTGCGGTGTTTCGGCAATTGACTTTGCATTCTCTCTCTCTTTCTCTCTCACTCCCTCTCTCTCTCCCTCTCTCTCTCTCTCTCCCTCTCTCCCGCTCTTCCTCTCTCTCTCTCTCTATCTCTCTCTCTCTCACACACACACACACACACACACACACACTCAGACATGCCATAGCGAACAGCTATGTTAGACATAGAAACTTGTGCTGGGATTACACCGTTCAACAGGTTGCAGGGCTGATGAATTGACTGCCACAAATTTTAGCCTGGTATCCACCACACAGCTGATTGAAGTGGTTTTTTCTGGCCAATTCTTGACGATTATGGTCGCACACGTCTTCCTTCTCTTTCTCATTCTCCTAGGTCACACACACACACACACACACTCTCTCTCTCTCTCCCTCTCTCTCACACAGACACATACGCAACCACACAGACCCCCGCGCTCATCAGTTACCTGTGTCACATGTGTGTTGATGATTCCTGCGCAGATATCAAACCCTCCAACATCCTGGTGAACAGCAAGGGCGAAATCAAACTGTGTGACTTCGGTGTGAGCGGCCAACTCGTCGACTCTGTGGCCATTACATTTGTTGGCACGAGATCGTACATGGCGGTAAGTCCTTGACAGGCTATGTGGCTGAATGTGCTCGGCGGTGGTCATCGTAATTATGTTTTTGGATGAATGGTGGTGGTTTCGTTGCTGTTCTTCGTTTCCTGCTGCTGTTGATAGAGGTATTTCTGCTTTTGATTATGGCTCCACTGAGCTCCACTGAGCTCGAAGAGCACAGGCTCGTGAAAATGATCATCCACATCAATGTGAGGAAGCAGCCGAAAACAGTCGGTATTCCCCGCGTAGCGAATATGCTTGTTTTCTTCTTGCGCGTACGTTGATGACGATGTCATACTGGTCATTTTGATGTGCGTGTTGTCGGTTGAACGGTGCTCCCGGTATTGATAGGAATTCTGTCATGTCGGGAAAGTTTCCGCTGCTCCAAGTGTGTCCGGTAATTACAGTAACAGGTTTTACTGTAGTCATTTTTCTCTTTGCCAGCTCAGTCTTTCTTCCCCACAGCGACCATTAGTGCATTGGGTCTTACACTCTTTGTGTGTGTGTGTGTGTTGGTTTGTTTGTCTGTGTACGCGTGTTTTGTTTGTGTACGTCTGTGTGTACGTGTGTTTTTGTTTGTGTACGTCTGTGTGCACGTGTGTGTGTGTGTGTGTGTGTGTGTCCACGTGCCTCGCTGTGCAGCCCGAGCGACTGAAGGGCGTGGCGTACTCGGTGCAGAGCGACATCTGGTCCCTGGGCGTGTCTCTGGTGGAGATGGCGCTGGGCGTGTTCCCCATTCCGCCCCCGCCAGCAGAACGGATAAAGCAAGCGCTCAGCTCACCTGCTGCAGGCAGTGAGGGCGCTGTCGGCCTAGCGTCCAACGACACCGAGCCAGCCATGGCAATATTTGAGCTGCTCGAGTATATTGTCAATGCTGTAAGTGCGGCAAGCACTACTAGGCACACTTCCCAGTTCCCACTTTCCCCAGCCACATTTACTTGAGTACTTTTGCATGTGATGGAGAAGCACTACTGAGGTGGGTATACATGTATGGGTTTCAGCCTCCCTCATACCAGCAGTTTGTTGTGTTCGTTAGTACTCCGATTGCCTGGAGTGTAAGTGCTGTACATGTACCAGTATGTTAACCCTTTATTGGCCAATTAAAATACCAACAAGCCCATGCAATCGCCAAACCTGTACCTAAATTGGACGTAACTTTAGTTTGCATTGGACACATTTTTCCACTATCTTGGGCATCCTGGAAAGGCCTTGGCGAGAGGAGCGCAATGAGCGTACACTCGACTCCACGGGATGCACTGGCCCAGCGCTGCAAGCCAGGGAAGGCCCACCAGCGCTGGGCCCACGCTTGAGATCTATCTCTATCCACCATTTCACTCCTGTTGCTCGTATCAAACTCAAATTTTTTCGTAGAAACTCCCGGGAACCTGCTTTTGAAGTTGAATCTGTGTAATCTTGTCAACAGGTGACGTAAGCAGGGAAAATCCCGGCCGTTGACCCACGCATCGCGCTCTGAGTGCAAATTCCCGGGACCAACATTACGAGTGCTATAACTCAAGAACCGCTCTTTGTATCGCTTTGAAATTGTTCGAGGCGACAGCTGATAGTTTTCTCTTCGACCTACATATTTCGATCTCTCCGAAAGACCGAGATTTGACCAAGTTGCGATAATTTCAAAATGCCTACCCCATTGAACATCGGTGTTCGATCAATGTATAGGCCAGCCAATAAAGGGTTAATGTTACTGTCCATAGCAGTGACCCAGCATAGCCTGGTGCATTGGCGTATCCTTGTGTCCCCTACCCCACCCCCTACCCCGCACTCTTACTTCTGCAACTGAAACCGTAGTGAAAGTACCTACTTGTATATTCGTCCCATATCCTGTGACTGTAGATAGGACAATGCCTATCTCTGTCTGGTGTGTTTTGTTGCTGGTGATCGCTACAGCGTTTGGTGTTGTTATTGCTGTTGTTGTGCGGCTACTGCAGAAACCTCCGACTCTTCCTAGCGCGTACTTCTCACCCGACATCATTGATCTTGTCAATTCCTGGTGAGTTACACATTTCTGGCTCTGGCTACGCATGATGGCATCAGTGAACCGAACAGCCGCCAAGACTGATGTCAAAAAATCCGCCGTGGGTTAGGGGATCGTCAAGTTGCACACTCTTAGTTTAATATCAAGAGTACATAACCCCCCAGAGTGTGCAACGCCTGATCCAGCTCTGCATAGGGTCTTGGTCGAGCGGAATCGGATCTTTGCGTCATAATACCGTACACATCTGAGGAGAACCCGGGGAGTCGCGGGTACTCTTGGATCAAAAACAATGGTGCCCTGCCTCGAGACCGGCCTTGTGCTGGTGTGGAGTGTACGCATGACATCAGAAGATCCGATTCCGCTCGACCAAGACCCTATGCAGAGCTGGATCGGCGTTGCATACTCTGGGGGGTAATGTACTCTTGTACTCATTCCGGAATAAGATCACAGTAGTCGTACACACCTGTTCTAGTGAACCTGTCTCGGATTGTGCCAAACAAACGCAACCCGACGGTCTATTCCGGTGGAACAGTCCCGCTTGCTGTAGTGGGGCTAAGCTCTCTATCTCTGTGTGTGTGTGTCTCTCTCTCTCTCTCTCTCTCTCTCTCTCTCTCTCTCTCTCTCTCTCTCTCTCTCTCTCTCTCTCTCTCTCTCTGTATTTGCTTACCTCAATGGTGATTGGGTGTTTGTGTCTATATTTTCTGCAGCCTTATGAAGGAGCCAAAAGATCGACCGAGTCTTCAAATTCTAAAAGTAAGCATATGGCGTTTGTTTGTGTGTATGGCACGGCTGTTCACGTGCAGGCACTTATCAATATGGCGTCGTTCGGTGCGATTTATGTAATATTGTGCGAATAGTACAAATACGCGATGAGTTTGCGTTTTTGCAAGAAACTCATGTCGATCCTCGGGTGGTTCCACGATTTGGGACGCGAAACCAAGAGAAAAGTTTTGAAAGCGCTCGAGCGAGATACTCGACTTTTCGGCAATTTGAGAGAGAAAGAGGGTGGAAAGGCGTCCTGGCCTGCCCAGTTAGCTGTCTTTCCGCTTCAAACTTGCTCGAAGTACTCCTGGCAGTCTGGAGATTGATCTCGCCAGTGATTGTCAGCCTCTGCTTGGCGTGCTCGCGTGTACAACATTCAAGTTAGACATTTCGTAATCGTTCAACGCACAATAGGGTAGATATCACAATTTCAAGCTCACTTGGCCGGCTGCTGTCTTCTTCTACAATATCCCACATGCCGACTAAGCAATTTACAGCAGGAAGCAGCCTTCTACACTCAACAGCAACTAAAGGGCCACACCATTTTGTCTTCCAAATCAAGAGAAAACAGGCTCCTGACTCGTCGCGCGTATTTAGAAGTTCACGCGCGTATTCTAATGACACTTGGGGAAGACAACCAGAGGATAGTCCTCTACCTGGGAAAAAATCGGGAAGGGCTTCTCGGAGCCGAGTTTGTCAGCGACGACACAAGGAGTATTCCAGAACGAAGCCAAAGTCGCACGACACAGAACAAATGTTTCTTGAAGGAAAGGCAGTCATGTGAGGTACGAGCGGAAAGCTTGAAACAAGACGCAGATGATCAGCGTGTTCCCCGGGCTGTCCGGACTGACTAGTCTCCAAAATCCAGTGGAAACCATGGCCTACTTGTGTTCTGACGATTTGAAAATTCAAATTTTCTTGCCATTGAAGCCCAATCGAGACTTTCGGCGGCCATATTGTTAAAGGGGAAGTTAAGGCAAAAATTAAAATTTCACCAGTTGTAGTCTTCGGGGTGCTGAGTCGAATGGTCTTGGTCCGAGAAAGCTGGGACGCTCCCTTCCTACTTGAATCCCAATCGAACTCGCGCACTTCCACCGAAACTGGGTGACTGCGCCCTACTAGATGGGGATTTGTATGCAAAATGTCACTAAAAGCGCCATTTCGTTCTTATAAAAGCACGAATGACCGCGATTGGCCCATATGGTGTAGTCTTTTGGACGCTGAGTCGACTGGTTTTGGTCCGAAAAGGCTGCGATGCAGCGTTCCTCCTTTATTCCCAATCGAACATGGTTGAACAAGCGGTCACGTGCTCCTGGATGCCCAAATCGCCTGGTCACCACGCCAGCAGGCGACAACTTTCACACCAAGTTTCAACTCGAGTGACAGGACTGCACCCAAAAAAGGTCAAACAGGCTAGTAAGTTGTACCCTGCAGGCACGGTGACCAGCTGACTGGTGTACGCATTAGCACGTGACCGCTTGTTCAACCATGTTCGATTGGGAATAAAGGAGGAACGCTGCATCGCAGCCTTTTCGGACCAAAACCAGTCGACTCAGCGTCCAAAAGACTACAACATATGGGCCAATCGCGGTCATTCGTGCTTTTATAAGAACGAAATGGCGCTTTTAGTGACATTTTGCATACAAATCCCCATCTAGTAGGGCGCAGTCACCCAGTTTTGGTGGAAGTGCGCGAGTTCGATTGGGATTCAAGTAGGAAGGGAGCGTCTCAGCTTCCTCGGACCACGACCATTCGACTCAGCACCCCGAAGACTACAACTGGTGAAATTTTAATTTTTGCCTTAACTTCCCCTTTAAGTGGCGGGAAATCGCACAAAAAAACCAGCCGTGATGGATCTTATAATTGTGATCCCCTTGTCCCCATGGTCTTTGTATCCAGGGTGACTTGACTGCAAAATACAGTGAAACCCGTCTAAGACTGCTCAAGGGACATTCATAATATTGTGGTCTCTCTTACCAGGTGGTCTCCTTATCTAGGGTCATTTGACAGGAAATAGCATCCCTTGGTGCTGGTTGCAGTGGTCTTTGTGGACAGGTGGTCGCCTTGACAGGTTTTACTGTATCATTCCTTACTCTTAAATGTAGTGGTCTTCTGGGACAGGTGCTGGGTGCCTGCACAGGTTTTACTTACATATGTGTGCTCATTTCACAGTAGGAGCTGCTGCTGGCACCTTTCAACTGTGAGGAGTGGCGGCATCTCAACGGATGCAGGCAGGGTCATGTATTAGTATCTTTTTGCAGTACCTGAGCCGTGATAGTTATTCACGTTTGACCTTGTGGACGTGTGTGTTTGTGTGCCTGTGTGTGTGTGCATGTGTGTGTGTGCCTGCATTCTTGGTTATGTGTAGCAACATGACTTTGTCCAGCGTTCGTCGGCAGCGAGTATTGATGTGGCAAAGTGGGTCCTGGCTACGATGGAATCCTCAATGTGATCTCCGCCAGGTTTGTTACATGCCAGCTCTCACGTGTGTGTGCACGTGTGGCTGGTTACGATGCCGTCTCGTGTGTGCTCGCGTGCGTTCCTCGTCGTCGTCGTTTGGCGATGAATGCTGTTTGACGACTGAGGTTGCCGTGCGCTAGTTGGTAGCGGCTGTGCCGGTTGTGTCCATTCTCCATCACTGCTGCTGCTGCTGTCAAACGGCAAATGTTTATATTCTTTTATTGTACTCATCATCAACAGACCAGGTCTTTACGTTTGCACGCTCCTCTTGTTAGTGTCGGACTCCTTTTCTTCTGCTCGATTTTACCTCATCAAGCAGTTCGCACCTATCCCGTGCACTCGTCCCGTACCCTATGCTGCTGTTGTTGCTGTTTTGCTGTTTTTTATCCTATGCGGGCACATAGGCGGCTTTGTGCGTGCGCCCTCTGCCAATCCGGTGAGTGGGCGTGCCGCGACGGTCACCGTTGACCTGTTGCCATGCACTACGTCACTGCTTGCCCCATTGCATTGCGCCGCCGCCGCCGTCGTTGTTGCCGTCAATGCGCCACCGGAAAGCACGGCTTTCATAGTGCCACGCTTAGCCTTCCTGGGTCCCGTCTCGTTGAGGAATCGCCACCGTTTCCCATTCTCCGGCTAATTTTCCCCAGCACTATTTGCACGACGCAATTAGTTTTTTTTTAGTTTCTCTTTTCCCCTTTCAGGTCCTATTAAATTAGCTATATTCACAGATAGAGTATCATCATTGGCTGTTCATGTCTGCTTGTCATTTTGTTTTTTTTTGTTTTTTTCGTGCTCGAATCCATCTGGGTCATGCTTTTTGCTCCAGATGGTTTCTGTGTCTTATTACTGAACGGCCCCAGACTTTAACTGTGTCCTCTTTAGAGTTTCCTGGCGACTGTTTCTTATGGTGTTCTACCGCTGAGGTTATTGTACATTATTCAGCTGGACAGGTGTCCTGTAAGTTTCTTTCTGCCTTGCTCAGTGAATATAGTTATGCATGTCTTGAGAGCTGGATATGATATTCCCCGTTCCTGTTTTTGTTTTCGGTTCTCTCTCTCTCTCTCATTCTCTCTCTCTCTCTCTCTCTCTCTCTCTCTCTCTCTCTCTCTCTCTCTCTCTCTCTCGTCTATAGTCATAGTTTCACTTCTCGTGTGAGCCCCGCGGTGTGCACAGGGCGCCCCGAGCGCTCCTCGTCTTGATTGGTGCGGCTAGTCTGCACATGCGACCAGCTAGCCTCTATCATGTGTTAGTGTGTGTGTTTACCTTTTCCTGTATACAGTTAGTCGTTGGTGTTACGAATTGATTTCGATGATTTCTCTCTTCTTCTTTTCTTCTTTTTTTACAATACGCGCTGTCACATGGCTTGTACCACTATTATGTCTTACTTAGTAGTTGTGTCACGTCCGGAGTGCTTTTGTCAATCTACATGACCACGCGTAGCTCTTTATGCTGTCTAGTATGTATCTTTCTTGCATTGAACATTAGCTACTGGGAGTTGCTTTCGTCTTCTCAACTAAGTTACTGCCTTTGAGGTGTCGTCTTGTTTCTGCTGCGTTGGTGTCGCGGTCCGCTAGCCGTGGCTCCACTTGTGTCCGCGTTCGGCTGCGGAGCTGGCGCGCGGGTTTGAGAGTGCAGTGGTGTGCAAGTTGTGGTGTGTAGAGAGGAGCCCAACACATGGGCGTTTGTATGGCTCCCTTGTGGTGGTGTGCGCGCGCGAGAGAGAGAGAGAGAGAGAGAGAGAGAGAGAGAGAGAGAGAGAGAGAGAGAGAGAGAGAGAGAGAGAGAGAGAGAGAGGATAGTCAAGTTTGTGTCGTGTGTGTTCTCCGTCGGCTCGAGTCTACCCTATGGTGTCGGTAGGGCCTATGATCCAGTTGGGGTGAGTGAGGGAGGAGAGCTGCCTGATCAGGGCCTCGCTACACTTGATATTTTCCTAGCTGCCACGCCGTATTACGTACGTCACTACGTGCATGTTATTCAAACTGATAGAGACGTCTTTTATACCTACAAAAAAATACCAATAGTCCATAATTGTGTGCTCTTGCTAATTAAATAAATACCCTGCAACTCTGTAGTGTTGTGTGCCAGACTGTCAGTGCAACATGCACAACATAATCGGGTTGTATCAAGGAATATATTGACCTTTGATAAATACCCACACTCATTAGTGACCACACCATCAACAGTATTAAATTCAAATAAATTTGCTTTGACTCAATAAATACCACTGAACTTTTCCATGTAGCATAGCACTCTACTCCACTTTTCCCTAAAAAGGAGTATTTTATAAACAGTATTTATTGGCCTTAGTGGTATTTTATAAACAGTATTTATTGGCTTTTGACCCAATAAATACTGTTTATAAAATACCACTACAGTCCATTTCAAAACTATAGACGCGTACCTAGGCAAAAACCGTTATACCAGCATCTATACCACATAAAATCTGTGATCACTTTGTGCATAATTTTTTTCCAAATTGGGCGTCTGTTATCCAATCGTTTAGAAACTATAATTATGAGAGTAATTGTGGAGCGGTCCTGAGCAATATTCCGAAAACTATTCTCAAAAAGTTCCAGCCAAATTTGAAATATTTCAAAAACCGTCCTACGCGTCTATAGTTTTGAAATGGACTGTAGGGCCAATAAATACTGTTTATAAAATACTCCTTTTTAGGGAAAGTGAAGGTCAACATTATGTATAATAAATGTACATGTAGTAGCCTCAGGATTTATTGCAATTACATACCAGTTATAAAAACCTCGGCGGACCTCGGTTTTTATACTGGTATGTAATTGCAATAAATCCTTTGGCTCTACATTTATTATATACGTAGTAAAATACCCCAAGCTCGATCCCATTTTCTCTTGTCGTATTCATGGTTGGTTGGAGTACTACGAGTACCAAGTGTATAAGCCTCCCGAGAGTATTATTATAAGCCCGGGGCTACATACATGTACATACCCTGGTTTATTCAGGTGACCAAGTAATCATGTAGTAAATCAGGGAGTAGTGGTACATGTAGCTGGTATACCGGTAGTGGTAGCAAGAGTCCATAAACAATGTTACATTATAGTATATTATAGTTTATACACTCTTGCTGGTGTAATGATGTACATGTACGTCATTGCGACTCATTTGTAGGGAATTTCCCCTCATTAAATTTATGGCCTGCGAGCTTCCTTGTGCAAGTTGTGGAGCCAAAGCGGATACAACTCACGCAAACATGCTTCGACTTCACCAACTGATTTTTTTGTGTTTGTTTTGTTTTCAAGCTTTCCCTGCTCACCTGCTTAGGTTTTGTCTGGCCAAAGGCCAGGTATCTGAGCAGGTGCTACACCGTGTTAGGGTTATTGCGCGTCCGGAAGGACACGGCTATCCCCAATGTCCTCTCCAGCTGAGAATCCCGCACAGACAACGAGCGGCAGTGCGGATCTAACCAGTTGGCGCAGCGTGACCCAAACGATGGAGATGGGAAATTTCGGAAACATGGAGACGGACCACACGGGTGGCGAGGATGCCCTGGCCGCCGATCCACAGACTGCCGGCTTCTTCGCCCGCGGCCGAGAGTGGGAAGCGCGCACGGATATCCACAAGTACACTGAGGCTGAGCGCCAGATTCTAAAAACGTTCGACAGCTTCGATTACCTGCCCCCGCACAGTACATCTTACAAGGTAAAATGCAGCAAGTACACTGTAGCAACTGTCAGATTTTTCTCCTGATTCATGGTTATCCAGGACCTGACTTTGCATCATAAACATCCTGCAAACGAGGCAAGCAAGGCTACAACAAGCATGTGGTCGCAGCGACACACGTGTTGCGTTTCTTGACGCAAAAGGAATGTTTGCTTGGTGGAAATTCCTAAAAAGGGAGCCTTGCATGTAATGCATGCTATTGATGTCTTCGCTGGGCAGTTTTCACTTTATTCATAGCAGAAATGAAAGCAATGAATGAGGGTCCCTAGATTCCACGTGCGCTACATGTCGTTTTTTGTCTGGATTGTAATTTGAATTTTGTGTGTGCGTGTTCGTGTACGTGTGTGTGTGTGGGGGGGGGGGGGGGGGGGGGGTGCATGTGTGCGCGTGTGTTTGCGTGTGTGTATGTGCGCACATCTGTCCACTCACTCACTGCTGTCATGCTGCAGGTGTGGCTACGTAATCAGCCGCAACGCTTTGAGTGGGATCGCTGGGTGATGATGGGCATGATTGGGTTCTGTACGGGAATGGTCGGCTTTCTACTTCACCAGCTGATTGACGTCATTTCAGAGTGAGTTAATCAATGCTTTAATAGTGTAACCTCGCCTGTAAGTCTACAAGTTTTCCGCCCGTTCAAATTTCGGCTTCCCAGGGCTAAATCACATTTCGGCCGCACTAAATATTCGGCCTGTACTGCTGCTGCCTGTATATACTGTCACACTGAACCTTGAAAAACAGAATTTCGGCGGCAACACATTTTCGGGGGCAAGTATGCCCAGGATGAAAATAGCCGAAAATAACTATGCAATCAAGTTAGAGTAGCAGGGTACAATTACAGCACTAAAATATCAAAGTGTGATACTTCTCACAAAGGTGTGCACGAAACAAGGTTTGTTATTTATTATTATTCATTCTCACTTTTTTTGTTGCTAATACACACATGCCACATGCCACATGCCATGCTTAGTTCTCATACCCTTGTTTTGTGCCCACCTTTGTGAGAAGTATCATACTTTGATAATTTAGTGCTGTAATTGTACCCTACTACTCTAATGAATATGCGCCGGGTATTTGTTGCCTTACAGCAACGTGCACATTGTCACTATCCAGTCTGTTGCAACATTCCTGCAATTTTACTTTTTTCTTTCTTCGCCGGTCGTAAGCGAGGATCCCTGGTTCTAGTCCTGGTGGTGACAATCAGTTTTTTTCTTCTTCAGACCTTTCTCAGTTGCAACATTTGCTCAAACTGATGAATATTCTTCAAGTTTAGTACTGAACGTAGGTCAACAAATATTCGGCGCATGTTTATTTTCGGCTATTTTCGGCCTGGTCATGTTTGGCCCAAACATTTGTTGCGGCCGAAAATTTGTTTTGCAAGGTTCAGCGTGGCAGTGTATACAGGCGGCAGCAGTACAGGCCGAAAATTTGATGCGGCCGAAATGTGTGTTTGGCCCTGGGAGGCCGAAATGTGTGTTTGGCCCTGGGAGGCCGAAATTTGAATGGGTTGAAAATTTGTACACTTACAGTACAGTCAACTTCGCTACAGTCCATTTCAAAACTATAGACGCGTACCTAGGCAAAAACCGTTATGCCAGCATCTATACCACATAAAATCTGTGATCACTTTGTGCATAATTTTTCCAAATTGGGCGTCTGTTATCCAATCCTTTAGAAACTATATGAGAGTAATTGTGGAGCGATCCTGAGCAATATTCCGGAAACTATTCTCAAAAGGTTCCAGCCAAATTTGAAATATTTCAAAAACCCTACGCGTCTATAGTTTTGAAATGCACTGTAATAACGACTGCGGATATAACGACAATTCGCGAATAACGACAGAATTTTCATGCCCAGAGCAAAGTCCCATCCAACTGTAATACATATAATGAAACTTCGGGTATAACGACACTTCGCGAATAAGGACACTTTTCTGATGCCCCGCCGAGTGTCGTTATAAGCGAAGTTGACTGTAGGTGATTTGCTGGCAGGGGTTGACTGGAATTGGAACCAGCATAGATTTCCTGTAGGGTCATGGGATAGATGTGAAACCACCCTAGAACTAAGAAGGCACTTTGCGGTGTGCTCTGAAGACGCAAGGGGGCAGCATTTTTTGCAATCGAATTTTTTTAGTGTCCTTATTCTCACATTGTATAATGTGTGTGCGTGTGTGTGCGTGTGTGTGTGTGTGTATGTGTGTGTATGTGTGTGTTTGTGTGTGTTTGTGTGTGTGTGTGTGTTTGTGTGTGTTTGTGCGTGTGTATGTGTGTGTGGGTGTGCATGTGCATTTTGGACTTGTCCAGTACAAAGTGGGACAGGGTGAGAGACATCATTCGAGTAAGTAGTTCCATTGGTGTAGTGTACCCAATGTGTGCTGCATGGATCAATGTGCTATACATGTATATGACAGGGTGCAAGTACATGTGTGTGTGGGTGTGTGTGTGTGTTATGCATGTGCTGGAACAACTCTGTCCCTGCCCGAGGGGGGGGGGGCATTATGGAGATGATATTGCATGTGCTGTGCTGGTAAAATGCTGTCCCTGCATGCGTGCGTGGCGTTATGGAATCGTTTGTGTGTGTGTGTGTGTGTGTGTGTGTGTGTGTGTGTGCTAGACGCTGTGTGTGCTTGTGTAAGTTATGTGTGTGTGTGTGTGTGTGTATGCGCGTGCGTGCCTGCGTGTGCGTCCGTGTACGTGTGTGTGTGTGTGTTAAGGGGTTATAAAATTTTCTCTTGCAGCATGTCTGTTATTCCCTTTTGGCTCTGTGTGTTGCCGTTTCTGTTGGCAGGATGGTGACTTGATCTTTGCCTGGGGCTGGCTGATGTGGTACAGTCTTCTCTTTGCCTTATTTGCCACTGTCTTGGTCGTGGTAAGTGAGCACTGTCTGCTCTGCTCAATGCGTGCTGTTTTCACAAGTCTGAGCGACTTATGCCCTGGGCTTTAGCTAGGGAGGAGTACTTGTAGTGGAGAGGTGTCACATGACGTGAGTCATCGGACTCGTCGCACAGGATCATGTGACCGGAGTCCTTGCCAATCCTGGCGTGCATTGCAGTAAAACGTAGGATTGACAACTAACCGTGAAAAATGATCATCGAGACATCTCACATGGTCTCTTGGGCAAAATGTGGTACATTTATCTGCCGGCCCTGACAGGGTAAGCCGCCAAATGACCATTCAGTGGTGCTTTGGCAACAGGCGTGAATGCTGACGTACGTATAGATCGGGTCTGGTAAGTGAGATACCTGGTCTCTAAAAGACACACCCGCACAGACACATACACACGCGCGCGTGCACACACACACACACAGGGGAAGAGCCGCGTGACTTATGCAATGCTAACTGCTGCATGTAATTGCCAAGTGTGTGAAGTTGATCAGAGGTGGCTACATTGTAGTGTAAGCAGTTTGTTTCCTTGTCTGTGTCATTCTGTATGTAGGTGTTTCGTCCAGCAGCCGCTGGTTCCGGCATTCCCGAACTGATTGGCTTTCTCAATGGCACCTCTGTGGCGGCCATCTTCAACGTGAAGACAATGGTTGTCAAGTTTGTATCGTGTGCCTTCTCTGTCGGCTCGGGTCTACCCGTGGGGCCGGAAGGGCCTATGATCCACTTGGGGTGAGTGAGGGAGGGAGTGAGAGAGAGAGAGAGAGAGAGAGAGAGAGGGACAGAGAGAGAGAGAGAGAGAGATATGGGGAGAGGGAGAGGCGGTGGGGTCAAAGTGTGAGCTACTGACTGCCAATGACCGGTATAGCTGCTTTAGTTGTGTTTTATTGAGCTATTGACAGAAGTTTGACAGACACTCGCTGTCGAGGGCATCCTGCAGGGTGTGTTAAAAACTTCACCCTGGCTAAATACTTCAAAAGAGTTTTTCTTGATCTGTGTGCCTGCATGTTGCCGTGTCCCCTATCACAGTTAATCATTGAGAATTTCTTCATCACATGTGTTTTGTCTTCTGTCCTTCAGAGCTCTTGTTGGTGCTGGCTTGAGTCAGTTTCAATCACGCACGCTAGGGTTCAGTACGCCGTACTTCACCCGCTTCAGAAACTCCGAAGACAGGTGGGTGGGGTGCAGCCTGCTGCTACAATGTATACTGGTGTAGATGCTTGTGCGGGTGCTGGTGGGGGATCTGGTGGTGATGCTGGTGATGATGCTGCTGATACTGGGGCTGTTGGTGATGCTGGTGCTGCTGTGCTGGTGGTGATGCTGGTGGTGATAATAACGCCTCTTGTACGGGCAAAATGGTATTGCACATATCATCAAACAAACTCCTGTATGAACTGGTGGTGGTGTTGCTGCTACTACTGCTGGTGCTGGTGCTGGTGCCGGTGTGTACAGGTGTTTCCTGTGCATCTAATATGAATGGAGGTGATAGTATGTCACCCTCGCAGTCTAGGGATTGTGTAGGTGCAACGCGGTGCGTTTGCAGTTAGTCTGAGATGTGGTTCATGCTCCATCCTGCCCTTGATCAGACTGTGCACACATGTGTGTATAACCCGTCACCTTGGCGGTGTTGGTATTGTTGTATGCATACTTCTCCTCTCCCCATCCTGATGGTTACAAGTGTGTGGTGTTAGCACCACATGTGCGCTTGTCGCCCAAAGAAATTCAACCTCGTCTTCGCTATACAATACAAGGGCTGCACACGTGTTGGTAGCGCTAATGTTATGTGTGTGCGTGTGTGTGTGTCTGCATTGTCCTATACCCTTTTCACCTTCATTGCAATTGTATCCGAGTACAGAGCTGGTAGCACTGTTTGTTTGTCATAGCGTTTGCCCGGTGTAGGCAACCCTGAGTTTGCCAATTTCAATCTTCTTCAGATATCGTGGGCTTTGCTGTTGGGAGGCTGAGCTGTGGATTGAGTTCTGCGAACATGGAACTGCGAGAATATTTCCTTTTGACGTTGTAGTCTAGTTTCTGCCCATGACCGTGGTCTCGGGTCCAGTGCTTTTCAGGGCTTTTCACCTTCTCTTTCTGCTTCCGTTCTGTTGTACTTTGAGATTACTAGTAGTGGCAACTTGTGCCAGTCCTCCAGTAGCTGCTATAGTGTTGCGCCAACTACAGTAGAGGTTTTTCATAACAGCTTTATTGCCTGTGCATGTGTGTGTGTGTGTGTCTCTCTCACACTCTCTGTCTGTCTCTCTGTCTGTCTCTCTCTCTCTCTCTCTCTCTCTCTCTCTCTCTCTCTCTCTCTCTCTCTCTCTCTCTCTCTCTCTCTCTCTCTCTCTCTCTCTCTCTCTCTCTCTCTCTCTCTCTCTCTCTCTCTCTCTCTCTCTCTCTCTCTCTCTCTCTCTCTCTCTCTCTCTCTCTCGTCGAGTCTAGGCGTAACTTCATCTCCGCCGGTGCGGGCGCTGGTATTTCATCAGCGTTTGGTGCACCTGTTGGCGGTCTTCTGTTCGCTATGGAAGAAGTCTCCTCGTTCTGGAATCTCAAGCTTGGCTGGCAGACATTCTTCTGCACAATGGTGTCGGCATTCACTACAGTATGTCATTTTGGTGTGCGTGTGTGCGTGTGGGTGTGCGTGCGTGCGTGCGTGCATGGATCGCAAGTGTGTGTGTATTGGTATGCACCAGGCAGTCGTAGCGTCCAGGGATATGACCGCAAGGCCTTTGTACCCGAAACGATGTGCGTTTTGAACCCAGGTTTGCAAGTTTTACATCATCCGTTGTTTATGAAGCTTAGGCCACACCAAGTCATTTCTATGTTCCGCGTCACCGCGCGCGTACCATTTCGAATCCTTGACAAGAAAAAAAGAACCTAAACGAGTCAATCGATGGCTGTTCTAGCGAACATTCTCTAGCCAGTATGGCAGATCGGAGGTTATCAGCTTCTCGATAATCTTGCATTCCAGGCGATGGTACGTAGAAGGTGCGAGAGGTGAAATTTTCTATTTTTCCAAGCCGTACGGTAGGGCCTGCTGACCAGGCGAGCAGAGATTCCAGGTGTCAAGGAGTTCGAGATTTTCCACGATTGTGATGGAGCGAAATTCCACTCGACTCATGTCAAAGTGCAGAAGGAGCCATCCATGAAATCTCTTATTGTATCGCTCCAGCCCAGTCTGACAGCTCTCCTATGGCGACTGGTTGTCGTATATATATATAAAGTGACAGTTTAGTAGTGGTATTCTGTGAGCAACATGGTTCAGTACACATAGAATAGAGTTTTGTTTTTTCTTCTGTTTTTTTTTGTTTTTTTTCCGCCCGCCCGCGTGCCTTTTCCAGAAAATATCCGACGCGAAACATAGAATTAACTTGGTGTGGCCTTATGGTCTGGATTGCGGCCTTGACCTACCGACTCCAAGTGTAGGAATAAGGGTCGCCTCGACGGGTTTTACTGTATTTTTTTGCATTTACTTGACTATGTGTTGCCCTGTGGCCTCTGTTTGATTTCTGCTGGGCGATTTCTAATAACAATCTCTTTCTCCGTGCGTTGTTTTGTCTCTTGTCACCACCAGGATCTGTTCAACTCTTGTTTTGACAAGTTTGTGCCGGTGCACACGTTTGGACAGTTCTTCTCCACCAAGTATATCCTGTTTGATGTAAGTGTGTAGGCCCGTTGTGACGTATCCCACCTATTCACCTCGGTGCTTGGTGCACTGATTTGCTGGACATATTCATCAGGGTGCTGGGTGTGTCTGTTGGCTGTATCTGAAGGCATCTGTCCGTCTGACTGTGCACTCTGTGTGCGTGCATGCGTGTCTGTGTGTGTGTGTGTGTGCGCGCGCGCGCACACGTGCATGTATATGCGCGTTCATGCACGTGTATGCGTTTGTGTACTATCTATGTGTTTAGATTCAGCTTGGCATCCCTATCAACTTGCTGCTGTTCCTTCCGGCTGCCATCATTGGTATCTGTGGTGGTATCCTCGGTGCTCTCTTCACCTTTGTCAATGTCAAGGTGTGGTGCTATTCGCAACATACTGCGTGTGTAGGCATGTATGTGGATGCGCATGCGCGTGCGTGCTCAAACAATATTTTTCTCACGGAAGCGGTTTCATTTAAATACGGCAAAGAGAGGATGCTATGTCGGAACTTGGAGTTTCATGTTGCTCACAATAATCAGGAAACGAAGGCTATGTTGTAGTGTGAAGATCTTAGAACCTAGCACACTTGTAGCTCTTGCATGGCAAAACCCTGGAAGCTGTTGAAAGGGAGTGTAGCCACAACTGACGTTGCTAGTATCGATCGGCTGGGAGAGTTCTTACGTTCTTCTCATTTCCATGCTGGTCATTCTTGGACTCCTTGTTCATCACTGTGTATCTTTTCTGTGTAAGGGCATGCTGTTCTTGTTCTTCATTACATGCCCTGTAAAGGCTGTATCTGTTGTTTACATGCCTACAATAATTGTATGTGACTACGTGCCATGTGTAGATCTCCCGAGGTCGGCGCTACTTGCAGGGCAAGTGTAAGCGTCGCGTCACCAAGATGTTAGCACGCATGGCGGAGCCGGTGCTTATTATGGTGAGATTAGGTGACCTGTTTCTCTTGTCTTCTGCTGCTGCTGCTGCTGCTGCTGCTGCTTGTGGTGGTGGTGCTGGTGCTGGTGCTGCTGTTCTTGGCTGGTGTTGTGGGCGGTGCTGGTGTTGTTGTGGGCGGTGCTGCTGCTGCTGCTGCTGCTGGTGGTGCTGCTGCTGGTGCTGGTGGGAGGGTTTCAAGCCTCTTGTACGGGCAAAAATCATCTTTGTCAATGATAGAAATGCAACTAAAATCCAAAACAATTTTAAAATGTAAAGAACTCAAAGCAAATGAAAAAAAATCAAAGCAAATGAAAAACTGGTGGGGGTGCTGCTGGCGCCGTCTTGTTTGCCAGGTTTGGTTTGAGTTAGATTGCCTGATGCAATTGAGATACTTGCCCAGTCCTCTGGCCAATGTGCTGTTTGTCTCTGTTCTATTGTGCATGCGTGTGTTTGTGTATGTGTCTGTGTGTCTGTGTGCATGTGTGTGTGTGTGTGTGTGTGTGTGTGTGTGTGTGTGTGTGTGTGTGTGCGTGCGTACGTGCATGCGCATGTTTAGTTTATCACTGCAACGTTGGTGATGTTTGTTCCAATGGGATTCGACTGCACGCACTATCGCTGTGGACTGCCAAAGGGTTACTCGTGTGACGGTACCCACTGTATGCTAACCAACGGTTCTAACCTCAGGTAGTGTGCAGTGGCCGGGGGGACACGGGTGTGTGCGCGCGCGCGCGCGCGCGCGCGAGTGTGTGTGTGTGCGTGAGGATGTATTGTGTCTCGGGTAGAGGCGCAGGGTTCCACGCCTAGAGTCTACATACAAGTTTATTCTACTGTGCTTTTTTATTTTTTTATTTTTTTATGCCATATTGCCGGGTGTGTATTTACTGCAATCGAATATGCCAATTGAACAACACCAAGATGACACTTGTCTGGATCACTACTGTAAATGCTCTTGTGTTGGTGCAGCCCGCGTTGCATTGACAGTTACCCAGCCAGTCCAAGAATTAACCAAAGTGAGGGTCCAGCCCACTTGGAACACTACCTGTGTCCGAGAGGTAGCGTGTACACGTTTGAAGGCAACGGAACCGTGCGTTATTTCTCCAACGACTCCTACAGCCAAGGTATGTGTGTGTGTGTGTGTGTGTGTGTGTGTGTGTGTGTGTGTGTGTGTGTGTGTGTGTGTGTGTAATATTTTAATGTGCAGTAGGTATCTAAATCTGTATTTGGTCACCATTTTTTGAAGTGGTTCTAGTCCAGGCTTTGAATGTGGAATTTGCCTGATGATCATCATGATGGTGCCTCTAAATCTATTAATTACAATGAGCTCAAAATCTGAACATTTTGTTCCTGAGGATGGTCATGAAGACCGAAACGTTGAAACGATACCTCTAATGGTTTTGTGTGAAATGCAGTGCTCTCTTGAGTGTAGGCAGGTTGCCTGCAAACTATTCAAAATCTCAAATTCTCAAATTTGGCGCTTGTCGCATTTTCATCTAAACTCTTCCTATGGCCCATGTTGATGTGTTCCTTCAGTGGCTACTCTGATGTTTGGAACCGGAGAGCAAACCGTGCGTCATCTCTTCTCACGCTCCACACATCTGGAGTTCACTGCTGGGTAGGTTGTCAAGAGTGGAGAGTGGAGAGTTCGTGGTGCGTTCTCAATAGGATGGTCATGCTTGATTTCTGTAACGGTTATTTTGTCTGGACGAACAGTGCAATTCACACACGCATGCACGCACGTGTACACACATGCACGTGCACACACACAGAGACACACGCACACACACACACACATGCACAAACACAAACACACACACAGACACACACACACACACACACACACACACACTACGTGCATACTGTCGAACATCATGCACTCTTCTGGACAGAACATTATGTCTTCTATACAGTCATACTAACTTGTATGCCCTTGAGAAACGCCTCAACTTCAAAACCTGTGTATTTGTTTACCGCTGCCTGAATGGACTTGCTAGTCCTCTTCTGCGAGACCGCTTTACCTTGCGCGCCCATGGTGCTCACACTGCAGCCACCACCCGTGGCCTAGTCTCTGCTGCTCTTGTTCTGCCCCCCCCCCTCCCCCGCTAACACCCGATATGGCTTTAGTGCAATTTCTTATTTGGGCGCTGTCAGGTGGAATACACTTCCACCGTCTTGCAGCATGTCTAGTTCACCAGCTGAATTTCGCTCATCCATCAAATTATACCTAGGGTTCCCTGTAAAAAGACGCTGACGCCTGTTGGGAATTCCTTAGTAAAAGAAGAATAAATAATAATAATATGTAATACGGAGGATTAGCAAGACGAAATTCGCGTTCGCGTTCGCAAACATTTTTCAGTTAGCGAACTGGATTGCGAACTTTCGCATTTTTCGTTCGGAAAAGTAGTCGGAACACGAATCGCGGATTCGTGTAAGGACAGTCATAAATTTACTACGCTATACTGTCTGCAGACTCTGCACACAATGGACGACGTGTCAACGTCATGCATGTGCGAAGTCTGTTTGCTAATCCTTCTCATAACGCGAATTCCGTCACTGAGTTCGACTTTCCTTGGAGAGCGAACGCGAACGCGAATTTCGTCTTGCTAATCCTCCGTAATATGTCTGTGTGCATAACTGTATCTCAAATACCTGTGTGGGTGTGGGTGCATGCGTGCGTGCGTGCATGCATGCATGTGTGTGTGTGTGTATGTGTGTATGTGCATACACAGGCCGTTGATAACCGTACTGGTGTTGTACTTCTCCCTGGCATGCTGGGCAGCTGGTAGTGCTATATCCAGCGGTCTGGTTGTACCTATGCTGTAAGTACCGCTACTGTACACGCTAACGTTACTCTCATATTCATCTACAGCTTTACTGGGAATTGTACATGTAATACTGCCTTGATTGTCCGCATCCTCATTATGCAAACCCTGATCCAAACCCTCATTATCCAAACCCTCGTTATCCCAATCTTTGTTATCCAAACCCTCATCATCCAAGCCTCAGTAATCCAAACCCTCATTATCCAAACCTTTGGCAATGGGCAAGTTCGAGGTGTGTGTGTGTGTGTGCGTGCGTGCGTGCGTCTGCTTCTGGCTAGATTAACTCTTGTGTAATCAATGGTGCTAGTGACGCTTATATCAGATCCCCTCTGATTTAGCCACCCACACTACTAGCAAGTATTACCTTCACTGGGGGCAGGGGTAACTGCAGTTGGATCCCAGGACGGATACCCTGATGCCGTCAATCCTTTTTCTGCACCTTGTCCTCACCCACTTACTGAGGTGTGGTGAGCCCATAAGTGGGATCATTTTCAAGTCCACCCAGAGTTTTGGGGATTTCAGGGGGTGTCGGCCGTTGGGCGGTTCAATAGCCAATTGAGTCACCTTTCCAAGATCCCTTTTGAGTCTCTCTCCCCTCTCCCAGGGAGACCCATGTGACCAGTTTTGGCAGTGAGCAACAAGTACAAGTACACGTGTGTGTTGGTGTGTGTGTGTGTGTGTGTGTGTGTGTGTGTGTGTGTGTGTGTGTTGGTGTGTGTGTATGTGTGTGTGTGTGTGTGTGTGTGTGTGTGTGTGTGTGTGTGTGTGTGTGTGTGTGTGTGTGTGTGGCCGAAGCAGTACGCGTACAGACGTTATTGTTGAACAGAACATCATGTTCACATTAATTTTGTTCCTTTCTTCAGTCGTTGCATGTTATAGTGGACCTACAGCAGACTGTTCATCTGGTTTGTGATATTTCCTTCCTCTGTTTGTGAGTCCCTTTCCATCAATATGGCAGCTTGTTTTGATTTCCTTTTTTTTTCAATTCATTTTGCTGTACTTTCTGTTTTGTTTGCGCCACTGCCCCTCACCTTGCGCTCAGTTCTCTGAGTGGAGGGCGGCGTGACCCCAAGGGGTAGCTGATTGATAGTAGTAGTAGTACCGTAAAGTACCGCCAGAGCGCCCCACCATCTCATCCTTTCGTGGTCGTATTGTGGAGGTGGTCTGCTGTCTGTAGGTCATACGACATGAACCTTGTACACATATAGCACGTTTTGCAGTCAATCCGTACCTTCGAGCGGACACAAGCTCCACACAAAAACCTGCCAAGTGTGGCCTTAGTACACTAAGCTTCTTACATCGTACAAACTTCGTTGCACTCTGCCATACGATTTTCCTTTCTCTGGCTGTAAAATCAAGGAGGGGCGCTCTCGCGAGACGGGGCGCTCTGGCGGTACTTTACGGTAGTAGTGTGTGTGTGTGTGTGTGTGTGTGTGTGTGTGTGTGTGTGTGTGTGTGTGTGTGTGTGTGTGTGTGTGTGTGTGTGTGTGCATGTACACTGATATGCAGGCTTATCGGTGCTCTGTACGGTCGTCTCATAGGCTACGGCATGGTGCGTGCATTCGGCATACATGGTAAGTGACCCAATCATGACAACGTGATAATGCTGTAAGCAGAGTACAGTAACCCCAATCAAGAAGAAAACTCTGATGATAAGGTGACCACCTGCCTCAAAGGACCACTACAGCTAGGAACAAGGGGTGGTATTTGTAGTCTAATGACCCTGGATAAGGAGACCACCTGTGCACAGGGACCACATTTGTAAGGTCCCTTGAGCGGTCGCCTATTACTAAAGACAGGTTTCACTGTATTGACAGCAGCAGGACTACCGTTACACTTGCATTCCTGTCATGTTGCTAGAGAGAACGGGGTTATTCCCAAAGCCAATCACGTGGAACCATGAAGTGAGACCCGAAGCAAAAAGACAACCCAAATTTGCCAATTGATGGACACTCAATTGAATTGTCAAGTTGCTGCTGCTGCTGCTGTGTGTACTGGTACTGTGTTGTGAATGAGTGTGCCAGATGAGGTCCACTGCTGTACTCCTTGCTACCAGCTACAGTTCATTCAGTGGGAACTGGCATCCAAACACTTTAACCCTTTACCATCCGTGCGTACTTGAATCGATCTCTAGAGATCGATGGACATGCATACACTAAAACATTCGTAACTCGATCGATTCTTGGCGGAATTTACAAAACTAAGTATCTAGGAAGAAGCCGAAGGGCTCAGCTTTCCATTGCATCAATCAGTGAAGAGCTGCGATGTCGCATTCCAAAGATATTACGCTCGACATTTCAGCCACGGAAAAGTAGAATTTCTTTTCGGTTGACTGACCTTGAGCGGGGAATTTCCCCTCTCCTGACACGCTGAGTCACTTTGGCATGCTTTGAGCGTGTGGGCAGCATGAAAAGAAACTCAAGCAAAAAAATTGGAATGTTTACGATGAAGGAGCGAGAAATGGCTGGCGAGGAGACAATTTCCTCGTATATCCAGCGATGGGGTCTATTCGCAGCTCCCTGGCACTGGATATGTGATCTCGGTAGTGTCCTGTTTGAGCTCAATGTACGCAGCTCGTGGAGAGCTTTCCAGAATGCCCAAGATTGTGAAAATTGGTTGATTAGAACCGAAGAGTTTCTCAGAATAAGGTGGGAATTATTGCATTTGGGACTGCTGGGGAATTTTGGTCGGATGGTAAAGGGTTAATTTACAACTTTAATAGTAGGGTGCACTCTATACGTTCCCGATAATTTTTCACTTTTGCAACTCCCTCAACCCTATGAACATTTATAAGAAAGTTACATCTTCGGCCAGGTTTGCACTGGAAATTGCCATTTGCTGGCTTTCAGTGGGTTCCCCTCTCCTGTTCTTTCCATTTTCAAAATTTGGGATCCGGGCTCTTCGCATGATTATTTCCGTTTTTAATTCACGCCCTGTTTCTGCGCGTGCTTCTCCTGTGTGTACGTGTGCATGTGCACGTGTGCATGTGTACGTGTTAATGCTCTACAGCACCAGGTTCCTACTGGGTATGGATAGATCCCGGTGCTCTGGCACTCATCGGTGCTGCATCCTTCTTCGGCGGCGTGTCCCGTCTCACAATGTCACTCACCGTTATCATGGTAAGTGTGTGAACGTAGAGCTTAGCCCAGAGCTTAGCGCAGAGCATTGAGCATAGAGCTTAGCGTAGAGTGTAGTGCATTGAGCTTAGCGTAGAGTGTAGAGCATTGAGCGTAGCGAAGAGCATTGGGCTAAGTGTAGAGCATTGGGCTAAGCGTAGAGCGTAGAGGTGGTGCTTGCTAGTGTGACTTGCCATATCTGCCTGGGCATAGGATAACGATGACAACAGTTCAAAGTGCTGAATGCAAGTGCCAGCTAGTCGCACTGCAGAGACTTACCGCTGCACCAAAGTGCTGTGGATCGAACGTTCATAACTGGACCAAGCGGAATCAGGTCATATCAGGACAGTTTCTGCTGCACCACGGGCGTCCGGTTAGGTCAGGTTTTACTGTATATCTATTCTGATGTCATCGTGATTGCTTTCCTGCCAGAAATTCTGAGTAGAGGCATTGGACAGCCGTGCTGGACCCTGTGTGATATTGAGTAATATTGTCATCAGGAAGAAGAGGCTGAAGGTTGTGTTGTAACTCTAGAGTTTCACACACGAGGCAATGATCATCGTCATCATAATTGATAAAGACCAATATGTCCTGTGTGTGTGGTGGGGTTGCCACATAGCACAGGTTACAGTTTAACGGTGAGCATGTGTCTACTTTGCTTTCCCTCTGTCTCTCCCACGGTCTGTCTTGCTGCCGTGCAGATTGAGATAACAAATGACGTTCAGTTCCTGTTACCTATCATGGTAGGTGTGATGTGTGCCAAATGGACCGGGGACTACCTCACACATCCGCTCTACCATGCTCTGCTGGAGCTGAAGTGTATACCGTTCCTGGACGAGGAGCCGGTCATTGTGCACGCAGCTGACGAGTCTGGCCACACGCACTCTCACGGCAAAGGGTAAGAATTTGTGGAAGAGGACAGAGAGAACTGGAGGAGATGGATATAAGAGCGCGTCAATCCAGGCGCGTAGCACGCATGGGGCACGGGAAGCTCGTTCGCCCCCCCCCCCCCCCATTTCAGGTTCAGCATGCACATAATGACTATGAATGACATGCACCAGCCATCCTGCACATATGCAGCCGTGCACCCCCACCCCCTAAAAGTGGGACCAGGTACGCCCCTGCAACGGTACGGGAGATCCACCAATTGGCGGGAGCTAACGGATCCAGCACTGTTGCTCACATCAAGTCACATTTGCTCGTATTGTTATTACCAGTGTGTGTCAGAGATATGAGATAAGAGGTTGTGGCCTCAGCATTAACATCAGCCTTGACGTCCCACTCCGTAATTAACGAAAGAGCTTGGAAGCTCAGGGCCCTACGCTCTGCTTTTTTGCCTTGATGACCTAGACAAAAAAAAGCATAGGGATGTTATAAATTCTTATAAATTTCTACTTTTTATTTTTAGACATAACCTGGGATTCGAACCCGCACTATCGCCCTGCATGCATCCCCCGATACACTTCGCATGCATACTGATTCTTCCAAGTTGCTTCACGTTATGATCTTGTATATATTTGGAGGTGACCGATGGAACTCCCTCCCTGCCGCGATTCGCACCAAATCCCTACCTGCTGCATTTCGCTCCGCTATCTTCACGTGGCTAGGGCACCCTGTAAGAAGACCATAGGTCTGTGGGGACTGCCCTAGTAAAATATGAATAAATAATAATAATAATAATAATTTGAAAGCCCTATTTGAATATGCATTGTGGCCAGCCATCTTTGATTGTACGGTACGGTACAGGACAGGCACGGGACAGGTACGGTCGAGGGTAATACGACACCATCTACCGCCTTGATGACGGCAAAAGAAGAATAGGGATGTTTTAAATTTTTCAATTTTCCTTTTTTTTTCAGGCATTACCTCGAACCCGCACTATCGCCCTACATGCATTCCCCCATACACTTCGCATTCATACTCATTCTTCCAAGTTGCTTCACGTTATGATCTTGCGTTTGAAAGCCCTATTTGAATAGTGCAGCCAGCTGTGTTTGATGGTACGGTACGGTACGGGACAGATACGGGATAGCGCCAGGCGTGACACAAACACACTAACAAACACCAAATTAAAGCTGTGTGGACCCTGGCTAGCGCCAGACGTTACTGAAGTAACGTCTTCTGCATAGCTACGGGAATTAAAAGCCTCTGACGAACACTCGGGGGTTTTGACATACCGTCGTTCCAGAATTGCACGTGTCTCTAGGTCCAGAATTGCACGTGTCTCTAGGTCCTTGTACATGTACTTACTGTGCATGCAGTCCGCTATGGGTACTCACGTGTGTGTGTGTTGATGTACCAACGGTGCCCGCTTGTACGTGTGTGTGTCTGTGTGTGTCTGTGCGCACGCGGCGCGTGTCGTTCTCTTTCCCAGCGGTCCTTCCAATCTTGAGCTGTACCAGGCGCGGCACGCGATGAGCTCGCCCTGTGTGGTAAGTAGCTCCTCTCCGACTGTTAACGCACCACCTGATGGGTGGATTCACAACTTGATTGATGGATGGATTGATTAAGAACTTAGATGGTGAGCCAAGGGAAAAATTGTAAACATGGACATAGACATGGACTCGATCGCTTAACTTGTGCTCACATTTTTTCATGTTACGATTGATTGACTGCGGGAGCCTATCGAGAGACTCTCTCGATCCACAGCACTTTGGTACATGAACGTTTGTCCGGTCAATACAGAATTCCGCATGGTACAGGTCCAGCAAACACCAGTGTATTTCATCCTCTGGTTTTCTTTGTCTTTCCATCCATGTATGTTTCAGACTATTTCCTTGCATGAGAAAGTTGGACAGATAGCCCGTATGCTGCTGTTCTTGCACCATGGTGGTTTCCCCGTTGTCAGAATTGTCAACGGCAAACAGCTCTACTGTGGTTTAATTACCAGGTAAGAGTGTGTGTGGAGCGACGTGGCCATTTTGTGGCAGTTGTACATAGTAGTAGTAGTAGTAGTGTCTGTGTGTGTGTCTGTGTGTGTGTGTGTGTGTGTGTGTGTGTCTGTCTGTCTGTCTGTGTTTGTCTGTCCGTCTGTCCATCTGTCTGTCTGTCTCTATCTATCTATCTGTCTGTGTTTCTGTCTGCCTATCTGTTTGTCTGTTTGTCGCAGTGTACATGTGTCATTGAGTTCTTGATGAACAGCGGATGTTTCCTACTCACAGGATGTTCTGTACCTTTGTTGTTGTTGTTGTTGTTGTTGTTGTTGTTGTTGTTGTTGTTGTTGTTGTTGTTGTTGTTGTTGTTGTTGTTGTTGTTGTTGTTGTTGTTGTTGTTGTTGTTGTTGTTGTTGTTGTTGTTGTTGTTGTTGTTGTTGTTGTTGTTGTTGTTGTTGTTGTTGTTGTTGTTGTTGTTGTTGTTGTTGTTGTTGTTGTTGTTACTGAACACTGCTGTCTTGCAGGCAGCAGTTGCAGGTGATCATCAACCATGGTGAGCAGTTGTTCCTGCGAGAAGATGAGCTACCAAAGCAGTCGTTTGAGGACTACCTGGAGAGTGAGCCTCGGAGCGTGCCTGTCTCCTTCGAGAAGGTCAGGAACGTGTCCGTACATGCACACACGCACGCACGCACACATGCGCACGCACACATGCGCACGCACACACGCGTACACACACTTGTACTTGTACTTGTTGCTCACTGCCAAAACTGGTCACGTGAGTCCCCCCGGGAGAGGGGAGAGAGACTCAAAAGGAATCTTGGAAAGATGACTCAATTGGTTATTGAACCGCCCAACAGCCGACACCCCTGAAATCTTCAAAACGCTGGGTGGACTTGAAAATGATCTCACTTATGGGCTCACCACACCTCAGTAAGTGGGTGAGGACAAGGTGCAGAAAAAGGATTGACGGTATCAGGGTATCCGTCCCGGGATCCAACTGCAGTTACCCCCGCCCCCAGTGAAGGTAATACTTGCTACTAGTGTGAGTGGCTAAATCAGAGTGGATCTGATAAAAGCTTCACTAGCACCATTGATTACACAAGAGTTAATCTAGCCAGAAGCAGTCCATGGTTAACAGGTATGTATACTTCAAATAGAAAGTATATGAACCCTGGAACCAACAAAGGTGGCAGGTACAACATTACACCTTCAAGCGGCCGAGCCTGTTGGCAACAGACCCAACACAATCAGGCATAAGTGTACCTACCAACCGAACTAGCTGGCACGTACACACACACACACACACACACACACACACACTCAGCTCGACTCCCAAGCATAGGAGAAATACATGCACAGCCTGAGTTTAATTTCTACTCGTTCCATATTCCCTTCTCTATTGGTTTCCTTCAGTTTGTTACAATTATTGTTGGTGTTTCACTCACTTCTCCCAACTTCTCCTAACTGTAGCAATGGATGTGTGTGATCACTGGTAGCCTAATCGGTAGGGCACTGTCCCGGGAAGACAGGGGTGCTGGTTTCGAATCCCGCTCTTGGATCCTTCTCTTGCAACACATAACCATTGTTTGTCATCGTCGTGGTCACTGTTGCCATTGGTGTTGTAATGGTTGTATAGATGTCGTCGGTCCTGACAAGGTCAATCACCGGTATAACACGCCTGTCGCAGTACGCCGACGAAGAACGCTACAACAACCTCTACATTGACCTGGTGAGTGACGCGTCGTGCTGAGAGTTCATCCATCACCACTGTGCACTACTTCCTGCCGTCGCATGTGCAGTGGCACAATTGAAATTCGTAAAAAAAATTGAAGTTGTTATGTGCAAATCGGTATGTACTGTAGCGGACATGGAAATCCAGTCGATTGACCGGGGCCGGCGCCCTCAGCGCACGTACAGAACGCTGCGTGCTTGCAGTGCATAATGTTGATCCGATGCGACCAGCGCGCTGCAGCGCATAAATGCATGACTGTGTGTACAGCTTGTCCATGGTTGCATGGCCAGCGCCCTGGGGCCGCTAGACGTGCGACCGGATTTCCATGTCCACAACAGTAGTACGAATACATGTACAGACCGTCAGTCATCTGTCGGCTTTGACGGACAGGATTGTAACCGAATCACTGCCTACTGCTAGTGCACTATTTCATCGTCACGGCCACAGCCACAGCCAATTGGTTACATGGGAATCTTGTTACAAGAATACATGCAGAGGAGTAAATAACCTTGGGAGAGCAACCGAAAGAAAAACCGAACAAAGCCACCGGCAAGAAACCACCACTTCCAGAGCTAGAGAGAAAGATGTGTGCAAAAGTACGACACCTGCACAAACGACCCTCTCAGCGTTGTTTTCTTACATTTACGTAATTAGTTCCGTTCCTTGCTGCATTCCACAATACTGTGGAAGTCTACGTTGCGTCCAAGCAACTCCACCCTGTCTGCTTCTTTCTATTATTATTATGACTTCCCTTGATCCTTTGTTTGAAATGTTCTCTTCGAAGATTTCAGTTTACTTTACATTTGTTTGTTCGTTTATTTGTTCTTGAGACTGCATGCGTCCTGCGCCTTGTTCTGGCCGCCGCAGGCGCAGGCTTCATGCAGTCCACGCGCGGTACTATAATGTGCGATACAGGCAGGCATAGTGGGATGGTCTAAGACCATGATTGAGAAACAGAGGGTACCAGGTTCAAGTCCTGCTTGGAAGCGGAAGGATTTTTTCCAGCCGTGCTGCGACCCACAGTTAATTGGGAACTCGTGGCCTGGCACGAGGGTAACATGGATGCAGCTAATGGGATTTCGGTCTTTGACCACTTGGTGGTGGGTCTGATCTACTCACCTCCCACCGTTCAGGCGCTGCATCTGCGCCTTTGATCCTAGAGGGTGGTGGCGTTCCCACGGCGGATGCGGAAAACTCGGCTTCCAGCCGAGTCGCACGCGAACCGTGAAATTTATTATTTATTTATTAAGAAAACGACGTACCAACACTCAACTGTAGCAAGTCTTGAAGACGCATGCACCACAGGGAGAGAGAGAGAACAATTACATTGCAGGATTCGTTAGCATTTCACCTCGCTATACAACAAAAATCTGGAGATCGCGAACCTCCTTTTATTATTGGCTTTAAAATAACTGGACCTACTGTAGGAGAATGGGGCCAGAATCGACCAGCTAGGAAGCAGCTCTACAAATCAATCCCCTTGAAACTGCATCGATGCACAAGCAGTGGTTTTCACGTGTGGCTCTCGTCAGAATGCTATGCAACTTGATACAACCAGAATACACAATCCGCGTGTGTGCGTGTGTATGTGTGTATGTATGTATGTGTGTATGTGTGTATGTATGTGTGTATGTGCATGCGTGTGTTTAATTTGGTGCCGTAGATGCCCTACGTAAACCAATCCCAACCGTCTGTTCCCGCTAGTTTCAGCTTGCACCGTACCTACATCATCTTCAGGACACTGGGTCTGAGGTAAGAGTGTGTTTGCTGGTCAGTGCTGCTGCTGCTGCTGTTGCTGCTGCTGCTGCTGCTGCTGCTGCTGCTGCTGCTGCTGCTGCTGTTGTTGTTGTTGTTGTTGTTGTTGTTGTTGTTGTTGTTGTTGTTGTTGTTGTTGTTGCTGTTGCTGCTGCTGTTGCTGCTGTTGCTGCTGCTGCTGCTGTTGCTGCTGCTGTTGTTGCTGCTGTTGCTGTTGCTTTACTTGTCACCAGCATGCAGACTGTCAGAAATACACACACACACACATGTCCCACTCCCGCTGAGGACTTAAGGCCGATTCATACTTTATGTTGCGTACGGGAAACGCGTCGCGTCGCGAAAAAGTTGATCTGAACTCCCACTATTTCGCGTACGGGAAACCCATCGCGCGACGGTCGCGCAATGGGTTTCCCGTACGCGAGATGAAGTATGAATCAGGCCTTACAGTCCGTTTCAAAAAGATTTACAACCCTGGCGATCGCCCGCGGAGTTTGGCGTCTTACCGTATGAGCACTCGAGCGCTGCCTGGAAAAACTCACTGTGAACTCGAAGAAATATTCCGCGCGAAAGCAGGAAAAATGACAACTCACTCACGTTGACACAGTCATGGACGTACGTCTGGTTTACAACAAACGAGTTCTTCCTCGTATCGATAATGGAGTCAGAGAGGACATGTCGAAACGAAAGTGTTGTAAATGTTGACGAGCGGCATGTGTCCCAATCCGTTTTGTGACCAAAATAGTTTCTTTGAGCTGCGATGCAATTAAATTGCATCGCATTATTTACTCACCGTGTGACGAAAACGACATCGACACGGACTCATTCCCAAGGCCATGACTTGGCAAAGCTATCCGTGTGACTTCGACGACATTTTGAGAAAAACAGACGCTTGTGAACGCTGATAGAAGACGGCGTTGACTGCTAAATTCAAATAAATTGGCGATCTTGAAATACTAAAAATAAATCTCAAAAAGCTACAGCGCGATGACTTCCATATTCACTCACACCATTGCAGTGTTGTGGGTGTGTTCACATGGCGTGAGCCAGTCAAGTGTCAGTCAGTTCGGCAGGAAGCGCGACCTCCAACAACAAGTCGTTTGGTGCAGCCATCTTCTTTGTCTTGTACCAGCTTGATCACCAAAACAATGAAAAAAAGTTTGACTTGAGGATAGGTTGGGATTTGAACTCACAACTTCATGGTCAGCAGACAGCATTCATAACCACAAGGCCAAAAAGGAAAGGATAAATCGTGGGTTTTGATAAAAAAAATCGATACTGGCTTCCTGGGCAAATTGTAAACCATGGGAAAAGGCCGGAAACCTGGCCGAAATTCTAACTCCTTAACGGTTGGTCCAATTGTTCCGAAACCTTCACAGAACAATTTGCCGTGTCCTAACCAGCCATTCTATGTACTTTGTTGTCCAAATTTCCCTTATCTTCATACTTTTTAAGACCCAAACCTGATTGTAAATCTTTTTGAAACAGACTATAGGGTGCGTTCTTATGCTTCAATCCCGGAGAAGTCCGAGAATCTGCGAAATGTTTTAGGGTAGGATTTCACATGCCTCAACTAGAATAATTTTTCTTGAGCTTTCATACAGATACTAGATGAGCATGTCAGTTGCAGACTACTGTGCTTCCCTATGTATGTACTAGAGCCGGGGACAGTTAGTGCCACTGCGCTGGTTTGTGACTCACCACAACGTGAGGTAACTTAGGAGCACTGTGCTACGCTTACTTCCCTGGCTCTCTGTTTCTCTGTATGTGTCTTTGCCTGCGTCTGCGTGCCTGCCTGCCTGCGTGTCCACCTGCCTGCGTGTCCACCTGCCTGCCTGCCTGTCCGTCTGTCTGTCCATCGGCCTATCTGATAATCTCTCCCTTCAGACATATGCCAGTCGTGGACTTTGAGAATACGTAAGTTGGAGCGAGGTTGCTCTCCAATGTGCTTGAGCTAGGGCATATGCCTATAGGGTATAGGCCTATAGGGTATGGGCCTACACCCTATACGCCTACTATACCCTATAGGCCTATAAGGGTATACATCTGGGAGCCGTTGCATATAGGGAGATGACCCGGGCGACTGTAACAACGCTAAAATGAAGTGGGCTTTGACCCCGGGCTGTCCGTCACGGTCGTCCTTAGGGCAGGGCCAATTGATACACTCTTGCACACGGCATTGCTTGTCTGGGCTGTGCTTGTGGTCAGCGGGTCAAGGCCACGATTGTGAGTTACATGTACCTAGACCAGGGATCACGTACAACATCTAAATCTAGGGCTGTGTAGTCACTCAGATGTGGGTTACTCGTGAAAGCACCGCCTGTCTTCAGACTAGTGTTCAGGGACCCTGTGCTGTAGTGCGAATGCTCGCTGTAACATTACCCCTGTGCGTGCTCACGTGTTTGTGCGAGTGCACACGTGTGTGTGTGTGTGTGTCTGTCTGTGTGTCCGTGTGTGTGTGTCACTCGTTACCAGGGTGGTTGGCATAATAACACGCAAGGACTTGATGGGCTTTGCGCTGGAAGAGCGTATCACCTATCACCGTCGTGCTCGTGGTCGCCGTACAGCCCCGGCCTCTGCCTTGCTCAGCAGTACATCAGCGGATAGGCTCAGTGGCAGCCGGTCCAGTGACTCGGTGCTCCTCGAGGACGGAGTGGACGGCGAGTACCACCTGCTGACCGAGTCTTGATCACCTAGAGGCATGTGATGGAGCAAGTCGTGCGGCAGTCAGCAGACTCGTCCGCCGATGGAACTGCATCGCAGTACACTGTGTGCATCGGGGTGGTTACGCAGTCAAGACCAGTTAGCACATGTGCAGCATTGCCACACAGCTAACATAAGTGTGTCCTCCCCTCCGCTTTGTGACGTGCTGCCATTGCCATACATGATAAACTATCAAGCAAGGCTTGCACGCAAATACAGTGAACAATACTGAACATACATGTACAATGAACATACTGTACAGCAACGATTGGATGCGAGTGCACTGGGTAGCAACGTCACTCTGAGACAACGACGTGCGCCGAGTTCCACGCGTAACGCACATGCGAACAAACAACGCATCTCGCAAGGGCCGCTGTGGACATTTGTGGCAACACAACAACCAAGGCCACGGTGATCTCTGTGTCTGTGCTTCATTTTTGTCTTAGTATTTCTAACCTGATTGCAGTATTGATGATGATTGTAAGCAAACAATATTTTGGATTGTTTTTCAAAGAAATTTCCGCTATTTTTTAAACAGCCATGCAGGCCATATTTTTTATGTAGAGGATGATCTACGATACATTTATTTTCCTAAATTAATTATAATCTTTTGGCACCTCTTGCGGGTCAGGAATTGCTATCTTTTCTTACGATTATCATATTGTTGGCACTTCGAAGACTTTCGATACAAGATTGACCATGACATGTAGCCGTTTGCCGTTGTTGTCGTACCGGTTACTCAGGATAAAAATCACATCCAGGGATCGTAGGATATAATAAATAATATCAAGCAGAAGCTACAGAAGCACCACCCCATGGCCACACAGACACTGCATACTTTGGCACAACACAAAACAATAGGATCAATTTTTCGCACATTATGTTCCTCCAAACCTTTTTGATTGCATTAGAGCAACAGAAAGAAGTAGGAAGAAGAAAAATGACAACATACGGGTGAGCTGACACAAATAAAGTTTCATCGGACAAAACCTACACGCTATACATGAGTTGGTCGAGCCTAGAATGTTTGCAAATAATAATAGTTAAATGTGAAATAGAAGAAGTCAAGCAGGGTAGGTGGTGCAATGCAGCATCACACTGGTAACGACAGATAGGGCATGGCTAGTTAATTCTGTACACATCATCATCAGCGGGCATCGTCGTCATCATGGGCTCACTCATAATAAAAGACAACGATGGGAAAAAACCTGGAGCAACGGAAAATAATACAATAGGCGGTTGTTTGGTGGCATCAGTCAAGGAATAGGAACGAGAAGAAAAGCAGACAGAAAGGAGAAAGAGGCTAGGAAGTTTGGCAGTTTCATGGATTTATGGGAACTCGCACCTGTACAGTGCGACTGCCAACGTGCCAAGCAACAAAGAGAATATAAAAGAGGACCGGGGAGCTAAAGATAGCCTAGAGATGGGTATTTTTGCTTCTGCTTTTCAAAATGCTCAAATATGCAGACTTGTTTTAGTTTGCGGTGAACAGTGCCAGGAAAATCGGCCACCGGTGCGCACAAAACAAAGACGGCACTACATTAGTTTTCAGCCCCCTCCTCCCGACGGCAGCCATCAAACTCGCGCTTGTAAAAAACAGGCTGCGCAGCAGGCACTGACTAGCAGTGACAAACTACGAGGGCTAAAGGGCTCATGACTTCGCCGCAAGCACATCGAGTTCACCGTAGAGTAGAGAGAAGGCAGGCCGAAGCTCTGGCTTGATGTCCCAGCAACGTTTCATGATAGAGTAAATTTCTGGCGGACAGTTATCCGGCGACTCCATACGATAGCCGGACTCGACATGCTGAGTCACTTCCGCAAGCGGCTGCACAGGGAAGGAACATGAGTACACAGCAAGTCATTATCCAGGGGAGGTGCATAGCACGATCCACACTAGTACACTTCCTGGCACAGTGCGAACACAACACGGTAAGAACATTCTCATGCCACTGGTGCAGCAAAGAGGGCAAACCTGGTCAGAACACAAATACCACGTAAGTAAAACCAAGAGTACGGTGCAAGGAGCATTCCATCATGAACATGATGTCAACTTGAAAATCTACTGGGACAGTAGGGTATGCCGGAGTTGCACACTTAGGCCAGTCAGGGGATGGGGTTACACCCTCTTGGTGAAACATTGCATGTTTCTATTCACATGACTCAACTGTGTCCAGTCCAACAAATACAAGTAATCCACCAGTTTCTTACATGCTGCTTTCAAAGGCTGTGATAGCAAAAGAGAAAACGGAACATAGTACAGGGCAACACAGACGCACACAAGAATGTAAGGTGCACACCGGACGAAACTCACCACTCTCGGATAAGGAACACGGCCGAATGAGTAAAGTTCCCAGAGCATAATGCCGTAACTCCAAACGTCCGATTTAGTCGAGAATTTCTGTACAACAAAAAAATAAGCCAAGGCAAAAATATCAGTCAGAGATTGCACCGGTCCCACCCAGACTGACACCACTTAGCTTTGTTTCAATTTTTTACGTGACCGGTGCCGCTTGTTTTGATATGTTGAGGTAGCTCAAACCACGCTGGCTACGAAAAACTTTACAGAAGAGCTGTTTTCTCTGTTCAAAGTTGTTGTCTAGCAAACGTGGAACCCAGAAATGAGGGGGATACTTATGGCTAGTTGAAAATATGAAAAGCGGAATTTTCCAAACTCCGAGGCAACATACGCACAACAAAAATGCAAAAGTACCCCCCCCCCCTAAAATGGCCACCAACACCACCAGTTACTAAACAATCAGCGCATGCGATAACATTGCACGACACTGACCGACGGTACTGGCGTTCTACAACCAATTGGCTATCAGCTGTAGCACATCTTGGATGCGCACTTCAACAGCCTTCCAACTTGGAAGGTTCTAAGTTATATGATAACATAGGAGGGGAAGGTGAGCGCAACCAAGACAAGCACGAGCTTAGTAATTGGTGGTGTTAGTGGACATTATAGCATAACTTGTAGTTCCTTGGTCCTTTTTCTTTCCTATAAAGTTATCCCTGGCTCTCCATCCGAATAAACTTACATTCAATAGCAAAAGCAGCAGCAAAAAAATGGAGCCCAGTTTTCCGTATCAGCATGAACGCCACCACCCTCTAGGATCAAGGCGCAGTTGCAGCTTTTAAGCGGTGGTTGGGATTTTTGGTATTCGACCACTTTGTGGTGGGTCTGATCTATTCACTTCCCAAAAGCAGCAAGCCCATTGGCAAATAAGTTCGCAGCAATTCCCAATGCACGCATGTGTGCACAAGTAAAACACAAGACAGAAAGACAGACAATATGCATGACCCCAACCAAGACAGCCAGCTCAGTAAGAATCCCTGAAAGCACTGCACAACCTGTATGCCAACCACTTGAAGAGCAAGCCGTTGTCCCCGAATACTAATGAGCCAGCAGTACCAGGAACAGTGCAGCTGGGTAAGCAGGAGAAGTATTGCATGTACTCACGCTATGCCGTAGTGCTTCAGGCGAAGTCCACTTGATGGGGAACTTTCCACCTTCAAGGTTGTGAGTTGCTTCACGGGCCAGACCGAAATCAGCAACCTGCCGGCAGGACAACGCAGTAGGAGTAAGCACAAAGCAGAAGAGTAACAATAAGCCAAGCTGAAAAGAAAGCCAGGAACAAGGGAAGTGACAGGGATGAATGAAACATTAACACAAAGGTGTGAAGGCATTCACGCAAAGGTGTGAAGGCGCCACACGCATCATAAATAACGCCCGCATGGCGCACTAAAGGAAAGCGACAGTAGTGTACTTTGAAGGACATTCAATCATTCAGCTGATGCTCAGTAGCAGCTTCCAAACCAACCACAATCATCACACTGTACGCAGGGTGGTGAAAACACACTGTGATGGCAAATGGTGTCGACAGTGACAAGCACCACTCGTGCAGCAACAACACACCAGGGGTGACAGATGACAATGCATAAGTGAACAGTAACAGTCTTAGAAACACTGCGCAACACTGCCAAATGAAAACACATCCTTACCTTCGCCTTTCCTTCAGTTGACACTAGAACATTTCTTGCGGCTAAATCTCTGCACAAGATAAGGTCATATAGGAAGGAGACAGTAGCGTGTAAATGAGATGAGGTTAGCACTAAACAATGCTACAGACACAGTGTCAGCAAGAGTACATAACTCCCAAGAGTGTGCAACTGCCTACACAGCCTCTATACAGTGCCGTGATGACAGAACTTCACATAGCGTGACATAGTTGAAAAGGTTACGCTGGCAAACAGTGCAAAGTGACCACAAGAGAGTTGAACCTAAAGCAGGGTCGCGTACAATCCTGCAGCTATCATGCACAGGGTGCAACTAATGTGTACGGGTTCGTCACGTGATGTGAAGTTCTGCCGCCGCATACTCCATAGCTGAAGTCGCACACTCTTTTGGGTTATGTGCTCTTGGTGTCAGGCAGAGAATAACACATGCACAGCACATGACCATAACATGAACGACTACAGAAGGACTTGGTACTGGCACACACCATCACAAGACAAGATGACCGCGGGAGGACACACACAAATGCAATACAACAAGAGACACATACTGTAAGTAGCGCTGATCCACCCCCCCCCCCCCCCGTGTCCCACCCCCACGCTGTGTCCCTTCCCCGCTGGTCTTGCAGCAGGGGACGGGAATTTAGATCAGGGCCGTCAAGTGCAGCACAATGCACGACTACACAAAGGATCAGATTTGCCGTGCTGCAGCGTGCACATTTCCACCCACAGGCATGCCTGCGAGGGCACGTATTGTGTACAGCAGTGCATTGGCTCAACATCGCATCTTGACTAGGGGTGAAACGAACGAACTCGCAAGATTGATAGTCGAACACAGCAAGTAAGCATAAAGATCGCTTGTGACTAGATCACGAAGGAGCCGCGGAGGTTGGGAGATCGGGCTGATCCACTGCGTCTGCCTTGATGATCACATGAAGCAAGTTGAAGGAGTTGTCGCGTCAGAACAAAGTTTCCTGAAATATTTCTGTGTCCGTTTGAGGTAGATTTGTACTCGTAGTGAAAGGAGTCGAGTCGCTTGTGACATCTGTTCCTGAAAGCAAACGTTCACTCGTTGCAATCATGTCAACACTTTCGAGCCTTTCATCGCGGTCCGGAGTTGGAGCGGAATTTGATAAAGTGGTCAGGGAAGACGAAGTCCTTTTCTCATTCAAAAAGGTTCTATCACGCAACAGAGCGACGACGAGCAATCTTCGTACCCACCTCAAGATGTACCATTCTCCTGCTCTGACGACCTGAGCTAGCGATGAGAAGAAAACTCTCGCCCGGACGATGGTAATGGACTTTGCAGCTAAGCTAGCTGCAAAACATTGTGATTTAGCGCAGGCTGGCGCGATAAAAAATATTTCTGTTCTCGCAGTGTATCATGCGGTCAATAAGCATTCTCACTTTCTCAGTGATTCTGGCCTCTGGTTCTAGAGCTAGCTTACATGTAGATCTACATGCATGATTACAGTGTTTGTTTAGCATCACACCGTCAATACTGAACACTGGACAGCCAAGTACAAAGAACGCCTGTACTGACAGGCTGTATGGTCTTCTATGAAATACATAATGGAGAATGTTAGTGTGAGAGTTCGTTCGTATTCAAAATTCGATGTTCGTTTCACCCCTAATCTTGACATACCGGCATGCGCAGAAGTCACTTCACAGGTAAAAAGCCTACAAGGGGCAGATCAACGGTACTATCAACTCGTAATAAGCAAAGGCAAGCTCCACTCCTTACCTATGTACCAAGTTCTTAGATTCGAGATATGCCATGCCAGATGCGACATCACTGCAACAAGAACATAGAGAACACGAGGCAAATCACAAGAATTATAATATCAAATCATCATATTCGGCTGATTATAACTTATACCAATACCAGAAAGAAGTAAGAATAACAAACATGAGAACACTGGACATTTCCTTCAGCACCCAGAAGACAGAAAGTTTACCATGAACTATTGACGATAACGTGTCCAATTCATACAACTAATTCGCTTGAATCACTGACGGGTTGTTACCGAGAATGTGGCTTGCAATAGAACAGCTGCTCCAAACCAGTCAGGAGCATCTCACACAAGCTCAAACATGCTGCAAAATCCTGCTGTTGCAGTGGGACTATATCAATAATCTGCTGGTCAGAGAAGAGTAAATTTCCAGTCGGGAATAGTACACTTGCAATCAGGCCAACTGAAAGATTAGGGTTGAGACAGCAACTGGAGAGAAAAACTGTAAACATATCCGCCAAAGTTGGACTAAGGCAGGGAAAGCTAGCAAGGAGGTGCCGGCTCACTGCTAATCACTCATAATATGTGATGAGTTAGCACTGTACTTCGGACACAAATACTACACAAGCAATCATACCCCAAAATACTAAACTTACCGCGAGAACTCAGCTTGATCCTTCTTACGAATTAATGAGCGACCCCGTGACCGTAAGTAGTCGACAAGACAACCCTGGTGAGGACAACAGAATCAGAATAAAAGGGAAGTGTAAGCCAACAGCCCACTAGTCACAGGAAAGGTACGAACAACAATTTACAAAGAGAATAGATGTGCACACATGCTGTAGACAGCATACAAGAAGGAGATAGAGAGTGGGAGGGAGAGGGAGAGAGAGAGAGAGATACAGAGACGGATGCAGTCCGAACTATAAAAGAAGGAAAGAAAAGAAGAAGCTGCAATTGAATGACAACGTTCACAGATGTGAACGGACACAATAGTGTACAAAACACAAGTGGGTACCACATACCTTCGCCAGGAATTCTGTAACAATATAGATAGGTTGTCCCGGACCGCCGTCCAGGGAAACACCAAGAAGCTGGACGAGATGGGGATGCCTTAGCGCTGTCATTACTGATGCTTCCGCCAAGAATGCTTGTACCGCCTGTTCGTCCTTTAATGTTTTGATAGCGACTTTCATGCCTCTGTAGTCACCATTGAATACCTCTGCAGCATGCCAAAGGTAACAGCACATTCACAATGAGCAGAAACTGGGAACAACATTACCAGAGCCAGCACTGGCAAACAATCGGTCAAACCAATCGGCAAGTACTGAAAAGGAACAGTGCGGGTAAACACGCGAAGCAGATCACAGTCAGAAAACACAAGTCAGGGGAAAAACTCAAATTGAGTGATGATGATTCCAAACGAACACCGTACCTCCAAATTCACCACCACCTAGTCGCTGACCGAAAACGAGATCTTTCCGTGCAATCGCCCATCCGGCTACACACACATACACACAAAGAGAAAAGGAGGAACAAGGATACATGATGCAACTGGATAAGTACATGCCGAGCACATCTAGTGAGGGGTAAACAGCAGATAGGTGACAGTCACGATGGTTCAAAGCTGGGTGTGTACCAGCAGCACCCAGCACTGATCACGTATTTACTTTAGCAAAGGTAGGCCAGGACATGATTACAGGAATAGGGTGCAGACCTGCAATGTGTCATACTATTGTAGAGTGTGCTTCTCTCCAGATCCAAGTCTCACACTCATACAATCTGCTTTCTAGGGAAATCTAAACAAAGCAACGCCACTAGTAATGTGAAAATCCAGTGGGAAACCGTAATGCCGTGTATTCAAGCCGGGCTTATTCCTGTAGAAGCCGATTACAAGGCTAGGCTTCTATTCAAACCGGGTATTTCCATATATTTCGACACTAAAACCAGGCTTATGTGCCACCAGTGCATGTGACAACCCGGCTTGAATTCAAAACACTACGGCTATCACTGGGCTAGAGCCTGCTCACCTTTTCTGAACTCGGATCTGTCGATATCGTAGTCGAGCTGGCCTTGTTTGTCCAGCGCTTTCCGAAGTCGTGTACACAGACCATCAGCATCTGCTTGATAATGCTGCGGGAAATAGGAATAGGATTGAGAGACAAAAAAGAAAGACCTCAAGTACTGCCCATCACAGTCTGAAAGCTGCTGATAATGCTAGAATATTCAAACTACTACCGTAGCAAAATAAACAGCTACTGACAAAAAACACAGGAGACGGAGGGCTGTTTTAGCTGTAATTTCAAGTTTCACACACTGAGTGGTCATCAGACAGCACTCTTTTGAGCTGCCCAACCAGACCTCGATTATAAACAGCTACTAAAAGAGCTAATGCTGATGAAAACATAGGCAAAATCCAAACACAACATGCTGAACCAACACCTATGCCAACAGGAAGCCAAAAGCAGTACAGTCATGTATGTACCTCTACGAGCTTTGTTAGATTCTCAAAATATTCTTCTTGGTCGACTGTCAGTAAGTTGTTTTGCCGAAATACGCGATAGTGCTCAACAAAACCTTCGAAGCTGGAATAAAAGAGAGACAATTGGCATACCAGCAACAAGTCAGCAGAGAAAGGAAGCTTTTAACTAAAATACCAATACAATACAAAGGCAACTTGACAACTGTTTGAGGACATACGCAGTGAGTTGACAGGATCAACATTCACGAATGAACCAGAGAATGCAGCACCAGAAACAGTAACAGTTCAAGCACTCACCAAACACAAAGTGTGAAATCTCCTGGATAGTTGACGCTTTCTCGGATGAGATAGAGGCCATCTTTTCTGGGATGAAGCAACCGTTCTGCTTCCTCGCGAGAAATCTTACCATGGTACCAACTAATTAATGGGAGGCAAAGAAAGAAAACGATAGACATTAGTCATTAAAGTTCCACAAGCACCGCTTTCGGAAAGTGCCCATTTGATGATATACAACATGTATGTAAAGGCTCTAAAGCATTCCAGGAATTATCGTTGAGGTGTAGGCCAAAGTGAAAGAAGATCATGTGCCCAGCATATGCTATATCACACAGTTATTTGCAAGAGATAAATGCACTACTTTGATGCTCGTGTGCACATCGGGAAGAAGCTCAACAGCCGGCGACTAACAAGGGCTCACAACACGCATAAGTTAACCGCAAGAGTGAAACTCCTGCAATCCTGCCTTGCGTAGCACGCATGGAAGTACCACACAGCACTGCGCAGTAGCAATCGGGCATAAGGGTATAAATCAATCTCACAAAAACAGGCCAAAATTGAGCACAAGCCGCAACAGGAACTTGTGTCCTACTCTCATTCACAGGCATTCTACACTCTGTAAAGGATGCTTTGCGGACAGAGGTGCTGTCAGAACGTCAAGGATGCAAACAAACTGAAGTGTCAAAGGAGCGCCAGTCCGTGTTCAATCACACAACCACCGCAGCTCTAAAGGCAACACAGGTACCCAGGCTTGAAAAAGGAATGATACAGGGTGTGTGGAAAACACCTGGTATTTATCACCACAGCTGGCCCCCAAAAGGGAAACGCCAACTTCCAGGGGTGCAAACATAGTACTTGTACGGGCATAGACAACCAGCACAGTCCGTGTCGAAGATATCAAACACATACAATCCTACGCTGGCGAAACCTAACAAGGTCCAAACAGCTAGCTATCCGGAGATAGAGTGCAGCACTACTCACCCACAGCGACACAATTCCGCCACATGACCATCGAAAAATCCCAAACAAGCGGAACATTGCGCCACAAACAATGCACTTGAAGCAGCCAAAGCACAGGAGAAACTTACGGCATGGCATGGAGCTTTACCGCCGACCGTTGCTGGACATATGTGGAGGGGATCATACCTTCTTTGTTGTCTTGCCGTTTGGCTTTGTACCAATTCGGGTCCTATGAGGACATCAGGACATACACAAGGGCACAAGTACAGGCTTTGGCACAGGACCAAATTCAATTGATACATAGCGATACTAAACCTAAGCCATGGCTGGCAGTGGAATGCTGCTCAGTGCATATGCGCAACCACAATTAAGCCAGCAATGTTACTATTCATGCCATAAAGCACGTTCGCAACGACAGCAAAACACTCATATCTTCGCAAATGCCGAATGTACTGTATTTCGGATGAATCGTGTTTCTGTCGCCACTATAGGTAACATAGGGTAGGTGCAAAGATGAATTCAGTACAAAGAAAACAAAACAGGGGCCTGACGAGGGCTGTGCATGGGCATGGCTGAAACCACCACGCAGATCACCCATTGCGTATGCATCATACCCGTACTGAATGCGCAATAGCCCAAAGGCGTGTGCAGCTCAGCTTAGTATAATTATTCCTAACAGAAGAGGAAACGGCATAGTTTCATACACATCCATATTGGATCCATATTTGCACTAGGGGATACTAGTAATCACTAGTGATTCGCTATCACCCCGGTCCTCAATCCGTAGAAAATGGGTCATTGATAACGAAAACCTGATGATTCTTCACCCCCATGCCGGCACAGCCTCGGGCAGAGTGACAGGCATGCAGCAACACTATGTGTGCCAAAGCTGAATGAAAATTGACGGGCCACACCTGAAGAAAGTTCAGATTTTCATTGGCTGGCACCACACCAAAGTGTGTCCGCACCGGGACAATCATCCCACGGCAGAGTAGTTTGCTTGTTTGGGTCGGAGTGATTCCCTTTTGCTGCATCTCGTACTGGCTCACATAAGCATTTACCGTATCACCAAAGGTTATTGATTTTTTGTTGTCCGCATGGCGGTGACGGGTTGACATTGCTGCTTGTTGTACACATGGTGAAAAAGTACGCAAATTCCCCGTTATCACCTTTGAGATGTGGTGATTTGGTAGAGCATGATTAGTTATCCTTGACACATAACGACCTAAACAAAATAACTTGCTATGAGAGTGGTTTTATGCAACAAAGATGCGCAGTTGCACATTCTGGTTCATGTACTCTTCAAGGATTTGCAAACAAAAAAAGGCGGTGCAGCCCAGGAGTTGTTATATTTACGGCGTTCTTCACTCTGGCAGCGTGATTGCAGTACGGCACAATACAATGCTGAACAACAGATGATAGCTCACCTTGGAGGCAGCCACGATGGTGAGTATGTCTCCTTTTCGGAACGGCAAATCCTGCGAATAGAACACCAAACCCCACAAATGCATTTGCCCATTAATATTTTTTCACTCATCGAGGTAATGATCATGAGCCACTCCCCATTTCATACATGCACTGCTGAGTGTCCAGGCAACCAGAAGACACCGCGACATTTTACTTGACAGCAATAAACAGAAATGGCTAAATGAGGCACTCTGCATGAATTGCAAGACAAAAATAACTTGGAGGAATGAGTTTGTTGTAATGCTAATTGACGTGGTGTTTTGATGAACTTACATCCCTGCTGGTGCCATCAAAGTTGAAGCGACCGACAACCTCTGTCCCGGGAGACCACTGGGAGCAAAGAAACAAATAAATAAAAACAAATAAAGACAAAAACCCGAACAACATTTGCCAGGTCTTACGCCAAGCAACCCAACCCGATTATAGTGGCAACAACACTAGCCTGCTCTTCGGCAGCCCACACCTATCGCCTGCGTGACCTACCTTCTCCTTTCGGGAAGGTTCACCGCCTTCAGACATTATTCCTGTCCTGACGGCCACGGATCTGGAATAAGCGGAATACGAGCATACGACACGTTCACGTCGTGCTTCAAGTCGTCCAAATACCGCTACTAGAGAGCTCTGGTTTCGTCAACTGAAAGTCTAAAGCCTACACAGGCCAGATTCCTCAAGACGATCCTATCCGCCAACTGCTCGTATAGCTAAACTCCCTTACCAACGCCTCCCAACCTCCGTAGAGGCAACAGCTCATCCAACTGCTTCAGATCAGCAGAAAAAGGTGAAGGAAATCACCAAGCTCAGCTAGGCGGGCTACAGCAACAGCCCTGGAATGAACTTATGTGGGCAACTGCCCCACAGAGGAGGACTGAACAGTTTACTTGGTGGCGACCAGGATGACTACAAGGATGGCCACCAATGAAGGCAGCATCCATTACCAACACCAAGAGTACATTCTTCTCACGTCCACTACGATGATGCCAGCATCGACAACAGTCACCAGCAACTTTTCCCCCTCCACGCATGCGCAAATTTACAAAAAATGGGGCAGAAGTGGTGTTTCGTGTGAAGTTACTTGATCCGCACAGGTATATGAAATAGTTTTAGGTGTAAACACGGATTTAGACAGGATGGAACGTAGGTTACAGAACTATTTTGCATGGGAAACCTGCTGAGACCAAAATCGATACTTATTCATTTCTTCTGTTCGGAAGCGGTGCATTTGGTGGCGCGTTTGGCGACCCTGGACCTGTCTTGCATTGTTGCAACCAGGGAGTAGTATTGTACTACTCCCTGGTTCAAGTGGTTGCAACAAAGCTGATTCAGAGTTGGAATACGGTAGAACTTTTTTGTCTTTGAGGACAGAAAGGTCTCTTTCTTTTCAGTTTGCCAAGGAAAGCTAAATCCCTTCGAGAAGGAATCCTTAGACGAAGAGATAGATCAGAAGCAAAGATCCAGGTCGTGAGCTCTGTGATGTGAGTCAACTAACTTTATTGGAAAGTCAACTTGTACGATATGTCAAGACAATAGTACTTCTTTCTAGAGTACCGGCAATCGACTGTAGTACTTCGCTTCAGCTGCATGAGTTCAGGTAAACCGTGTTCCCGTAGCTGGGCAATTCTCTATGTCCGATAGCACTCATGATCATGATTATATCGATTACTCGTTGCTTCTTTTCGGCAGTTTAGGAGATCTTCAAGCAATCGTTCTTTGATGTATCTGGTCACTTGCGTTGGCTTTGGCTTGTTCCAATCCGTCATGACTCATGAGTACAATAGTATATCCAGTAACGAAGCGTAACCCTGTTGGTGTTACCAAGAGTATTATAACCCCCGTTACTGAAGGAGTTTTGTGTGAGAATAAGTGGCAAACAAAATCATGCGACTAGTTCACCAGCAAGTGCCGTGCCAGTACAATGACACTAGTACAAGCAGGGGCGGGCCACAAGCCAAGCCAATTCTAAAATTTGTTTTGTGCTGAAATCTGGGTGCGGTCCCTCAAGAACTACAGTACTACTAGCATACTATGCCTGTACTGTAGTGTACTACTATTACTTAGTAACTGAGTTGTAGCAAGAGTACATAACCCCCCATGTACTCTTGGTTGTAGGCGATGTAGTAGGAACATTATTACATGGAGCTACTGTAGAGATTGCCTACACCATTGCGATTTGTCAGTTACTAAGTAATAGTACATGGCTGTGTTTCAATCATGTAGCTGTATCAATAATGATTACATGTACCGCGTACGAGGTTGTATTGGCCCCTGCATTGATCTGCTGGATGCTATGGTACTATGTGGCCAACGCACTGTGTGTGCCAGTAACTGGTGTTATCAAGAGTACATATCTCCCCAGCGTGTGCAACATGTTAACATCTGATCCAACTCTGCATAGGGTCTTGGTCGAGCATAATCGGATCTTCTGATGTCATGCGTACACTCCACACCAGTGCAAGGCCGGTCTCGAGGCAGTGCACCGTTGTTTTTGATCCAAGAGTACCCGCGACTCCCCGGGTTCCCCTCAGATATGTGCGGTATTATGACGCAAAGATCCGATTACGCTCGACCAAGACCCTATGCAGAGCTGGATCAGGCATTGCACACTCTGGGGGGTTATGTACTCTTGGTGTTATTCGTCGCCCCTAGTCTGAGGGGTTTGAGTGTAAAGCGTGATTCACAGATGCTTTTTTTTCTTTCTTTCCGATGGGCGATGCTACGCCAAAGTGCAATGCAGACTCGGGACATTCACAGAATAAGTCAGCGATACGACCTCACCTTGCTGATGTGCCGCAAAGCGCAATGCGGGTGAACAACGCCATGACATTAGTGTAGCTAGGTACAATTTGTTATGGAGCTGCTAAACCTAGCTTGAAACTGTCGCTGCATAGAAGGTACAAGTTGCATATCCCATTGCAAAAGTTAAGTCGTGCTCAACTTCTGCGATCAGCCATTTGTGTGAGTTGCGCGATAGGTGCGATTTGAGGATTTCCCGTTTTCGCAGCCGTGGCATTGCCCTGATTATGTGAATCTAGTGTTCGAATGTGTAAAGATAGCACACACGATTACGACTCAGTTTATGAACTCCTCAGCGTTGCTTGCACGCACTGTAATCTGGGTCATGATTTGTTCCCGGAGTCAGGTCACCTACTGCACGGACGCAGCAGTGCTTGGGTGGAAACAGCACTTGCATTGTGGCCTGCGCACAGCTGCAGCCTGCACTGCTGCTACCTGTACTGTAGTGACTGGCTGGCTGCAGTTGCACTGTATGGCACGGCGCTATGTGCTGTGGCTGCCGCCTGGAAAATCTTGCAAGCATGCCTGCTAGAACAAGTGTCCAACAGCTACTACTGTAGTATGCGCCTTTCCAGGCAGATTCGGGCCGCGATGCCGCAAGGAAATGCATTGCTGCGTTTGTGCAGATCTGGACACGGCTGTCTAGCGGGCACCTTTCTGACCCATCCAGAGTCGCACAAACATTAGCTTTCCAGCAAAAACGACCACCAAAATTGGCATAAAAAATATTCACTTGTACTTGCATGCAGTACGTGTGTACATGTGCATCTAGGTTCAGGAATCACGGTCAGGGAGTTGTCAAATACCATAATATGTATGTATTTGACAACTCCCTGGTCGCCTGCAATTCCTAGTTACGGGCAGTCCCAACGTGACCGGATTTAATAGGGGGGGGGGGGGGGGGGGGTTACTGTAGTGCAAGCACCGCAGCACTGTTGCTCACATGACGACCGTGTTTTGCCCTCGTACAGCTCGTGCCGTGTCTGTATGCCGTCTCCTGCACAAACCCCCATCAGTGTGCAACTGTCTGTCCACCACACCAGGGTTCTAGCCAAAGAGGGGTAGGGGGAACAGCGCCCCCCCCCCCCCCCTACTCGGTTTGCGCGCCCCCTGTTAAAAATTGCCGTCCCCTACTCATTTTCTGATTTTCGTGTTTTTCATGCATAGATGGTTCATAAAGGCACATTTGTCTGGGGTGAAGTCAGGGATTTGCCCCATACGTTGCATTTGGCGTGGCAAGACAATATTGGAAAGTGGAAAAATGGGATATAGGGTAACTGTTTCCCATGCCCCCCCCCCCCCCCCCCCCTCTACTATTTTGACCTGGCTAGAACCCTGCATACTGCATGTGTACTGGCTATGGACAGCAGAAGTGTGGCTGTACATGTGGTCTGCAGGTGAAAGTATTGCTTTCCTACGCCCATGGGTGAAAACTCTGTGGCCTTTGTTGCTGTACTAACATGTAACGTGTCTCAGTTGCATGGCAAGTACGCACCATGCACGCTACTCGAGCTGCCTTGTGCGGTATCCATGAAGTGACATGGTATAGTATTAGAGAATACATGTACTTGTACATGGGGATGTACCGGTACATGCAACTGACAAACTGAGCAATCTTCACTAGACTTCAGTTCCGTGGTTCAAGGAGGAGGGGGGCTTACGTTTGCCAAGTACTGTAGTAATCAGTAATCTTGGTAGTAAAATGTTCCGAGCATGAAAATATTTGTGAAATATAGTCAAGCAAAGCATGTACATGTACATACACCGTAATTAAAACCATACATGTCGGGAGCAAAAAAACAACAACAAACAAAGAAGCACAGATTGTCAATACGCATCAACATTGTGTACAGACTGAAGGCGCATGACAACATTGGCACGCGCAACTGAACACATCCTCCAAAGCTGTAAAAAAGAATGTATAAGTTACGTATAATTAAAAAAAATCTCCGCTACCCCTAAGCAGGATGAGCTGTACACAGGAGAAGGTGGCAACACAAGCACAGCAAGACAAAGCGACAAAGAGAGTATTTGCAAGGATATAGGCACATAAAACACAAAGCCGAGCACCGGAGAAGCTAGCCGCAGCATTTAAAAAAAGAAGGAGCACCGATTAAAAAATCCTCATAAAACCGCGCCTAAATTAGAAAAGAATGTGTGCAGCAAAGATGAGAAGTGTTGCGGCACACCAGCAAACATAGCCTAAATAAAATTGCTCACATTTTCACACAAGTATGGCCATACTCTCGGGCCATGAGCAAAGGAAATTTCACCAGCGACGCAGCACGGAAGCGACTTGAAAAAGACGCGGAGCCCCACACAATAAACACATGCACACGTGCACACCCACACCACACCCACACGCACACCTACTTACACGCCTAAACACAGGAAATAGAACTGGGTCTGTGTGAGCTGCAAGGAGTGCTAGCCTGCAAATCCGATGTTCACAACAGATGGATAAAAATATGTTTTCTTTGAGAGGTGCCAGTGTAAAGGGCACACAAGAGGGACAGGGAGCCAGTGGGAAATCCGATAGCAGTCACTGCTGTTGTCAAGATCCGTAATAGGCTTCAAGCCGAAGAGGCAATTTGAGCAAGCTCCGTGAAGAGCACGGAGAACTCTGGTCTCCGCTCCGGCACAATGTCCCAGCAGCGCTTCATGATACTGTACACTTCGGGCGGGCAGTTGTCGGGAGCATCCATCCGATAGCCGGACTCGACGTGCTGTGTCACCTCCGCTAGTGGCTGCATACAACAAGCAAGGACGAAAAGACATTCATGGTTTGCGAGAGAGTCAGTCAGTCAGTTAGGTGAACTTCTGCGCATGCGTAGCACTTCTACCCTCAAGGGCGGGGATGTAGATGCAGCTCCCAAAGCAGTAGGGAGGTGAGCGCATGTGTACATCAGACCCGTTGTCAACACGGTCAAAGACTGCGAACCACCCATTCGCTGCATCCATGTTACTCTCATGTGCACGGACACGACGGTAGATTGTTTTTGTTTCGTTTTTTAACACTAGAAGCAACAAAACAGCCGGCTCTTGAAGAGGATCTGTCCCGTACTATGGTGCCCCAATCCACACAATCATGTTAGTTCGAATCTAGGAGTAGTAAAATGAGTATTTTATAAGTATTTTACTACTACTTCGAAGTAGATTTGAATTTTACAACATTCACTTTCCAACAAGGAGTGAAATAGAGACCTCTCCAAATTTCAATATCCTCTAGCATCCGCATTAACACCACACTGATTTGGCGCCACGTTTAGCACCAAGCAGACTGTATAACAACAATGACAGCGGCCGCGGGAGCAAGAAATCACCAGGGCAGCTCTGAAACACCCACAATTCATACGAGAGGCTGGGGGACTCATAGCCAACGGGACTTTGAACATGGCCAACGGCTGGAAAGCGTACACGGCAGAGACCATAATGGCCAGAGCATGCCTGCACCATGGCAACTGTACATACACAGTCAATGACTAGCGCATGCCTCCACACTCCACACTGCACCATGGCAACTGTACACTATACACTGTACACTATACAGTGTACACACAATCAAGCAGCACTCACCACTCTCGGATAAGGAACACGGCCGAACGAGTACAGCTCCCAGAGCATAATGCCGTAACTCCAAACGTCGGATTTAGTAGAGAATTTCTGCACCGTGCAAGTTACAGTGCAAACAATGGGCAAGCAGAAGGTTAGCAAATGATGCACCTCCTACCGGTGCTAGCAATTACTACCATCAAGAGTACATAAATAATAACTCCCAAGATGGTGCAACTGCCTGTACAACCTCTATGCAGTGCAGCAACGACGGCAGAGTTTCAGGTCATGTGACATGGTTCAAACGGTTACGCTGGCAAACAGTGCAAAGTGATCACAAGAGCTGTACTCACAACCCATGTACCGTTAGCTCACTCATCCGCCAGACATTATTATTCACAATGGCATTATGCCCATATTGGGTTCGGTGACACACGGAGCTTCGGAGGTGCTGGATTCAGGGCTTGCGGCTGCCGTTCCACAACATAGATGGAGATTCACTCACCCGTCAGCATTTTCCCACAATCGCAGACCTCTCGTGAGCCCCACCCAAGTTCCAGGAATAAGAGTTGACGGCGTTTTCTTTATGCCAAATACCCGGAGACAGGGTGCGAGAAAAGGGGTACACATTCCCAACCATAAGCTAGTCAACTCTTTTGCAGGATCAAGGGTATTCAGCCTTCTAGGTCAGTAGGGTGTCGTAACAACTTACACTATGCCGTAGAGCCTCCGGTGCAGTCCACTTGATAGGGAATTTCCCTCCTTCGAGATTGTGCGTCGCATCTCTTGCCAAGCCAAAGTCAGACACCTACACACACACAAACAAAACATGCACACACGCACAGCAGCAGCAGGACACAGATAACAAGCAGCAACACATTGATGGAACACCATTTTCTACGAGTTGCAAGATCCCACCGGAACCTCCCTTCCCAGAACCGTTACTGCTGAACACTACACCCCTGCCTGCCAGACACCAGGGTCGCCTCTCAACAAAGCACACACACAATCGATACTGCTCTGGCGATCCTAAAGCGCAGAGCTTTACGGCAGGCGGCATAAAATTACGGGCAAACCTGACAAACTATACCGGTTTGCAGCCTATTAGAGTTGAGCACACTTCTTAGGAAGGAGAGAAGATTAGTCATCTCACCTTTGCCTTGCCCTCGATTGACACCAGAACATTTCTGGCTGCTAAATCTCTACAAGGGGAAAACAGAGAGAGAAAGAGAGAGAGAGATCGAGAGAGAGAGAGAGAGAGAGAGAGAGAGAGAGAGAGAGAGAGAGAGAGCAAAAGAGCCCAGAGGAAGAAAGAGAAGAAGAAAAAGAACAAGGAACAGACGTGAGACACAGTGGGTACATTTCTGGCTGCTAAATCTCTACAAGGGGAAAACAGATGAATATGCATGCCACAGCAGCAGCATCAGAGCGCCAACACCACACTAAAGTGACCTTCGTCCTAAGGACGGATGCTATAACTCAGTATTCCGATAGATAGCCCACGCAAATCCACAAGCAGCCATTGAGGACATGTGTACGCACACCCACACCACACACACACCCACACACCCAAACCACACCACACACACACAAACAGGATAGCAAACCAGCAACTAGTGGCGGAGGCAGCAGCAGCATGTTTGCAGTACCAAACAGTTGAGCAAAGGAAGAGGATGCCAGGTGAGCCTGTACGAAACCAAAAGGAAACTCTGCCCACGGTAGAAAAGAACTCTACTCCCCCCCCCCCCCCCCCCCCCCCTACCAGCCAGTACTCAGAGACGGAGAAAAGCAATTCGAGTTCTTCGTCTTTCTGTGAGAACCGGACCTTTGGGATGATGAGAAGGCAACAATGCCTGTGTAATCGGCGAAGCAAAATATAAGCCAACAACAAGTTACCTACCTGTGTACGAGGTTTTTGGACTCCAGATATGCCATCCCCGACGCCACATCACTGGATAGGATAGAGGCAAAGCAACAGCAGCATCAGCATCACAGAACACAGATAGGCTGAATTTACACATGTCTGGTTTCACTACGAAAGCAGAACGATACAAAAAAAAGGGTAGCACGCCACAGTGACATGGCTGTCGTTGTGATTGTAGCCGCACCCCTACACACACCCACATTCCACAGACCCGGACACCCCTAATCTGGGCATAGCCTTCTACCAGGCACCTTTCTGACCCATATGAGCCGGCGCACGCGCGAACAAAGGGACGTTATCCGGCTGCATGTGATTTTTGAGAAAAACACATTTAAAGCGAATCAGCTGATTTCAAGCTGCCACGCTTGGAACGAACTTGAAACTGTGCGTCTTTCGGCGATACGTGACTTTTTTTAGGCGCTAATCCACTCTGTCTATTGGAGAGCCAGTATCCTACAGCTCCTGTAGAAGAAAACCCTGTCTAAATCGACCCACGTCACGCATCGGCGATCAAAGTTCGATCCACCGTGACACCTCCTCTGCATAAAATTGCACGCGCAAGCGGAAAGACAAAACTTGCTTTCACAGTTTCAGCGCAGTTGTCCTGCCGTCTCCGCTTTCTGCTAAGTCCTTTGGGTTGGCGCGTGTTACGTCACTACATATTAGTCACAAGAGTACACATATTATGACTTAGTCTACTGGTGACAGTAGTAGGATATCTGGAGAATGCGTACAGCTGGTCATGGTTCTTTTCACATTCCCTGTAATAATGAACGTCTTGTAAATCTACTGCTTGTCCATTGTGTTCGGACTGAGACTTTATCGATATGAATACATAACAAATGGCGACGAAGATGAAATGGATTATTTATTTTAGTGCCTGTTAGTGTAATGCTAGCAAGTTAGTTGTTCAAGACAACATGCCCAAGTCAAGCTTGGAACCGTTCGATGGCGGCGACTTTGAAGAGTATCTGGAACGTTGAGATTTTTTCTTACTGGCCAATCAAGATTGGCAACGTGGCTTCCATCCAACGCGACTAAAGATGAGAAGTTAGCTGCAGCGAAACGCCGTGCAGTTAGTATCTATGCTCTCGAAGGATGTGTACGCCACCTTCAAGTCTCTATGTCTGCTGAAATTACCATCGAACCTGACTTTCAAGGAAATGTCAGATTTGCTTACGAAATATTACAAAGTCAAAAAAAACAACTGCATCGTACCAGTTCCGGCAGTGTGTCCAATCTGCTGGGGAACGTGTCGTAGACTACTCCCACCATCTCAAACAAGCAGCAGTGCAGTGTGAGTTTAGCGAACGTCGCGATCGGGCTCTACAAGACCAGTTCATCGCTGGATTACGAGATTTAGAAATAAAGAAAAATTCTGACGTCTGCCCCTGATGTGATATGGCTGTTCACCATGAGTTACCGTAAGTGTTTTCACCGTCAACGAAGCGCTGAACTGTCTCCTGGCAGAAGATGGGGCTGACATTTTTGGTGAGGAAGAGGACCGCCAATGACATTTCGAATCAACCTGACGACGCGAACGACGGTGGCGATGACGAAGGCTAACACTTTCTTGAACAGCGAGTGAATGCCGACGCAGCAGGCTAGCTCCGCAGCAGCTTGAGCAACTACCGCTGCGCCGGCAGAGGATGATACTCTTTGTCAAAAACAAAACTGCGGATGTTCAAGAAATTGCTTATGGCAATTCGGCCCATCTGACATCGAGACGTCGATCCTGAACATGACAGAGATGGAGCCGTACGAGAATGAGCTGGTGGTCCTGGGCCTTCTGGAAGCTTTCTCTCATCCAGAAACAACTTTGGAGAGCGCAGAGAAGTGCAGGAGGGAGCGTTTTACTTACAAATTCAAAGGACTGACTGATTGTGTGGGCGCGTTCCGTCACGTATGCGTGCAGTCTGACAAGAGGCTGAGACGGTGCAAAAGCCACCTGGAGGAGAATGGGCTTGTGCTACTAGTGCAGTGCAATACAGCCAAACGGCCATACAATGACCTGGAGTTTGCTGTTGTGAAGAACTGCATGGAGTACATCACTGGACATACGGATGTGTTTGGGATTCCACATTCAGCACCACTCCGCGGCAGAGACGGTACACCACCAATCTTCCTTCCATCGTACAAGTGTGTACATGAAGACTACAGCGACTACTGGCACAAGGAGGATAAGAAGTCTGTATTCTGCTCCATCTGGCAACAGACAATGCCGCATATCAAGTTCATGTCCGCTCGCATGGAGCAGAAGATGACCGCCATACACTCAGTTGACTGACCATGTTCACTGGGCGCAGAGGGGGGGGGGGGGGAGAGAGAGAGAGAGAGAGAGAGAGAGAGAGAGAGAGAGAGAGAGAGAGAGAGTGAGAGAGAGAGAGAGAGAGAGAAAAAGAAAGAGACAGAGAGAGAGAGAGTGAGAGAGAGAGAGAGAGAGAGAAAGAGAGAGAGAAAGAGAGAGAGAGAGAGAGAGACAGACAGAGAGAGAGAGTGAGAGAGAGAGAGAGAGAGAGAGAGAGAGACAAACAGAGAAAGAGAGAGAGGGAGAGAGAGCTATCGGCAGAGAATCACAGATGCCGCTGCTGAGCTTCAGCAAGTGTCATCTATGTCTCCTGCTGATCGTCTGCCCCTAACAAAGTCTCACTACACCTTTGACTTTGATCAGAGCATCAGCTTGCCACACACGTACCCACCCCCCACACGCCGCCCCCCCCCCCCCCCACACACACGCACACACATACACACAACACATGGTAAAGCAGCGTACCGTGAGAACTCGGCTTGATCCTTCTGCCGGATGACCGAGCGACCTCTTGACCGCAGATAGTCTACAAGACAACCCTGCAAGCGGGGGAAACAAGCACAACCAAGGCACAGTCAAGGCACAGACATACTGCTGCTGAGCATGGCTTCAAGTGAGCTCTGACCACTTTACCTACATCAGCCTGTCTCCATACAACTTACAAGTTGACAATGGCGTGAAGCAGAACTCAGGTCTTACTCAGAATTTCAAGTCACCTGGCCAATCCTCAGAAAAATTTCACGGTACCCCCATGCACGGTTTTTCCTTTCATTCTGACAACACCCCATGAGCAGCTACATGTGAAGAGCTGAGATGCAAACCGGCTAAATCCATTTCATCACTTTCCGGATAATGGCTAAAAAAGGACTTATTTTACGTGCGGTTTCTATCTAAATCCATATTTTGGGATCCAGTTTTGAAATGGTTCTAGTCAGATTTCGGATTAGAAATTTTGCCTGCTGGTGCCCCTAGCCCTGTTGAGTACACTGAGCTGAAAATCCGATTTTCTCAAATTCAGCGCTTAGCGGGTTTCGCATTTCAGCTCTTCATGTACAGTAAAACCTGTCAAGGCAACCAACTGTCCTAAAAGACCACTGAAACCAGGACCAAGGGATGTTATTTCCAGTCAAATGGCCCTGCATACGGAGACCACCTGGTAACAGAGACCACGTTTTGAAGGTCCCTTGAGCAGTCGGCTTAGACAGATGTAACTGTATTGTAGTCAGCTATTCACTGTTTTCTGATGATCACTTAGTGCGTGAAAATTCGGAGCAAACACTTTTATCATTCTCTCATTCTTGTTGTTATTCTTCTGACTTCTTGTAGAGTGTACGTAACGTTACCTTCGCCAGGAACTCGGTGACAATGTAGATGGGCTGTCCGACGCCGCCGTCGCAGCACACGCCCAGGAGCTGGACCAGGTGGGGGTGTCGCAAGGCCGTCATCACCGATGCCTCCTTCAGGAACGCCTGCACAGCCTGCTTGTCCTTCAACGTCTTGATGGCCACCTTCATCCCTCTGAAGTCGCCGGCGAAAACCTCTGTGCCACAATGCACAACACAACAAACAAGGAGAGGAGAATGAGCGCCAGCAACGGAATGGGAAAGCAGCAACAGTGAAGCAGCAAATTGATTCATTGAAGTAACAACAGAGCTAGTATACACATTACCAACAGCAGCAGCCATAGGAGCAGCAGCAGGTGTAGCCACACCAACAACAGAAGAAACAGCAAAAGTATTCGCGGGAACAACAGGCAGCAATATAATTATAGCAGCAAGGGAAACAATCCTGCGAGACGTTTGTAATATCTTTCCAATGAAAAGCCAAGAATACACACAGAACAGGTGCCGTAGTGCACAGAGGGAATTTCGGCACACCTAACAAACATGGATTATGGTATCATTTTGTTCATTCGTATTATGCTATGGAATAAGATATTGTATGGTGAAGATAGATGTCCTAGTACACAGGTCTGTACCGAAGCCGTCCGAAAGTGCCACACCTTTCTATGGAAACAGTTTTTGGATACACTGCATGGCGCATGGAATCTTACGAAATCAATTCCAAAACAAAAACCAGCCACAATACAGTAACCGAAATTGAGGCAGAGTACGAATGTACCAACCTCCGAATTCGCCACCACCCAGCTTATCGCCCAGGACGAGATCTGATCGTGCGATGGCCCAGCCAGCTGTAAATAACCACACGCACACACACAGTTACAATGAGCAGCGGGTCTTGTCCTACTCAACATGTTACACAGAGTGAGAGAGAGAGAGAGAGAGAGAGAGAGAGAGAGAGAGAGAGAGAGAGAGAGAGAGAGAGAGAGAGAGAGAGAGAAAGACGCACATGGAAGTGATAATGTCAAACATGGCCCGCACTGAAAACACCACATCACCCTGTAGCTGTGTATTATACACAAGACAGGCCCATCAAGTCACAAATGGCGGCATGTTTTTTCCACGTCAGCAGAGATAATTCCAAACAGCCCCTATCTAAAAAAAACTGCTCGAAACTTGAGCGGATTCAGAACCAGCGCGAGGTATTCAGTGAAGCAAGGCACCAGGCACACACGACTCACTTTTCTTGAATTCTGATAGGTTGCTCTCGTATTCATACTGCCCTTGCTTATCAAGTGGCTTGCGAAGCCGCGTGCACAGACCGTCTGCATCGGCTTGATAATGCTACAGCCGCATAAAATCAAAACATGTGCAACAGCATGCATGAACATGCACTAGATAAGCCCTGCTTGGTTGAAAACATGTTGTTTGGTTGACAGCATGTCACCTAGTATAATGAGGGTCAGAACCAGGGACAACCCCCGTACAGTTCAAATGGGCTGGTGCAAGACCGGGGCTCTGCCAACCGTGGATGGTTGTAGTCAGGAGCACTGTTTTCAACACAGTGCGTCCACCACCTTGTAACATGCTGTCAACCAAACACCATGTACATGTATGTGTAATACTGGCCTTGACAATGCTGAGCACACACTATACCGGTACTCTGGATAGGGCAGTGTATGTGTGGAATGTACCCGGGACAGTCGGCAGTATAGTGTGCATTTGGTGTGTGTGTGTGTATTTGGTGTGTGTGTGTGTATTTGGTGTGTGTGTGTGTGTGTGTGTGTGTGTGTGTGTGTGTGTGTGTGTGTGTGTGTGTGTATCCCGGCTCGATCAACAGCTGCAGCATGTCAACAACCAGGAGCTGCGAAGACGCTGGGGTGATATGGCACTGCCATCTGATACCGTCAGACACCGCCGTCTGCAGTGGCTTGGGCATGTCGCCAGAATGCCAGATAACCGGCTTCCGAAGCTGATACTGTTTAGCTTCTTCTCAGATCCACGCCCAGCCTGTGGGCCACGACTGCGATGGAAAGACCTCGTCGCACGTGATCTTCGTTTCGGTGGCATAGTGAATTGGCTCACTTTGGCTCAGGATCGCCCAGCATGGCGCGAGGCAATTGCAAAGACTCCGGATGATCTCGTGGAGTGCAACAACAACAAAGTCACCTGCAAGGTTTGCAACCGATCATTCACTGCTCGTGGGATTCACCGTCACAAGTGCTCAGCTGTGCGGTCCTTACCTGTTGCCCAGCAGCCTGGGGCCCGTCACTGTGGAGTTTGTGACCGCTGGTTTCAAAGCGCTGGCGGTTTTGCAGTTCATCGTTGTGTGGAGCGTCAGACATCGGACGAAATACCAGCTGTTTCAACGAGATGCAGCCTGAACTTGGACTGCTGCCAGCACCATTGCTCGACCTGTGATCGCTGCATGAAGAGTCAGGCTGGTTTTAACCGCCATAATTGTACTCGAGGCAAACGACTGCGAAAGGACCAGAGGACTAATCTGCCCATTCAATGCAGCCTATGTAACGAACGATTCTCCCGCCCGCAGGACCTCACCCGCCACCGAAGACAGAAACACTAGCTATGTGTAGAACGGTCCCCTTTCATCTCAATTACTCTCCTTGTTTCTTTTCCTTTCTCGCTGTTGTCTCCCGCTTCTGGGAGCGACGTGGCCATTTTGTGGCAGTTGTACATAGTAGTACATAGTACATAGTTGTACATAGTAGTACATAGTAGTAGTGTGTGTGTGTGTGTGTGTGTGTGTGTGTGTGTGTGTGTGTGTGTGTGTGTGTGTGTGTGTGTGTGTGTGTGTGTGTGTGTGTGTGTGTGTGTGTGTGTGTGTGTGTGTGTGTGTGTGTGTGTGTGTGTGTGTGTGTGTGTGTGTGTGTGTGTGTGTGTGTGTGTGTGTGTGTGTGTGTGTGTGTGTGTGTGTGTGTGTGTGTGTGTGTGTGTGTGTGTGTGTGTGTGTGTGTGTGTGTGTGTGTGTGTGTGAATAGTGACGGTCAATTCTTCAGCCTTGCAAGCTGTTGAATGGTGCAATCCCAGCACAAGTTGCTATGGCTTCTGCCGTAGCATTGCTATCATCGCCTCCGGCGATGGGCGTCAAAGGTCAAGGTCAAGGTCAAAGGTGTGTGTGTGTGTGTGTGTGTGTGTGTGTGTGTGTGTGTGTGTGTGTGTGTGTGTGTGTGTGTGTGTGTGTGTGTGTGTGTGTGTGTGTGTGTGTGTGTGTGTGTGTGTGTGTGTGTGTGTGTGTGTGTGTGTGTGTGTGCAGGCGGAGAAGAGAGAGACAGAGAGAGGGGAGTGAGAGAGAGACGGAGAGAGTCAAGTTAAAAAAAAGAGAGTAAATTATCGTGTCCATTGCCGAGAGAACTCATAGAGAGATGGAGACGGAGAGAAAGAGAGAGAGATGAAGAAAGAAAGAGAGAGAGAGAGAGAGAGAGAGAGAGAGAGAGATGGATAGAAAGACGGGGAGATCCGTGCCATAGGTAGCTAAACCAGGACGACAATGGTCCATTATGGAGCTCCTCACCCACCGATCTCCTTCTGTCTAGCATCCCCTGACAAAGCATGACATACAGCAAACAATATGTTGTATACGTCACCAAGTATAGTGTACATACCTCTACGAGCTTGGTTAGGGTTTCAAAGTACTCCTCGTGATCAACAGTGAGCTGGTTGTTGCGACGCGTCACACGATAGTGTTCGACGTTACCCTCGAAACTAGGCAAGCACAGAGAGGAACAGGAAAACAGTCTAGCTGGTAAGACATGCACACAGAGACACCTTACGTTCAGCCCTTATTGAGATTAACAACCCATATGATACGAGTAGCAGTTTCATTTTTTCCGACCTGACGGGACCGCACGGCGCTTGCAGACACCAGCACGAATAGTCCACCAGCTACAGGTCGGGTCGGAAAAATGAACCTACTACAACTATTGGACGAAACAAAACAAAAAAGATGGCATTAACGAATTGACCAGCAGAGTCTGATAAATGCCCACGGCACCGTAGTGGGAAGAGAAACTTGTTTAGGAAATGTACTTTTCAACAGCTTGCACGGCTGAGGGATTCGCTATCCATCCAGCCCAGCCTACATCACTCTGTTCGAGAAGTCAAGTGCCATACATCAACTTCCATCTCGCCGCAACTCACCATACGCAGAGAGTGAAATCTCCCGGGTAGTTGACACTCTCCCGGATCAGGTAGAGACCATCCTTGCGCGGATGAAGCAACCGCTCTGCTTCCTCGCGGGAAATCTTTCCATGATACCACCTGACGCAGCACGTGAAAAAAACACACAACAAAAAAACAGACACGCCATACATGAACTTAGACCACAGTGCTAGCAAAACCGTTGTGGAAGACGTCCAATAGTTGGGTACCACGTTCTCTATCGAAGCATAACCTTGCGGAATCAATGAGCTTTGATCAGTACTGTAGTTGTTAGCCCACTGTACCAAGTCAACCATCGGGGCAGACCAGCTACAGATTCACACACAGCACACCCACGTATAGCAACAACGTGCGATGCATGTGTGTGTGTGTGTGTGTGTGTGTGTGTGTGTGTGTGTGTGAGTGTTTCTATTCGAAGTATACATACCTGTTAACCATGGACTGCTTCTGGCTAGATTAACTCGTGTGTAATCAATGGTGCTAGTGAAGCTTATATCAGATCCACTCTGATTTAGACACCCACACTAGTAGCAAGTATTACCTTCACTGGGGGCAGGGGTAACTGCAGTTGGATCCCAGGACGGATACCCTGATGCCGTCAATCCTTTTTCTGCACCTTGTCCTCACCCACTTACCGAGGTGTGGTGAGCCCATAAGTGGGATCATTTTCAAGTCCACCCAGAGTTTTGGGGATTTCAGGGGGCACGGTGTCGGCCGTTGGGCGGTTCAATAGCCAATTGAGTCATCTTTCCAAGATTCCTTTTGAGTCTCTCTCCCCTCTCCCAGGGAGACCCACGTGACCAGTTTTGGCAGTGAGCAACAAGTACAAGTGTGTGTGTGTGTGCGTGTGTGTGTGTTTATGTGTGTGCGTGTGTGTGTGTTTATGTGTGTTTATGTGTGTGTGTGTGTGTGTGTGTGTGTGTGTGTGTGTTTATGTGTGTGTGCTGCATGGTACACCGTGCACACGGGTAAGCCATGTATCTTGCGCACACGTACAGTGAACACACACACACAGTTCAAACAGATACAGCCATGCATGGAGGGAGTAACTCACGGCATTGCGTGTAGCTTGACCGCCGAGCGCTGCATGACATACGTCGTAGGGATCATGCCTTCCCTACTTAGGTTGTCTTGCCGCTTTGCTTTGTACCAGTTGGGATCCTTGCAGCAAAACACACATGTACAAACACACGTACAAACACACGTAAGAAGAGAACACATACAAACACAAACACGCACGCACACACACATGCACACACGTACACACACACATGCACACACACACACACACACGCACACCTCAGACCTCAGACATGCCCATCGCGGAAGCGATGATAGCGAACAGCTATGTTAGACATAGCAACTTGTGCTGGGATTACACCATTCAACAGCTTGCAAGGCTGATGAATTGACCGCCACTATTTTTAGCCTGGTATCCACCACACAGCTGTTTGAAGTGACTTTTTCTGGCCAGTGAATCCCTATTTTTCATTTTTTTTTCATTTTTTTTCTTTTTTCTTTTCACGCACACACACACACGCACACACACACACAAACAGTAGTCCACCACAAATTTACGAGACCGGTCATATTTGCCACAACCACTTTGGCGGTAGGGTCAGTAGACAGCATCAGGGAGAGACAAAACTACTGTATTTTCCTATTTTAAAATAAGAGTTCTATACTTACTCCAGTGTCTCATTCAGTAGCGATGTGTGTGTGTGTGTGTGTGTGTGTGTGTGTGTGTGTGTGTGTGTGTGTGTGTGTGTGTGTGTGTGTGTGTGTGTGTGTGTGTGTGCGTGTGAGAGTAAGAGAGAGAGAGAGAGAGAGAGAGAGAGAGAGAGAGAGAGAGAGAGAGAGAGAGAGAGAGAGAGAGAGAGAGAGAGAGAGAGAGAGAGAGAGAGAGAGAGAGAGAGAGAGGGAGGGAGGGAGGGAGGGAGGGAGAGAGAGAGAGAGAGAGAGAGAGAGAGAGAGAGAGAGAGAGAGAGAGAGAGAGAGAGAGAGAGAGAGTAAGTTACATTTATAAAGACAGGTAAGTCTAACAAATGAGGACTGAGACCTCTACAACAGGGTTTTTACGCCTGAAAGCAGGTGCATGATTTAACAAGCAGGTTGTCAGTCTAGATTTTATGCGCAGATGGAGAAAAAGCGCAGAATTTTTGTAATGAGATGAAAAGCAGAAATAATAAGAAATAATAAGAAAAGATGAAATGAAAGCCTGCTCACAACCCCGCCCAGCCTTGCGAACTGGGTATGGTGGATTAAGAACCCGGTTCAACGCTCGAGCAAGCGCTCTCCACTCAAGGTGTTCACAGCAACTGATAGGAACTCATATGGGGAAATTATAGAAAAGAAATAATAAGATAAAGAGAATAAATTTCAACGCACCTCGAGAGAGAGAGAAGAGAGAGAGAGAGAGAGAGAGAGAGAGAGAGAGAGAGAGAGAGAGAGAGAGAGAGAGAATTATACGATTGATGAATCTAGTTTCCAAGGTGAGTGAACCAGTTGTGGCGACGGCAATCGCGGGTTCGCGATCCAGGGATCATTCTACCGGTATCTCTTGAACCTACTTATTTGCGCGGCGATAAACGGTGTCTGATGTTTGACCCGCTTGGGCAAAATTTAATACCTGAGCTCAAACCCTCGTATTCGATCCAATTATACATGACTGTACAGTGATATGGATCCGATCTGCAGATCTGAGACCAATACAAAAATATAAAACGACAAAATATGAAGAAAAAAAACAGCAAAAAAATAGTCCTAGAAACTACACAAAATCTGTACTTCACACTGCCATTGGCTGATACAGTGGACATGTACCGCTTCAAACCAGTACAGATCGTTCACAAACAAAACTACTTCACGTGGATTGCTCACCTTGGACGCGGCTACAATGATGAGTATGTCTCCTTTCTGGAAGGGCAGATCCTGCCAGCACCGGTCAAGACACAACAGAGAAAACGGGGTGTGACAATGAGAGAGCGATATCGGTCAGCAAGTGAATTTAATTTATTATCGCCGCCCATGTCCAACTCACAAGAAGTTTTGCGAACTACAAAATTAGGAACCAAGCTACTAGTACTCAGTTCAAGTACTAGTACTTGGCTGCTGGATGGAGGATGTAATTTCGGGCGTTGTCCAATCAGTTGTTTCAAAGGGACAATAGTGAGTAGGAGATTCACAGCAGAGTCACAGTACAACTATTGAGCTTACATCGGTCGTGTCCCCGGCGAAGTTGAAGCGACCAACCACTTCTGTCCCGGGTGTCCACTGCCATCAAACACAACAGCAGAACAATTCCAAAATGTCAAGAGGCCGAAACTCAGGTTAGGCATGCACGAGCCATACAGCTGTTAGGCCGTTAGGGACCCTCTCCTGAAAATTCAACACAGCCATAAGGAAAGCGATCAACATGAACAAGGGAAGATTTTCGAACGCAGCAATGAGTGAGGTGAAAAGCAGAATACAGTGCACACTCATTCACACTTACTTTCTCCCTTCTGGATGCATCGGCAGCTGCCATCCTCGCCTTTGCGACAAGAATCGGTCTGGAATAAGCGGAATACGAGATATGGAAAGCATTCTCAGTACCAAACTATCTGCGCCGCCGGGGGCTGGGTGTAAGAAGCTACTGCCACACATGCTAACACGCCTCTACTTTCTAGCTCAAGAATTTTGACCAGAGCCACCAACAACACAGGACTCAAATTTTCAGGGCAATTCTGCTGTATCTTTCCAAGACCAGCGACGGCACAACACCATCCAAAAAATGCATGCTACCGTACAAACAACGCTACGGTGTGTTGCTTACCAACGCCAGGAATGAACGCGATGATCGAAATCACGCCACGACTCAACCAAGAAAGTGAGCAGCCCGATGCATCCAACTCGCTTCGGGTTGCAGATGGCGACCCAGGCCGAGTAGGAAACTGCAGCACTCGACTCCCAGCATGTACAGCACTCCTCACCAGTCCAACAGCCAGTGGCCGCGCCGCTTTTCGGCTGTTCTTGTCCTTGGACTTTTCGTGTGACGAAGGAATCCCAACTCAAGACCAAGGACCAAGCCACGCGATCCTCTCCTCTCAGCGAGGTTCTTTGCGTTCGAATATTGCCTTTTTCGATCAGAATCATATATTTCCCACGGTAAACCCGATGGTAAGTGGAAATGTGAATCTCCTGCTGACCTGAACAGCGTGCAGCGAGTTTCAGAAGAAGCAGTTTCAGAAGGTTCGGATCGTTTTAGAATGATTTTGTTTGGATTGGTCAAGCTTCACTCGGCCAGCTCAGCTGTTTCCAGACTCGACCTCGCGACTTGCGAGGTACTGACGCCCGCTTGGCGTCCTACCATCAATGAATATGATCATGACCAATGCGCTACCGCCGTACCGGTATACCACGCGTGCATATCGCGCATGTGGAGAGCTTGCCTAGACTACTCGTAGAGTGTACGACTCGTAGAGAGGAGAGTTTCCAAAAAATATAATTTCAAACTCGAAGAGCAAAGAGCGAGAACTAACTATTACTTGTACGGTAAGAAGTTACTTGTAAAGTTGTAGTAACGTGTTTTCAACCAAGCAAGGCTTATTTTGTAATACCTTGTAGTAAGTTGTATCAGTACCTTTTGAGTTACCGGTACTCTTCATCACGAATCAAAGCCTTTGGATTGAGCATTGTGGCAATGGAGTTGCCTATCGTTCAGCCTTTTTTATTCTTTTTGAGTAAAATGGGTGACGAGTTTGGCAGGATGGCAATAGCATGGCGCTGTTCTCTCGTCGCTTAGCAGTTAGCAGAATCTGGGGCCTCCATGCAATGCCGAAAAGCTCCCTGAAAGTGAGTAAAATAGCGTTTGGAGTTGTCAATCGAACAACACTACTCACTAGTGACTAGTGTCTGTACAATGTCATGTGATGTGAGTCCTAGCAAATGCCTTTTTATTATCTTGCTGTGATCGAGCAACCCTATTGTCCATGCAATGATTGTGTGAGTCGTACTAGCAAGCGTCTGTAACCAGGAGTACATATCTTGCTGTAACTATTTTAGTCTTTAGATCTTCCGGCCAGGTCTGGACTTTTTCATGTCCTGTTGAGAAGTGACCATATTAGGCAGTTTGGGCAATAGTGAACAGCTTCCAGTCAGGCTTGGTGTCAAACAAAGTCAACAGCAGCCAGGACCTTCTGTGTTGGTGTATGCGGCATTTTGTGCAAGTCTGGCACTTCACTGCACATGTGATTCACAAGCTGGCAGCCTTCGACAGCTCACAAGTCCATAGCCTAACGCTGCCTGTATCAGCCTATCTGTCCAGACCAGTCCAAGGTCCGTGCTTCACTCTCAGTAGCTGGAACTCATTTGGAAGGGGTCACGATGAAAGGGTCGCCGATCTCCCAAGCCTCGCCTCCACCGCTGCGGCTGCAATCATCAACTCGCGACACGATCAATCAAACTGATAATGCTATTATCAGAAATGCTGGCCGTAATGGTTTCATTGGGCTGTGAGGCGTGCATGCAGGGAGAGAGAAATGAATATGTGTAGCGACCCGTATACACATGTACATGCTGGCAATGTGCATACTTCACCTGTCACTGGATCGTAATACAGTGTAGTGGTGTTTGAGTGAAGGCTGATGTCAGCACTGATAGCCCAGGGAGGAGATATGGGACTGCCATGTCGCTATAAGGGCGCAGGTGTGTCTGTTTGGTCAATCCAGACCGATAGAAGTGCGAAAGTGTACAAGGGCACATTACAGCAGTAAATCAGATTTGTTAGTCCAGCACCCTCCCGCTTATCCTATTCTGCTCAACTTATTGTTACCGTTTCGGTTCCATATCCTTTTTCGGAACCCTCTTCAGAACCTGAGTCTGAACCTGGATAGGGGTGTTGAACCAAAACGTTTAAAACTATTAGTTGAGCAGAATGTAATGAATTTAACTTATGCAGAGTTATACCTCTGAGTGTACGTTATAGTGTACATAACAGTTTTCGTTATCTGCAAATAATCCAGCCTAGGCACCGTTCTTAAAAATTGGTGAACGTCTTCTAACCTGGCCGTTCTTTGGCGCCCGATAGTACTGCTTGTCATGGCTATGCTGTTGTACATGAGAAATGCGACCTCTTCTTTCACCGTTTTTTGTTGTCAACGTGTACAGGTCCCGAAAGGCACCGCAGCGGCGGCGATGGCATCAGCAACAGCTCCACCTACTTCAAAAACTAGTCCTGTTGGGCTGAACAAGAATGGTTGTATAGCTATCCAGATCCATGCTAAGCCAGGCGCAAAGATCAGCTCACTTGCAGGTACTTGGGGACTACGTTTCCTTCCGGGCTATGACGCGGGTATTTTCTTTAAAACAAAAAAAATGTGTGTGTGTGTGTGTGTGTGTGTGTGTGTGTGTGTATGGGGGGGGGGTGGATGTGCGCGTCTGCGTTTGTTTGCATGTACTAGTATGCGTGTGTGCGTGTGTGTGTGTGTGCGTGTGTGTGTGCATGCACGCATGCGTTGACTTGTTTCTGTGTATGGGTGCCTATATGCGTGCTTTTTGGCAGGGCTCAGCGACGACGGAGTAGCTGTTCACATTGGAGCGCCAGCACGAGATGGTGAAGCAAATGCAGAGCTGCTTCGTTTCCTTGGAGATGTCCTGGGCATTCGAAAGTCAATGCTGTCCTTAGATAAGGCAAGTCAAGTGTCGCTAAAAATTTAACGAGCTGGCATTTCCGAAAGTAGTCTTTCTATATATTTACTACGCGTGTAAAGCCTGACCCGTATAGGAATATGACCTGAATAGAAGCCGATTTTTTCCAAGCGCACCATGACACAGAATTACGGTTTGAATGGAAGCCGCGCTTCTTTTCGAGCCAAGATGTACACTGCAAAGTTCACATGAGCTTGTCTTAGTTGCATGCACCTTCCCTGCCTGTGTTATTACTATAACTTAGAACCTTTCAAGTTGGATAGTTGTTGGAGTGGACAGGATCGTACTATCAATAATGCCGGATGGCCCCTAAAAACAGGTGGTCTCTCATTGCAGTGGTCACTAAATGCAGGCATTGCTCTTGCTGTGTGTTTTGCATACGTGTGTTCTTCCTCGAAGGGATCAAAATCACGCTCGAAGGTTGCTGTGCTCGACAGCTGTGTGTCGTTGAGTGCCGACTCTGTGATGGAACGCCTTCGTGATGCAGCCGTGGAGTGAGTTGGTAACACTTCTGCAGGTGTGTTGACTCGTCTTATGAAGAAGAGATGTTGCGGCGGTGCCAGTCCATCTGCTGGAGTACGATGTCGGTGATTGTGAGAGGACACGTGTCCGCTTGACTCTCTCCATTTCTCCCCATCTCTCATGTACATGACATCATGCAGTGTTCAGTGCTGCCACTGCTGCGCCTATGAAAGACAAGGGCAATGTATAGCCCATGTGGCGCAGTGTTTGTGCCTTTACTCCGCAAGCAGTACTTGTTTTCATAAAGTCACGGTTTTAAAATGTTGCACTAACGTGTGTAATAAAGATGCATATGAATAACGATTGTCATGCATACTGATAAGGCTCTTCCTTTCTCTACGAGAATATTTGTGTGTATGAATGTCGGCGGACACTTGAAGTAAGGCATGTTCTGGAAAACGGAAAACTCTGCATACAGTGTGTGTGATAATAATTATGATAATTATGAGACCCCTTGCGACATTGTGCATATATGGATGTGTTGTCACGCAGTATGTAGCAAGCTGTGTGCATGACATCATCCCGTGTATGGAATCATACCGCCGTACATTGTGCAGCACAATGGGCATGAGATCGAGCACCATGTCCATGACGTGATTGACATCCGTAGCACTATGCACATGACATCATACATGTACATTGTCCATCACCATGTACATGTACATGCACATAATCATTGTTCATGACTTGTATATCTAATCTTCTGTCCCCGGGGAAAATTGCGATTCCGCGGCCGCGTTTCTTCCGCGTTTTTTGCGATTTTTTAACAGACCGCGTTTTCCGCGATTTTCCCGCGTTTTTTGAACTTTTTTGTTGCACTACACGTACACACAGTGCACTGTTCGGTCAGCAACGTCTCATCGTGGCGGCTTTTTACTCAAATAATGACGAGTGCTTACACCAGAGACTTGTAATCATTGTTCATGACTTGTATATCTAATCTTCTGTCCCCGGGGAAAATTGCGATTCCGCGGCCGCGTTTCTTCCGCGTTTTTTGCGATTTTTTAAGACCGCGTTTTCCGCGATTTTCCCGCGTTTTTTGAACTTTTTTGTTGCACTACACGTACACACAGTGCACTGTTCGGTCAGCAACGTCTCATCGTGGCGGCTTTTTACTCAAATAATGACGAGTGCTTACACCAGAGACTTGTTAAGCGGGATTCACAGAAGCTTTTTTGCGATGCGACACGCGATGCGACAGCCGCGAAACCGGGAAATCCCCAAATCGCAACCATCGCGGACCCCACGCAACTGCCGCAACAGGGCCATCGCAGGCCATCGCAGAAGTTGAGCTTGGCTCAACTTTTGCGATGCGATGCGATGCGACAAGCGATTTGGTGTACGATTTTGACCTTTTCTACAGCAAAGTTGTACAAAGGTGCAAGAGTTGCCTTGAAATTTTTACAAGTTGTGTCAAACGGCGCGAATATCATGGTGACGTACTCAAATCAGCAAAACTTTGTCGCATCGCTGACTTCTTCTGTGAATGGTATTTCGCGAGTTCGCATCGCACGCATCCATCGCAGATCAAAAAAAAATTGCGATTCCGCGGCCGCGTTTCTTCCGCGTTTTTTGCGATTTTTTAAGACCGCGTTTTCCGCGATTTTCCCGCGTTTTTTGAACTTTTTTGTTGCACTACACGTACACACAGTGCACTGTTCGGTCAGCAACGTCTCATCGTGGCGGCTTTTTACTCAAATAATGACGAGTGCTTACAGTCCATCCTCAAGCGTGCAAAAAACATATCTCTGCCACTAATCGAGACTTACACTGATTTTTGCGCTTTTGGGCCGAAATAAGTCTTGATGACGGCAAAAAATAATTGTCAACTGAATACGGAAGTGAACGAATTTGGTCGAAAGTGTCGAACCACCTTCATGACGAGCAACCGTTTGTGGCCACTGTTTGTGAACTTGGAGCTTGTTATGGTGTGTATCGGCAGGAATTTTTTTATGGCGATCAGGAAACGTTTTTCACATCGAAATCAGTGGTTACCCTTTGAAATTGAGATGTTCAAACAGCGAATTTTCTACGTCGAAATGAAGTTGGAGCACCATCGAGTTTGATTATTCCGATTTCCTTGGTGGGCTAAGGTAAGGGTAATTAACAGCTAGACATAAAAATCTCACCTGTTCACGCCCTGTATAATCCAACTTCGACCTTCAAAGTGGGCGTACTCAAGCAACATAAATCATACATGCCGTATACATAAACCTTTGAAGGGAGCATGAAAACAAGCAAACACATAGCTGTGTATACATGTACATTGTAGACCCTAGTTTGTGTTCCTCTGTGTGTCTCGGTGTGTCGTCAATGCTGTATTCGACAACCGTAAGCATAAGGAGAAAGTTGCCGCTGTACGCGCTCTTGTGTGTAGTATGTGTGCCGCGTTCAGTTGCTGTCTAGTATGAGATATCGGTACATGTAGCTGGGCTGGTGGTGCGTATTGCCTTGATGTGGATCACCTAACTCGTGGCCTTCTAAAGCCTGTCGAAACGCATGCCGTTTCAGATGTATGGTCTCGTGGTGTGTGTGTGTGTGTGTGTGTGTGTGTGTGTTGTGTGTGTGACTGTGTGTGTGACTGTGTGTGTGTGTGTGTGTGTGTGCGTGTGTGCATGTGTGCGTGTGTGTGTCAAAATGCATGCCGTTTCAGATTTATGGTCTCGTGGTGTGTGTCTGTGGTAGGAACCGGTGGATTCTGCTCGAAAAGGTGGCAGATTCTGCTCGAAAAGCAGTGAAATTAGCAGAACCATACAAACCTTATGGCGGGCAATTCCTCGAATTCTGCTCCATTTCTTTATCCACATACCAAACATGCATGAAACTTACCAGAAAAAGTACCGAATTCTGCCAATTTTCTGCCGGCAGAATCCGCCGGACCCTAGTCTGTGGGGGGGGGGGGGGGGTGCGCGTGTGTGCGCGCGCGTGTGTGTGTGTGTGTGTGTGTGTGTGTGTGTGTGTGTGTGTGTGTGTGTGTGAGAGAGTCTGTCGCGCTCACAATATCTCGTTTTCTGCTTATGAAGCTACATGTATAATTATGTATGTGTTATATGTAGGAGATTACAATGTAGAGGTGATTGTCTGCTTTGCGTTCCTCTCTGCTTGGCCTGCATTATCAATTTATCAGTACTGGTTTTTGCTCTTCACACGTACACGTACCCCCCCCCCCCCCCACCCCCGCACACAAACAAACACACACACACACACACACACACACACACACACACACACACACACGCGCGCACCCATGCTTATGTATACGGTTTCAGTTTGAAAAATGCAAAGTGTCCTGTACATGTGTGCGTCTGATGCATTCACACGAACTTCAACGGTCTATGATGCACGCGTCACTTCTCCTTTGACTCTGAGTTTGAGGAAAGAAAACCAAAGCATATCAATACCATTACATACATGTATACAAACTTTTAAAAGTGTGTGAATGTACAACGTACGTTTGTCTTGTTTATGCTGTGTGTCACTTTGCTCTGGGCATGGAAATTCTGTCGTATTTGTGAATTGTCGTTATATACGCAGTGGTTATTAGAGAAGTTGACTGTGTGTGAATGTACAAAGTACGTTTGTCTTGTTTATGCTGTATGTCACTTGCTCGGCCACCCGTGTTGCGTTCTATCTGTTTCGGCTATTGCTACTGCACTGTTCTAGCCAGAAATTATTGTTGATAGGGAAACCGAGTGCGAACCTGGCTAGGCTTTGTTGGTGAGGTACTCTCATATGTGCGTATCCGTGCTCGTTTGTATTCCTCCGACGGTGTGGCACGTGCGCGCACACACATGTGATGTATGCGAAGTGTATCCGGCATGTACGAACAATGTGTGTGCATCCGCGGCACGCATGTTTGACATGTTTGTGCTCCACGTGTGCATGTAGGATCTAAACGTGTGTAACGCAAGCGTGTGGGGCACGCCCATTACGTCTGCGGCACCGTGACATGGCCAGTATGTGATGTCCGACACGGGTGTGCAGGAGTGGCGCGTGGGCGTGTTCGCAGTGTGCACGTCTATACTCCAGCGTATTGTCCACTTTCCTGGTCCCAGGAGGGTTTTGGATCTGTGGAAAACACGTGAACTGAATACAGTGGAGTTAGTTTGAACTCTTGTGTGCTTTCTGTGCACAGGTTTATCTACGGAATTGAGTATGGTCAAGAAATGCGTCTGAAAAACCTGGAGCACCATCGATTTTGCCATAACCATTACTCGAATGTCCGAGAGCAGGGTCGAGGGCAACCACATTGTCGAAAATTACACCTGTTCACGCCCTCCTTTCAGGTTACTGGCTCGTTTTCGCCGACTGCTCTGAATCGTACGAAAAATTCAAATGTTCTCCGCCGAATGGCACCATCACAAAGTCTTTCGGATCATTTTCGATATGCACCTCGCGAACATACCACCTTCCTGCACTCATACACCACAAACAATGCATGCTCCATTCGACGAGGTGGGTGTCATGAGTGTTCTTTCACGTCAGTCGCCGAAAGTCATTTCAGGGTGAGAATCGTTCTCAAGAAAAAGATCGCAAAAATCAGTGTAAGTCTCGATCGAACGCTTGAGGATGGACTGTTACACCAGAGACTTGTAATCATTGTTCATGACTTGTATATCTAATCTTCTGTCCCCGGGGAAAATTGCGATTCCGCGGCCGCGTTTCTTCCGCGTTTTTTGCGATTTTTTAACAGACCGCGTTTTCCGCGATTTTCCCGCGTTTTTTTGAACTTTTTTGTTGCACTACACGTACACACAGTGCACTGTTCGGTCAGCAACGTCTCATCGTGGCGGCTTTTTACTCAAATAATGACGAGTGCTTACACCAGAGTCTAGCAGAGACTTGTAATCATTGTTCATGACTTGTATATCTAATCTTCTGTCCCCGGGGAAAATTGCGATTCCGCGGCCGCGTTTTTTCCGCGTTTTTTGCGATTTTTTAACAGACTGCGTTTTCCGCGATTTTCCCGCGTTTTTTTGAACTTTTTTGTTGCACTACACGTACACACAGTCAGTGCACTGTTCGGTCAGCAACGTCTCATCGTGGCGGCTTTTTACTCAAATAATGACGAGTGCTTACACCAGAGACTTGTAACTGATTGATTTCAGTATTATTTTCACTACATACTCACTGAAAATTGCCGCACATCAATATTATTCACCGCATATTTACCGCAAATTCACCGCAAATTATGCCATATTATGCCGCGTTTTTCCCCGCATTTTTTGCGATTTTTTCCGCAATTTTCCCCGGGGACAGAATCTTGCAGTTTCAAAATTTTATGTTGGACACAGTAGGCAGTTGGGTTCCTATGGGCAGTCTGGGGGCCAGCAACTGTACAATCATGTACAAAGTAGACACACTGTAGTTGGATGTAGTGCAAACCCATTAGAACAGGCAGTCTTGATGCCAGTTACTAAGTATAGTCTATAAACTCCAGTAAACAGTCTGATGACATGTATTTGTAGAGTGTAGTGCCTATTCAGCCTTTACAGAAACTTCAAAGTCTGAGTTCCAGCATGCAGTCTACCATGATCTACGGTCTACAAAGTCAAACACCATGAGCACTTCACTGAATGAAAAGAGTTTTCATGAGCTGAGAGCTCGTACTCTTGCAAATGATTACGGACGAAGCAGAAGAAGGTACTCAACGACCGCTTTCTGACACTCTTGCCTTGCCCCCGGGTTTCTGCTGCTCGCGCGCTAATTCATTCACCGTGGAAACGCAGAAAAATGGCGCCAGTCTTGAAGCTCAAGTAAAAAATCTGGAATAAATCCACGATATTCAAAACAGCAAAATGACCGTACCGCTGAGCTGAGCATGAGAGCTTTTACTGATGTTTGAAATGATTGTTCCTTTCCAGTCTGCCAATTATTTCTAGTTCATGAGGAGACTTCGTATGTAGCGGAGCATGCCCTGGTGAAGCGAGAAGTTGGTTACTGGAACGCCAAGATGTTTACTCCTCAAAGTGCGCCACGCCACCGCTCGGTGGCTCGCGCTGGATTCGCTTCGTCTCCCCTCGCCCGCTCACCAATGGTGTCCAGCTGGCGAGGTGGTGGTCCAGCTGCTGCCTCTGTTGCAGCTGCCTCACCAGCGAAGTAAGGACTTTCTCAGCTTTTAGCAGTGGCTCATCTAGTGTAGCTGGGATACCCTGTGCAGCATTCCACGCACACCCTTGGCACAAGGTTTGACGCAGGCTGGAGTGCTTCCATTTCTTTTTTGGAAATTTGAATTTTGTACCTAGCTGCGTATATCACGAAGCACATTTACATGTATACACACAGACTATTCGTGGAGCAAAATCCACAACCAACATGGAATGAGAGTTCCGACGGGGGATGTCATGATTCCAGAAATACCAGCAGATTCATGAACAAGGCAAGACTTGGTTGTACACCCAGATGTTGTGCCCAGCCCGAAATTTGGTGTCAGAAGAGACGTAGTTTGCAGTGTCAAGGCCATTCAGAGAGACAGAGGGACAGAGTGTGTGCGTGTGTGTGTGTGTGTGTGTACGTCCTCGTCCACCTACTGAGGTGTGGTGAGCCCATAAGTGGGATCATTTCCAAGTCCACCCAGAGTTTGGGGATTTCAGGAGGTGTCGGCCATTGGGTTGGGTCGGTCAATAGCCAATCGAGTCATCTTTCCAAGATTCCTTTTTGATCTCTCTCCCCTCTTCGGGGGAGACACGCGTGACGAGTCATGGCAGTGAGCAAGTACAAGTGTGTGTGTGTGTGTGTGTGTGTGTGTGTGTGTGTGTGTGTGTGTTGGGTGTATGGGTGCGCGTGCGTGTTCAGACTGAGTAACATGTACAGTGCTGCTCAATGACATCCAGTCCACGGAGAGAGTCGAGTTGGCGCCGTGCACGTTTTCACAGCCCAGTGTTCGCAGGTCTAGGGTTGCGCAACGCCCGGCGTGTACTTGAGAAACTCGACTGGATTTCATTGAGCAGTAGTGTATACAGGTGCGGTGGAGTGTGCGGGTGTTTAGAACAGGCAAGAGTGTGCACAAATTAAAAACAAATGTTGATACACACAGTGTGCTAGTATTAGAGACTGTGCTAGTAATGGAGACCTGTGCTTATAATAGAGAATAATACGGTACCTATTTTGTAAGCAAGAGTGGATAACTCACGGAATGGGCAACTCCTCTATCATTGCTGTCCCGACTCAATGTCATTTTTATGATGCAATGCATGCACACACACACACACACACACACGCACGCACGCACGCACGCACGCACGCACGCACGCACGCACGCACGCACGCACGCACGCACGCACGCACGCACGCACGCACGCACGCACGCACGCACGCACGCACGCACGCACGCACACACACACACACACACACACACACACACACACACACACACACACACACACACACACACACACACACACACATACACACACACACACACACACACACACACACACACACACACACACACACACACACACATACACACACACACACACACATACACACACACACACACACATACACACATACACACACACACACATACACACACACATACACACACACACACACACACTGACTCCCACTCACTCACTGACACGCCAATATCCCGCTGTGATGTGTTGATCTGCAGGCCCGGTCAAGGCTATCCTGCTGGCAGGTCACACGTCTACAGCATTGACTCGAGCCACTGTAGCAGTCTCAAGCTTCTCAAGTCGTCGCTTCCGCCGTCCGTAGCTGAACTGGCACCGTCGTATAGTAAGTACTGCCGTGGACATGGAAATCCAGTCGAATGACCGGGGCCGGTGCCCTCAGTGCGTACAGAACGTTCAGTGTTCAGTGCACATCAGGGAGTCGTACCCAAACTAGGGAGGTTACACGGCACAGAAATCTGTGTCACAGGGGTTGCCTCGCACACGTTGTTATTTTTGGAATAGTCCATCCAGTCCGAAAGGTCATACGCGGATCGACTCGCCTTCTGTACTTCACCTCCAAGCGTGCAACGCAAGACCCGCAAAGTATGATTTTTCTGTGGGGAAAGATTTTGCCATTGATCAAGTTTTTTATTGGAGTGCTCAGGTATACTGGTGCATTGTGCAAGGCATAAAGAAGAAATGGGGCAGATACACGACTTACATTTTTCAAAAACCACCTTCGTGTTATGTGCAATTTGGGTCAATTTTTAGTATTCGGATTAGCCTAGGATACGACTCTCAACACTACACGCCGTCTTATATCTGCTGCTGTTGCCATCACTGCTATCAAGTAGTTTGGACATGGCAGGAGCTAAAAAACTGCTGGTAGTCTTTCAAAGAATACTGGCGAGTGATGGGCTGTAAACGAAATGTACTGCCTCAAAAATTTCAAAAACTAGACACCCATGCGGCACACTTGGAGGTGAAGCACAGAAGGCGAGTCGATCCGCGTATGACCTTTCGGACTGGACTGGATGGACTATTCCAAAAATAACGTGTGCGAGGCAACCCCTGTGACACAGATTTCTGTGCCGTGCCACCTCCCTAGTTTGGGTACGACTCCCTGGTGCACATGTAACCATTGGCGTCAGTTGCATCAGTGGATGCAACCTGGCCTTTCACGCATCCTTTCTCTGATTGTGTTAGAAGGCTGGGTCACGAATAGTAGGTGTCATGCTGTGCCGCTGGCCCAAGCTGCTGTTGCTAATCTTTATGACTGGTTGAATTGTGTGTGTGTGTGTGTGTGTGTGTGTGTGTGTGTGTGTGTGTGTGCGCGTGTGCGTGTATTTGTGTGTGTGTGTGTGTGTGTGTGTGTGTGTGTGTGTGTGTGTGTGTGTGTGTGTGTGTGTGTGTGTGTGTGTGTGTGTGTGCATGCACGGCTGTAGGCGCTGAAGACGTGGTGTTACACAGCACTGGATGGGCATGGTTGGTGACAAGACAGCACCAGCTAGTGCTGTGGCGATACGACCAGCTGGTGACTAAACAGGTAAAGAGATATGGTGCATTCTACACACTTACTACGTGGAGAGAGGGGGGGGGGGGGTATGCCTCTTGCTGGGCATGGACACACAGTGGAACTGATGTGAAAGACTGACAGACGGACAGACAGCTGGACAGGCATACCACAGTAGGTGGCCGGACCACACAAGATGGACAGACAGACAGATGGACAGGCAGACGCACAGACATACAAGCAGACCTCTCACAACTGCGGACAGCAGAATCTTATAGCAAGAGCAATACTTGATTCTGGCATAGTAACATTTTGACAAACCCATTTCTTCTGCAGGATTAGACCGACAAACTGAGACAACCAGACGGGCAGGCAGAAGTGCAGCGGTAGATAGCTTAACCCGGCAACAGTGACGAAAGAGTAGTACTGTTTCCACTAAAACTTGCCCAAACGGTGCCTAGTACAGTCAGACCTCGCTTAACCACACAAATCCGTTTTCCACAAAATATCCCGGATAGGCGAGGGAACCGGATAATCAAACACGCATACTGTATACTATGTATGCATGGCATATTACCAAAACGATTTTGTTCCGGATGGCGAGGGATCCGGATAAAAGAGGACCGGATAAGCGAGGTCTGACTGTAGACCGAAGTGCCTGTAACTCCGGTGTCCGGATAACTGAGGCATGAGTGTACAATTAAACCTGTCAAGACTCCGATAGGACTAGCCACGCCTGTCCCAGGGTACAACAAATTGAACAGTCGTTCTAATATTTTTTTAACGTTTTCATGACTGCACGATTTGTTTGGTTCATTGCCATTTCACGGTTATTGTTGCCTTGACGATTATTCAAAGGGTATCACTTCCGCTAACATTACCCTGGATATGGGCACCACCTGTACATAGGGACCGGATTTTAACCCATTCCGGTTTTATGACGAGTATACTCGTCACGCAGACCCCATTGCGTCTGGGCAATGGCGAGTATACTCGCGCTATACTTTTTGTACAGTCCACGTACCGTAGGCACTGATAGATCACTGTACAAACAGCCATAACTCTGGAACGGATTATCGCATCGCCATGATCAATAGCGCATTGGAACGGTCTTGGAAAGGGCTTTCCAGAGGTGTTTTCGGTGTGGCGATAGCTCAACAAATAATCAAGCGGCGATAAATTGAATGCGCGATTTCGATCTGAACATTTTTCTTACTTCCTGTCTGGGTTTTTTTTGCGAATTTCAAGTCATTCAAGGGGATTCCCAATGACGTGTCAAAGGCAACATGACGTATGAGTACATCGTTTGAATCGCTTGAATCTCACGAGTTCGATGCAGTTTGAATCGTAGTTCTACGTTGAGTATGAGCCCCACACCGAAGGAAATAGTTGTGCGTGGTCATGATGCCAAACTGGAGCACGATAGGGACACTGTTGGCGAGGCTAGGGGCGTTCTTGATGTGCTGTATGCTCTGAAAACACGTGGAAGATGGCGAGCATGAAAGGAGCTTTCCAGTAAGCCATCAATTGTGAAAATACGTTGAGAAACAAAAATGTTGTGACAATTTGTTTGTTGCTATCTCCACAATTAAATTGATCCATTGAATTTCAGTGCCCAGACGTAGTAAATGCACTGTGACCCTGAAAGGGTTTAGGGCCCCCCTGAGCGATTGGTTTAGTCAGGTTTCGACGATTATTACGTCCTCTTCAGAATAATGGTGATGAGGAGAGATGAGGGAGAGCTCTGTAATCGTAGGTGATGAAATCATACAGTTGGTGCGATGGTTGTGGAAGGAGCGAAACTAGAGCATGAGAAAAAGCGCAAGTAGGAGTTCTAACATATGTAGCACCAATAGTTGCGTGAAGTAGACACAAGAACATTGAGAAGCAATTACACCAAGCTGAATGCATGTATTGAGAAGGCCGGATACAGCTTCTTTTAAGAAGTAACAGCAAGAATTGACAAAACTCACGCATACATCACCTACATTAACCGTCCTCTACCTTATCCCGTCATCATTGTCATTCTGCATTTTGCACTGCTGGGTGTTTGCCGATGGCAAATTTTAATGTGTTTAGTGCTTGCCCCCTTGTTGTCTGTGCTCTCTTTGCCACCATTGCGTGTTGTCTGCCACAGGGCTCTCGTCCTCTCCGGCCCATCGGTCTCCCGTCGAGCACTGCCCCGTACGGTCCTGCTCAAGTCTGCATTTTCTCCACCAGTTCACCGTCGTCTGGGGATGGTACGTGTTTTAAGTATCTGCTGCATGCACACACACATGCGCGCGCACACACACACACGCACACACACACACACACACACACACACACACACACACACACACACGCGCACACCATGTACCATGTATACGCCCGTCGCAAGGGAAGCACGCAAATCTGCAAATGCACTGGATGTGCACCCACAGATTTTCTCTTTATAGCAACGATAGTGGATCTGATTCTGATTGAAACAGATCGAGACAAGCGCCAGATAACTGTCTAATCCACACAACTGGCGAAGTCATGTGAATCGACCCCCCCCCCCCCCCCGATGCACACCTGGTCTACACGACACAGAGTACATCGGAATAGGACACACACACACACACACCATTGATCATTTGACGCCCATCGCCGGAGGCGATGATAGCGAATGCTACAGCAGAAGCCATAGCAGCTTGTGCTGGGATTGCACCATTCAACAGCTTGCAAGGCTGAAGAATTGACCGCCACTATTCAGCCTGGTCTACACCGCACAGCTATGAAGTGGCTTTTTCTGGCCAGTGAATCCCTACTTTTTGGTCTTTTTCATTTTTTTCACGCACGCACATCACAAAGCGGAAGTCTGCCAAGGAGCAGTTATATACACTAATAATAGGTGTCAGGACGTCGAATGTCTCAGTACTCTTGTCAGTTGTGTGCCTAGTTATTGCACTTTCTGATTGTATATAGTATCCAGTTACAGTGATGGAGAGTTACTCTTAACTCGTATCCTTATGTCCTTTTCCTTTCTACATTTGTTTATGGCTCAACATCCGAGTTTCACATTGTCACCTAGATAGCCAGTGTGGTGTGATTGTTTTAGAGTAATGACCATCCAGCACTGGTGTTGATCTCTGGGCCTTCGTTTCTGATCTGATCAGTATTTTCTGGAAAACACTGGCATGGTCACATTCGTGTATTGCTTGCGAGAAACCCTTTTCAGACATTTCTCAAGTTATCTGGTGACATCTGCGCTGTGCTAACTTATTACCAACACCCAGCATATGAGTCAGTGAAAACTTGTGATCTTTCACTAGTTTTAGACATGTCATATTTCTAGCACTGAAGTAACATGTGTAGTCATAGAAATATTATCAACACCTAAGAACGCCAAATTAGTGTATATAACTGCTCCTTGGCAGACTTCCGCTTCATATTGCATCCTGATGATGGCAATTTGCCGAAACGTTGATAGTAAAATGAAATGAGTTGTGAATTTGCAGTGCCCAGGGAATGAGCATGTGTGCTCACCAATTCTCTTCGAGTTATTAAGCTGCAGGACGCCTCACCGCTACATAATATAATATAATAATAATATTCGCGGGATCCACGTTGGCATCACTTGAATGTTCAGAAACACAGAGTATAAGCTGCATTTTTAAGCACCTGTGATTCACCCGAAAAAAGTCAGTGCGGCCTATACTGCGATGGTCAATTTAATAAGTGTCTGTATTTCTTGGCGCAACATCTGGGTGCGGCTTATACTCCGGAAAATGCGGTACAGTCAGACCTCGTTTAACCGCATCCGTTTTCCACAAAAAATATCTGGATACGCGAGGAAACCGGATAATGAACACACATACTGTATGTATGCATGGCATATGCTGTAAATCGGTAACCGACGATTTCCTTCCGGATGGCGAGGGATCCGGGTAAAAGAGGAGCGGATAAGCGAGGTCTGTCTGTACTAGTACTTTGCAGTTTGTGTGCAGTGGAAACCAGTGCTTGTTTGTATCAAGTGGCAAGCATTGCTCGTTTTTATTGAGACTTGAATGGCAAGCCGTTGCTTGTGCTGCAACTTTGCCATTCCATACAGAGCCTGTTGAATACGTGCGCAAATGCGTAAATTCCACACCAACCACAGTTTTGCTTTGTGACTAACACGTTCAAGCGACTGACTTGCTTCAGCTACCATCTGGTCTGGATGACTTGTTTTCTGGCTGAAGTTCTTCGTCATTTTGTCTCTCCTGCTGCTCTTCTTCTATTTATTTCTTTGTTGTTTTTCTATGTGTTGTAGAGTCGTGGGGAGTTGTGGCTGTGTCATCATCTGGTCATGTGCGCTGTTGGACACAGTGGCCAAAGTCCTTTAGTAGCTCAGACATCCAGATTGATCTTCCGGCTGGCCATAGCTGTACTGCCATTGTCGACTGTATGGTGAGTTCTCTTGGTCTCTTTCTCTCTCTCTCTTTCTCTCTCTCTCTTTCTCTCTCTCTCTCTCTCTCTCTCTCTCTCTCTCTCTCTCTCTCTCTCTTCTCTCTCTCTCTCTCTCTCTCTCTCTCTCTCTCTCTCT